GTGAAAAGCGTATTAACGTCAATAGGTTATTTTCTTTCCGGCGACACGTCTATATAAATTGAAGTTATTTCTGAAAGTACCGTAAAATGTATTACCGAAAGAACGACGAGAATTATTTTATTTTACAATTTCGTACATTTTGAAGTGCTACACGAGTGCTGCAGCTGACGAGTACCAAATACGATTTATTCCGTAATTCCATTCGTTTTTAATCAATTCTTCTTCTTCTTTTTCCTCAATTCAAACTGAATGATATTATACAAAATATCAGGTATCTTCAATAATTGACAGAGTCTTACGGTTTTATTTTTTCGCGTAAAAGTACAATATATTAATATTTCATATTGTAACCTATATTAGTAATTTATTTATACAATCTAAATATTGCTCCTAGAAACGAAAATGATTGGAAAGACGAGAGACGATGGGATAAGAAACGAAGAAGCATGGGCGAGGCTTCGATATGAAATTAGAGAGAATAGACCGAATTAGCCTGGACATGTTATGAGGACAGAGGAATCAGAGGCAGAAAGGATGACGTAAACATAAGAAAAAAGAGGGAAAGAAGATGACCATTTGAGGATAGACTATGGGTGTATATGAGGACGATGCGGACCAAGTGGAAATTTAGGACAAAGGTAGCCGATCCCAAATAGTTCGGATAAAAGATCTCATAAATATTTTGAAAAACGCGAACGCCGGATATATGAAAAAATATTACAATCTCGATTAAATCTGTAACAGTACAAAGTAATTTTTTTTTCCACAAGAATATCACGTAACACGTTTCCACATCTTTGTCTTATTCTTTGGTGTCTATATGCATTTAAGGTTAACCATTTTATCTCACACTAAATACTCCGTCCTCTATTCATTGTTTTTTTTTCATTACAATTCGAACTTCCAACGAGTAATTCCATGTGATATTTTTTATTATATCGTACCATCTTGTTCTGGGATATTTTATTAGCTCCATTCCAATTTCTACAAATATGTCCCATCCTCATAATCTTCTCCTCCTTAAATTATTACGCGTCTACTATACTTGTACATTGTAAAAAGGCCTCTATAGCTCTGGATTTTTCCTCTTTATTCGCTCTCCGCTATCACAAAGATACTTAAAAATTGATTATTATATTATAACTACCCGCGTCGACAAGATTTATCGTTCAAATTAAACTTTTTGTTACGAATTATCGTTTCTGGTTATTGTAAAGTTTTAGTGAATTGGCACACACTACATATAAAGTTCTTTTCCCGGAAATTTTCGAAAAGCACTGCACGCGGTTTCGAAGTTCGATAAAAACCAAAATATGTATTCATACTACGAGTTATTATTATATTGGACGGAACATTATAATTTCGTCTCGGAATAATTTATTAATTAATAATAGACAATAGACAAAACAAAAAATGCAAATTACCGTAAAACCTCTACCTAATATACTCATATATCAATCTTTTCGAAATTATAATTATAATCTGTGGCTCACAACAACGGCAACTTTAATCCTGTATAGGAAAAGTTGTATATTTGTGCCTATCATGAAATTAAAAAAAAGAAATGTAAAAATATCTTGAATGATTAAACAGATTCATACATATAATATTCTTTATAGATAGACAATAAATAAAACTACTTAAATCTATGTTATCTCGTCGTGTTTTATAATTTACTCTAATAAAATTGGTTTACTGCCTGTGTACAAAATGATAACATGGCTTTCTATGTACTTCTCATTTCGATTTTATATTTAGTCACATATTATTTTTTCGCATTTGCAGTTCTATTTACTTGACGACGATTTTTTAAATCGAAACACCGATCGTGTTTATACTGTAGACTACAACCTTAATGGTTTTATAGGTTCCGGTTCCGATGCACCGGTGATTATTGACTCCGTTAAATTTTACCGTGAAAAGGAATAGAATTTCCTTAGTAAAATTTAGCCGAGGTGATGAAATTTCACTTGTGATAATTGACCCCGCGATATTCAACTTAGAGGTAAAATTTCACTAGTAATTATTGACCGGGTGGTAAATATTCACTAGTGAATGTCATAGGGGTCAGTTTTCACGAGAAAATCGAGAGCAAAATTCAACGACTAATCAAAGCCGTGCCGGGCATTTATTGGCCATAGTACAAAATCATGAATGTTCCGAAAAGGGGCATATTTATAAGAAGGCTGATAAGGCTTCAGCCCCTTTCTTCCGAAATATCAGGCAACTGTATACTTTAAATTCCTAATTACTGTTTTAAACATGACTATTCGAGAATCGGGTAGTGAACACCGTGATTGATTATATTTTAACTGTTGTTAATTATCATAATATCATAATACATACCATCGTTGTAAACATATTTATAGTCATTCTATAAATACCGTTAATGTAGAAAATGATAACTAGTCAAATTACATATCAATTATCAATAAAATATCATTTATTTCTGATATCGATAAAATAATTAAAAAAATAATTTAACAATCCATTAATAACTATTATTCGGTACTATATTTTTATAGTACAGGGGAAGGGGGCCACTAAACGGTACCTCCTCCTTCCATTGAATACACCAATATGTTTTGTATATATTGCAACTATTATATAAACTATTTCAAATTCTATTTTTACTTGTGTCTAGTATGATGATAATAAAATTGGTGGTTTATGATTAAATTTAACATGATACCTAACTGTTTCCTATTTAATTCGAAACGTATTAAAAAAATCAATATGGGGTGAAAAGGATAAAACCGGAAAATCTTACGATTTCCGTCAAAATTATGAATGTTTTCAAAATTTCAAGTTAATCGAACCACAAGAAGATGGTCAAAAATCGATCAAAAATTTTTGTTAAAATATCTATGTTTTAAATGAATTTAAAAATGTCAAGTGCAGAAATGAGGATATGTTTAATAATTTAAAATGGCCGCCAATCAATTTTATTTTGTATTGATTTTTAGAAAATGTCGAGACGATTAATTTGTTTTAAAAGGTGGATTACGTGATTTAATTATTTTTACGCTCAGCTCCTTCTCATTCTTTACTAGATAGTTGCCTATGTGCCTTCTGTAAAATTTGGTTTTAGAAATATATTGTTCCCTTTCTGCAATTAGTTATTCAGTTATATTACGGATAGTCTGGAAACACGATAAAATATGTCTGTATTATAATCAAGAAACGCACATTTATAATTTACACTAACTATAGTTTATTATATTTTCGCATTAATTTATTTATTTTGCAAATCGTTTTCTTTGCAATTTTGTGGAGCCGATAAGAACCTAAAAGAACCAAAAATATTTGTTTTTTATCTGGTTATGTTCTGGTCCTAGTTAAGATCCGTCGTATCAAACAATAATGATAAATATTCTGGTTACGAAATTTTTACGAAAACCGGTTCAAGTCCTTTGATTTGCGCACAATCTTTATAATTCTTCAGTATTTGGTTTGTTTGTTTAAAAATATATTTATATTTTTGTTTCGCATACATAATAATAGGTAAATTGTACATGATATATTTGTTTGTATTCGATATTAATATTATCGAGTATTAACCTTAATAACAACTTTTGTTTATTTATAATTTGTATTTTCGGTCGAACATCGATATACATATTATTGCATTTCGGAAATATAACGAAAGTCTTCGGGACTCATAGCAAAATTTCAAACATTTTTAAAAAAAAAATTTTAACGTTCAACAGATTATTCGAGTAATATTGGTAAAACTACGAGTCTGACGATCGGTTGGGATAATTCTAACGGAACGATAGTTTTTTTTACCAAAGAGACTAATATTATTAATTAGGTAACATATATTTACAACGCAATAGTGCATTTTTTTTTATCAAAATTCAATAAAATTGTATATTTCGTTTTCAATACGATCTGAAGACCGCTCCGGACACGACCGAGGTTACAAATACGGGTATAGGTATGCAAACGGGATACGGCCGGGATAAATTACACCGGACGAAATACTCAAATCGCACGTTCGCTTAGATACAAGTGCACAACTTACATAACGGCAGCAGACCGCTGTTGAGCATGGACAGCTTGATGGTGTTCGGTATGGACACTAACGACACGCTGTTGGTGGACGACGGCGAGGCGGACGACTTTTTCTTCTTTTTCGGTTTTTCTTCCACGTACTTGGTGGCCGACTTGGACCGGCCCTTGTGCCGGTACGTTTTGCCGCCACTGTCACGATAGTTGTTCGGGTAGCAACTGCTGCCAGTGCTGCTCGCACCGTCACCGCCGGCCACGGACGAGTCGCTCCTGTACGACGACAGCTTGACGACGGTGATTGATTGGACGGCGGGAAACGCGAAGACGCTGAACGGTAGTACCGGTTAGCGGTGGCGGCGGTGTGCCGTCAAGCTGTAGCGGTGGCGGCGGTTCGCTGATAAGCAGTGGCGATGGCGGCGGTGGCGGGAACGGCGAGTTTCGCGCGTGAATGCGGCGGCGGACGAAAATTAGTCGTATACGCGCCCGACGGACACCACGTCCCGTGTATAAAGCTGCACGACTCGCGGTGACGGAACACTAGAATAATATACTGCGGACTGTAGCGTACTGCGCGGGATGGGCCGCGCGACTGGGACGCGTGCCTCGGCGGGACGGACGGCTGCGAACGAGTCGAACGATGGCGGTCGGTTAAATGGTGAAATATATGATATTTTGACGAAACGCGTGCGGTGCAACGGTCGTCGTCGTTGGCGTCGTTAACGTCGTCGTCGTCGTCGTCGTCCGGCGTCAGCGGTCCGCGTGAAACTGAACCGACGACCAGGGCGGTGGCGGCGGTCATGTGTTGTCGCCGCCGTCGCCGTACCGACGGCGCCCGTGTATACGCCGCCGCTGTAGTACAACACTGTTGGTATTCTTTTTTTTCTTCTTTTATTCGTTTCGCTTCTGTTCTGTCCGGTTGATCCAACAGGTAACCCCCCCCCACACACACACACACACACACACCGCCACCACCACCACCACTATTCGGCCGATAAACGAATCTGGAAATAATAATAACGTCTACTAATTCGGTTTTCTTTTTAGATTCTGAGCGAAGCGAGGAACGCATATTGCTGTTTTACTACGAAGTGTGTCTGAAAAACCACTTTTCTACCGGAAATCTTGGACACTTAGTTTCGGAACTTTCGCGTTTATTTTTGTATCGAGTTGGTGCGTTATTTTGATTTTGAAATAACCGACAATTTTCGTGTGCGCGTTTTGTAGTTTTTCTGCTCCGGGTCGTTTTTCGCCAGGAATAGTTTATGGTTGCGTAAAAATATAAATTAAACTGCTCCATAGGGAGTTCAGGTAGGCCGTCCAGAATTCGTGTCTGAGAGCGTCCCTCGCCCATCAGCAGTATCAGCGGTGTACTTGCAGCCTTTCTAGACTACGGCATTCACAGTGATCGGAAGAAAACCCGAGTTAATCGGGCGAGGAAAACTCGAAACGCCGAGTTTCCGTTCTCGTTATCCGACGAATCCTCACGACCCTCGCCGCACCACGTGAAACTTTTGTTATACCGCTGTTGCTCGCTGCAGTTGTCGTTTCTAATAATTAACTAGGTAGTTAAGTTAAAAGGTTTTTCGAAAAAATTAATACTTGATACTTAAACTTTCTATGTACCTACCGCAGGGAATTTTATTGGTTTATCGTTTAACGGAGAACGATGGGGAGGGGTGGAAGGGGCGAAAAAAAGTTCAACAACTCACGGCACGGGCCGATTTTGCGGTTAGAGTTTTAAGTATAATACGAGGCAGAGTCGTATACAGATATACTCACGGCAACAGGCGACCGGGTATAAAACTTCGAAAATCTGTAAGCTCGCAGTCGACTAGTATAACCATACTAAGCTACAGTAAGGTTACTAAACACACGCACACTTTTATATACATGGCGATTTTTTTTTTCCTCATCCAGCGAATTCTATGACGAGTTTGAGTTTTTTTATTTTTCAGACATAATATCTTTAGCTTAAGTCAATAGTGTATAATTTGAAATAAAGCAAAATACATTTCGAGAATCGTTGAATAGCTAAATCTATTACACAACAAATACAAGCTATGCTTTTTTGCCAAATAAAAAGTACATCGTAGTAACATAAGATGTTTTAATTTTCACTATAACACATGTTGGACTATATTTTACAGTTTTAGACTCATAAATATTTTTATAATTTTAAAAAGTGATCCTTTGAAATCGATGTTTTTCAGTATTCCTACTGGAACCTAACCTATTCCTGTTGACTTTGTATTATTTAAACTTTTCTAAGCAAACCCAAATTCTTGTTTTGTTATTGGAGGGCCTTCATCAAATTCATCGCCACAACTTAATAATATCCATCAATTCGCCAATTTTTCCAAAGAAAAAAATTTTTTTAATGATTTTTGTAAACTTCAAAAAATTTTAGAAACTTAACAATTCATCGTTACCTAGTAAATGTTTGCAACACTAAAATTTTGTTTCAAATTGTTTTATTGATTCTGAACGGAGTTCGGTTAATAGTGTTGCTTTTTCAACTATATACATGTCATATTATGGTAAAATAATTACATGTTATGCATTATATATTTTCTTTAATATTATACCGATTTTCCCGTTTGTCCTACGTTCTTTCTCTGTTTTTTCCCGGTTTTCCCATTCATTATGAAAACAGCTGAGAAAATCAAAAAATGAGAAAAATACTATCGTTATAAATCGAAACAAAATTGCTGGTAGAAAAGTTGTCCACGAAAATAAAAAAAAGGCCGTAATATTATTTAATAATACCTGCAATTCGTAAATTTTCCCGTTTTTCTTCAGTTTTTTTACCCGGTTTTCTCATTTATTTTCCATGGGAAAAAAAATCAACACAAGCATCGTTGTAAAACCAATACATTCATCGCTCCGCTCGAAATAAAATATAAATATAAAACAAAAGAACCATAACGCAGGGCTCTAGAAATAATTGCATTGAAAATAATGTTAAAAATATTGAACGGAACGAAAGTTTTTTCAGTTGCCGGGGTTCGGTGTTACGCCCTGTACATCCAAAATCAATTCCACTCAAAATCTTCATGAATCGCTGGATCGTGATTAAAAAAAAAAAAAACACCTTATATAGTTAGTTTATACACCAAGTCGCAAAATAAAACGCGTCTCGCTGTAATCTTTCGCTCGGCTTTGTTTGCGTGCGTGTATCTCGGAAAAAAAATGCGGCTTATATGACGGGCGCGGCGATAGCAGTCTTTCACAACTGCTCGTGTCGTGTCTTTCATGTCTTTTCACGGAAAAAAATTTCTTCGAAAAGAGGATATTACTGGAGGTTTTATTTTTTTTTTTTATCGCGTATATGCCTTCGTATACATTGTTACACGTGTCAAATCGACCGTGGATCCGACATGCGCTATACGAAAATGCGCCTCTATGAAATTTATGATTGGCGTAAATCCGAAGCATATTAATCGGAACATTCGTGATGGGTATCGTGTTAACGGACGGAACAAGAAAATTACAGCATTAGAAAAAAAAAAAAAAGTTAAGGGTCTACAACGCTAATTTTATCCATAATCCATGTACGAAATATCAATGGGACAATGAACACTAAATTATATCAGCGCTTAGTAGGACTTGTTACACGCATGTATTAGCTCACTCCAATTGAATGAATATAGCGAAGTTGCGTAACTTAGAATACTAAAGCTGTGGAGTTTCAACACAATAATAACGAAACGTAAAGAGAAGAATATTCTATGTGGACACCGCGTTGTCATTTAAGAAAAGCAAAAACTATCATGGTTGTAAACGACTCTTAGTTGTTTGACAACTTATTTTTAGAAAAAAAACGATTTAGTGCCCTCGAAAATAGTATATTCTATTTAAATCTATTTTATCTGTGTTTTAACTTGAATTTCAACTAAAGCGCCTAGGTTTTAATTCTTTAATAGTTACGTCATTTTGCTATATTGCCTGCAGTTAGACGCGCTGAGACAACGAGACAGTAAATGCCAGCCGTCACAGTAGTGCTTGTCGTCTTTGTCTTACCAACCGCAGATATAACAAAAACGCGTTCAACTAAAAACAAACAAACTTGTCTCTGAAATTTTATTCAAAGACAAAACATTATATTGTTTGTAGATGATAATACTTTGAAGACATTCCCGTCGGTGCAGTTTTTTGAAGCATGAATTATTACAAAAGTAACAATTATTTAAAAAATGGAAAATACAATAGTATCTGTGTTCCTTTAATAATTAAGAGTTGAATATTTTTGCGTCCGATTGCTTCGATCCGGACATAAACTGCAATCGATTGACAATAACTCAGATAGTGTTATAAAGTTGTTTTATTCTTAAACCCTTGAAATAATTTATTATTATTATTAACCTTATTATCACTCTAATTAATAAATTATGATTAATGTTTCATTAAGTCGTCATAATTTTTATATGTATTGATAAATGAAAATTAATAACAAATATAACACTACACAAATATTTTCCCAACATCATCATTCACCAACGACCATTCAACATCAATCGTATTTCATTAAAACCACCAAACAAGACCGGCCTAATAAATGTTGTGTATTTGTTTGCAGAACCATGCCTAAGGAGGTGCGAGAGGTGTCCACGCATTGGGCGCTATAACAACATGGATGTAAATGAAAATTGAATATGTTTACAATAAAAATAGGAGTGGACCCCCAACGGACAATTTGGTCATTTTATTATTGGCCTTCTATTTTTTTTTTTTATCAACCGTGAATATTTTTGGCACAGTGTGCCGTGCTAAGTACGGTACTGGCTAAGTATGAACCAATAAATTATATAAACAATACATAAACATTTTTTTTTTTTATGCTCAACACCGATTACAATAAATAAATAAATCATTGCCTACTATCTATTTGTCGTATAAAAGTCCGTTTGATGTAAATTTAAAGCGTAAATATCGGCAATACTCTAATACATTGAATAGTTTAATCAAAGAAGCTAAAAAAATGTACTATCTTAATTTAATATGTAAATACCAGAATAATCCTAAACAAATGTGGAAACTGATCAATGAAATTGATGGCAAATCAAATACGAATAAGTTAATTTATTTATTGGTTGGTTTATTTATTTAAACGTTATATATTACGTTTAATTTAGCCATTATTCGCCAAACTTGCTTATAGGGGGTGAGTAAACTACAGTTTGTATGCACCTAATTGAAATCATTTTATCGTCTGTTTACAAATAAGTTATTATTATTGTTATTATTATTATATTATCTTGAGAGTCCTTGAGAATCCTGAGAAATGTGTTTGGCGCTGTCAACGACACTGAAACCGATGGCTGGATGATAAGACAGACCGAGGAACTTAAATCGCTGTATCAGAGCCCTAACCTCGTAGAGGCCATCAGAAATAAGACACTACGGTGGGCAAGACACGCCTGGAGAAGCGGAAATTCATTGCTGAAAAAAAAACTTGACAGAGAAAAGACCGTTTTCGGAATAAATATGTCATATCCGCTAATATGGCATATTTCTCCTCCTAGATCGTCCGAAATGTGAACGACCTAGGAGGAGAATCAAATTGGAAAGCGTGTAAGCATTGGGTCGAGATGGATGACGGGCTGAACGATTTTCGTACCCCGATGGAGGAGAAATACGTTCACAAAAACCGTTACAGTTGATCCGAGCATCAGCACGCAGTTACGGAACGGTTACGGAACACGTCTCTGGCCGACACGATTCATATAAAGCGATAAACAAAGGCGACGCCGTCGATTTGATACGAAATATCATAATACCGTCTGCGCACTATGATTATATTATTATATTGTTCGTTTCATGCATTATGAATAGCGCGGTAATTCGCGTTGACTTTTTCACGGGCGGATAAAAACGTGATAAAAAGCGAGTCGATCGCGCGCACGAATTGACGTCGCCGGTCGGGGCAGTAACAGCGCACACCGTAATGGCGCCGCTGCGTATGCGTGTACGTGTTCCGTAAAATATAATACGGTAATCCGGCAAAAACCCAACCGAACTATACGGGCAATATTTCGTCGTCTCGCTCGGTGCGCGTCCTGGCGCGGAGCCGGATTTATCGCGAACGGGGCCCGCGCGCAGCTCTCGTGTTATTTGGATTATGGCGACGACACGACGTTGAATGAGACGAGAGGACGGGAACCGTACTCGCGCGCAATGTCATTACGACAATTATAGTGGATATCCGCGTCGCACGCAATACCGATTACTGGGCCCGCACAGACATTGTTCGCTCGGTTTTTTTTTTATTCGGTTCCGAATTATTTCTCAACGGACAGTGCCGCACGCCCCTCCCCCACCCCCACCCCGGGTGCGCGCGGTCTGTTTTTTCTTGTCGGTCATTTTTAAACGAATCTACAATACCTGTTTTCAAAGTTAAAGGTTCAAGAACATTGTCGGCTGTGTTTTTTCACGCCGGTTTCGTTTTTATATTTCGATTTTTAAGCGAGATATCGGTGTTTTTTAAATTGCCATATTTCACATGGGTACTCGCGTTGGTGCGCTGAATATTCTTACCTTAAAATGCGATTATTAATCGATCCGCTCCAATATCATGTCTAAAAGCGCGCAATTGATCATTTTCATTAGTATAATGTATTCTCCGACAGCGTATATTAGACATTTAATTATTTCAACATAAACAAGTAGATACGCGTAAACACATGCCATGCATTCTTTAAATCGTATTGATACGCTAAAAAGATCGATATAATAATACGCTTTGTTTATTTTTCCAATTTTGTATTTTCTGTAAAATTTGTTGTACGCATATTTCGTATATTGAGTAGAAATCGCGCGTATATTTTATTTATTTTGTTTTCAAAGACTGTCTACAGACGTCTACAGACGTAACACAAAACTGCATGTCTACAAATGTATGAAAATAAAAAAAAATGATTGCAGTAAAACAAATATTTGACTTAATTCATTTAAGCTTTTAAATTCAGAACGTAGCGAAAAAGCTATTTTAGTTTTACTATAATGCGTATTTCTTTTCTTCTGGAAAAACTAGTGAAAACACTCCGAATTATTCGCATTGTACCTTATGTACGCCCGGCGGAAATTTAATTTTAACGAGATTTCTGGATTCCCGAAAGTTTTTCTGTAAAACTAAAAAAAAAATCTGGTAAATCTAATGAAATATTCATGCTAACTATGTTTAATGTATTTTATATCTATAATTTTTTTTTTTTTTTTTAATGAAATTTAACCAAAATCGTATTAACTTTCATGCGTAGCAGCATATTAAAAACCCGGATGTACTTCGCGCCCATGGGTAAGACAAAACTCATCAGTTCCAAACCTATCGATATCTGTTGAATATTTTTTTTTTTTAGTTTTACAGAAAAACTTTTTGGAATCCAGAAATCTCGTTAAAATTGAATTTCCGCGGGGCGTACATAAGGTACAATGCGAATAATTCGGAGTGTTTTCACTAGTTTTTCCAGAAGAAAAGAAATACGCATTATAGTAAAACTAAAATAGCTTTTTCGCTACGTTCTGAATTTAAAAGCTTAAATGAATTAAGTCAAATATTTTTTTTGTGTTACGTCTGTAGACGTCTGTAGACAGTCTTTGAAAACAAAATAAATAAAATATACGCGCGATTTCTACTCAATATACGAAATATGCGTACAACAAATTTTACAGAAAATACAAAATTGGAAAAATAAACAAAGCGTATTATTATATCGATCTTTTTAGCGTATCAATACGATTTAAAGAATGCATGGCATGTGTTTACGCGTATCTACTTGTTTATGTTGAAATAATTAAATATCTAATACACGCTGTTGGAGAATACATTATACTAATAAATATGTGACCTTCAAAAACCTATTATTACGTTCAAATACGATGTGGAATTAAAGTTCGCGAAACAAAAACAACAAACTATGGTTTAACGAAAACTCCGTCCGCCTTTTTCTATTATTCCGATCGTCTTCGTTCCAACTATTTGGGGTTAGGTGAGATGGGCTACACTCAAATAAATAATAAATGACAAATAATTTAAAAATAATACAACAATTGATACTTTTTAATGTGCCACACGAGTGTGATTGCCGTTATATATTATAGAGATTTAACAAAAATGACTTTAAGTCAATATAGTCTTATTTATTTTGTATAGTTTACAAGTGTCAAATATATTTACACATACGATTTTCGTTTTCGTTTAATAAAGAACACAGTTCCATGCCCTGACATCCCCGCCACTGAATTTTGAAACGAAACCAAGAGATTTTTTTGTGCTACATATGTGTTGATTTGTGCCGCTATTCTCGACATTTGTGCTTTTAAAATGTTCTCCGGTACCGTCAGAGTTGGACTGGCCCATTATAAATTGGTAATGGGGCCGGTTTCATAAATGGATTATTAATATCTACATATTTTTGAAAAATTGAAAAATTGTATACGAAAATTATAAAATTATTTCAATTATAAAAAAACTGAAGTATTTAAAAATTTAACCTTCCTGATAATAGAAATAGATAAGACATATTTATCTCACATATTTTGATGAAAATCGTGATGGTTTATTTTTATATTTGTTATCGCATGGATAACAAATATACTTTTGTACTTAATACTTTTCACAAAAATGTGCTGATATAAACTATAGACTATAGTTTTTAGACTTACCTAAGGTGACTTTCCATAATAATAATAAGTCGCACACAATAAATTGCATGAACCTTATTTTTAATTACTCTTTCGTCTTGAAATAGTTCGTAACTTACTCTTGTATAATATGCGTAGCGTGTTTGATGTCTATTGATGATTTGTGCATGTATAAAGAAACATATTGTTTCATAATAACATTAACGTCATATTTCAACCATTTTTTTTTTTTTTTTAACACAAAAATCCCGACCACTGTTATAATATTGCGACTACGTGTAATAATCATAATATTGTCAAAATTAGTGGATATCCGTTTACGTCGTATTATCGTCAACCGGTCGCGAATCATCGAGATTCGCCTTCCCGCTTGAAGAACCCAAATACGATCAACGACGGCGCAACGACGTTAATAATATTATACGGAACGCAATACCTAAATTGTACACAGTTGATAAAATATTACCGTCATAAATAAGCCGCACAAACTGCAGTTTACCATCATGTAGGTGTATGATATTACTAAAACAATATTATATTAATCGCCGTTTTGCGTACAAGCGTGCGGTGTTAACCGTTTTTGGAGCGTTACCAACATCGGAAACCGTTTTATTGAATTCGATTGTTGGGCGATATAAAATAAATAAACGGTTTTCAGCATAACAACGCGTTTAATTTTAGACTGCTCGAACAGCACGCGTAATAATGCGCCGCGGAGGTCCAAGAATCTCGCCGAAAGACGCCCGCCGCAGAGTTCACGCGCTTTTATATTAATGTAACGTCCGTTGCTGTGTCGACGAGCGTTTTTTCAATCGAGTTAATTCGTTGTTTTTTTTTTTCTAAACCCGGAACGTAGCGAGCAGTGGGCACACGCATGATTTTTTTCAGGGAAAGTCGTGTGTACAATAATTGTCTACAGAGAGGATACCCCGATATATTATCACTGCAATACTATATCATCACCATTATTACTGAACAATGAATGACACTGAAATAAATTGCATTATTCTATTCTGTGGTATACGGTAATATTACGCTGCTGAATGAATACCTTGATTTAAAACAAATGTGTGAAGAAAGACGTTTTGGGGGAAGAGGGTGGTCTGACCCCGTAACCTACCATCCCCCACCTCTGTATGAGCCACTGATAATGAGAAATGTATTGGTTTTACAATGATTTTTTTTTTTTTTTGTATATTGTAAGCAACTTTTCTACCAAAAATCTTACTCCGATGTATCAAGTATAACACCTTTTTTTAAAGTAAAATTTTGTTTATTTGATACTTTAAGAAGGTGATTTTTTTTGATTTTTCGAGCAATTTTCATAATTATTGGTAAAAACTGTGAAAAAAAGGAAGGCAAACAGGAAAATATATGTACATGTATAAAAGAAATTTCACTCCGAATCGTTTTTCACTACCTAACAATGGTTTTCTAGATGCGTATAGACATAAAATAAATTCCACTCTTAATATCTTATTTTCTCAACTTCTCACCTATAACAGGAGCCTACCCGTGATGCAAAGTATGTCCGCATCTATTTCCATTTACTGTTTTTTTTTTTTTTTTTACCACCTCGCTTAGAGATATTTTCAACGAAGTAAATGATTATAAGTACGTGCAATCGAAAAAATCACTAAATATTCTAATTCATTGTTCTCTGAGAAAAATACACACTGCATGTGTGAGCTGAATACATTTTAAAATTATACACGACCGAAACGCGACCACCTGTTAACAGCTCTCGAGCTGAGGCACTTACCGCGAGGTATAAAAATAAAAAGACGTTCTAGGATAATGGGAACGGGTAAAGCCACTATTATAGATAATTTAATGCATACATGTAAGCAACAATAAACCATTGCTTACGAAAAAGCAATTCTGAGCGGAGTTCAGTTGATAGTGATGCTTTGTCAACAATATATATATGACAATTTAAAGTAAAATAATTAAACAGGCTTTATATATTTTCTTTACTAATATTTGTTTAATGTTGCACCGATTTTTCCATTTCCTACGTTTTTCGCGGATTCCCCGTGTTTTACCCGGTTTTTCACATTTACTGGGAAAATTGTTAGAAAAATCGAAAAATTACCTCTTTAAAGTACCTCGCTAGTAAAATTTCTTTTTAGAAACATTGCTGTCATTGAAAGTTGGAGCAAAATTGCTAGTAGAAGAATTGTGCACAGAAAAAAAGAAGGCCGTAATAAATTTTAACTAATACCTACATTTCTTATATTTTCCGTTTTTTTTCCGGATTTTCAAATTTCATGAGTAAACTCCTGAGAAAATTGAAAAATGACATGTTTGAAGTACTTCCCAGAACCGATTTCCTTTCAGAAAAATTGTTACACATAGAAATCCAAGCAAGTCTTCTGATAGAAAAGTTGCAGATAAAAAAAATATATAATAATAAACATCTTTGTAAAATTATAAGCTACTTCGCTCCACTCAGAAACTAAAAGGAACAGATTTAACAGAAAAGTGCATAATATATATACAATATAAGGAAAAACGAACAGGAAACTTTATAAAAACAAAATATCAAGTACAATAACATCTCTAGTTTCATCGTTTAATTCACGCTTCTACTTAGTCCGTTCTAAAACGACGTTCAAAAATTTACTAAAAAAATCATACCGGATACCGGTCTAAGAAAACATCGACAAGAGATCACTTGATAATAGTTCACTCAACTAATAATAATAATACTTTGTTTAATTAAGTGCGGAACAAAGACACGTAAAATGTGTGAGAAAAAAACGGCGAGTCTATAAACATTACGAGTCTCGAATGAAAACGCGAATTATTATCTACGTACGCGTGACCAATAAATCCATGTACACGTATATACGTGAATTTACTGTCCGCGTTATAACGTGTTAAAATACGTAAATAATCACGTGAAATACGATGATTTTTCGAGTTCGCGATTTTATAGTTCCCCGTTAATTTCCCGCGAATTATAACTAAATACTAATAATAAATAAACGGGTGTTCTACGTAGTTGATTGATTGTTTGCAGATTATTCACGTTTTTCTTTCCCTCTACAAAAACTAAGGAAAATTAATTGGCAAATATATTGAATCGTGATCCAAACGACAAACGCTACGACCAACAGCGTGCCGATCACGTCCAAGAGAAAATATTGATACCAAATCAGATTGATAGCGGGAGATTTCAGATGCGGCGCGCCATTGTGCCGTAACACGTACTCCGTCCAGTAAACAACCGATTCTGCGGGCGAAACGGGCCGGTCTTTGAACCTTTTGGAAGCGACTTTGGCGTTGTTGCGGTAACTGAAAATTAAAAACACAAAAAAAAAAATATATATCTGTAAATACGTTGTATTTATTCGGGTTTAACTGATTTAACGAGATCGATTAAATACGTGCCTTTCGTTATTGACGAGCTCGGTAATGGCGGTCAAAAGCGTATCGTTCGTAATGGAAAACATGTTTACGGAAATCGCCATGCCTGCGTCCACCAGATTTTTCATATTTATCGGTTGGTCGTATACAATCGGAAATCCGAGTACGGGCACACCGGCGTCCACTGCCTCGTAAACTCCGGATATGCTTCCGTGGCAGATAAACAACTTCACGTTTGGATGCACTGCAAAAGGACAAAATTTAAATATTTTGAAAATTTTACCAATTTTTGTTTTACATCTTACACAGTATGTCACGTTGGGGAAAAGATTTGTTCACCATCACGTTTGGCGGTAGGTCTTCAATTTCTTTATTGGATTTCCACAGTACCCTCTGCGGGATTTTCCTGAAAACATCCATGAACGCTTTTTGGACGTTTACCGGCAATGACGAGATCATCATTATCGAACCGAATGTGAAATAAATCACACCATGAGGCGAGTCTTCAATGAATTCTAAAATGTCCTGAAACAGTGAACCACGATAAAATCGGTGCACGTCCGAATTGCACGCTATCACATATTATAGAAGGGTCTACCCACATTGCGTGCTAGCACTTGCAGGGTCTGTCCGAATCGCGTACCTTGGATAAATTTACTTAACACAACTTAGTCTTTAGATCCTGAGCGTGGCGTATATTAGTTATAAATAGATGTTTACTTTTTTTTTTTTTTTGTCCGAAATTCTACCAGAAATCTTGCTCAAATGTATACGAGGTAGACCCTTTTAAGAATGGAAATTTTATTTGGGTGGTACTTAAAAGAGATCATTTATTGATTTCCTCATTAGTTTTCCCAATAAAAGGGAAAAAATGAGAAAAAAACATAAGAAAAACGGTAAATTTATGAAAATTATGCTTTTATTATTTTCTCAATAGTATCATTTGTTCCAATTCAGTCAAAAATATTCATAGCCTTGAAATTTGAACAGAAAATTTCTAGTTAGGATAGGTTTGAGTTTAATGTAGTACTTATTTTTATTTTTTTATAAAGGAATTTTAACATTTTGACGGATATCGTTTGAGTGAAAAATGATGTGGAACAAATCTAATTTTTCAATTTTTTGTTTTAAACAAAATATATATAACACATATTATGTATATTGCTGATTTAAAAACGATAGTGAAATCCGAATCGAACGGACTGAATTAGTTTCAAAATTATATCTTTTTGATGTTCTAATATTATGCCAATATTAATAATAAAGTTATTATATATATTATTAATTATTATTTTTAAATAAAATTGTTTTCAATTATTTAAGTAGGTTTATTTGGTCATTTTTTAAGACCATTTTTCGGAATTTTTGGAACATTTTTTGGATTTTTTAGAGCAGTTTTGCAAATTTTTTTTGGGCATTTTTGTGTTTTTTAGGCCATCAACATCCTATCCCTATTAGTTACTCAATATTGTCATATTTAAATTATTTTTATCGTCGTCTAATGGACATGGATATGTATTGTCATCCTGGGGATCGTAAGTTCAAACTCGGGTTTCGAAAAAACTTATTTGCATTTATTTTTTCTATTTTACCTGAACAAGGAAAAAACAAATTAATTTTAGGTGTACCTAGAAACCCAGCTATTACTCACTCGGGGTATTTTAATCGAAAAATACTCCTCGATTTGTTTACGCAAACTTTTCTACCAGGAATCTTGCTCTGCAGCACTTTTCTGAAGAAAATCGGGCACAGGAGAAAGCTTAGGGAGGTAATTTTTCGATTTGCTCAGAAGTTATCTAAACAATTGTGAAAAACTGGGGAAAATGTACGAAATTTATTAATAAAATATTACAGTCTTTTTTTTCTAAGGAAAATTTTTCTACCAACAATTTCGCTCCAATTTAAAATGAAAGCACCTCTTTTAAAAGGAAATCTGACTAGGGAGGTACTTTAAGGGAGGTTATTTTTTTATTTTTCCAAGAGTTTCCACTCAGAATCGTTTTTTCGTTAGCAATAGTTTATCGTTACTTACAGATATACATTAAATTTCCCCTTTACTACCTTCCTAACTTCTAACCTACAACAGTGGCTGCACCTACATGTGAAGTATGTCCGTCTTTGTTTTCATTTGAAACTGAATTTTTCGAAAACCAAAAAATTATCAATCAAATTTTTCTAAAAATAAAAAAATATAAAGTTTATTTGGTCATATAATTCACCAAATTTTAAATTTTTACTTGACTTTAAATTACTGAATTCTTGAAGTTAAATTAAAGTGGCGTTTTCCTTTCCAGTTTTTTTAGACTTGAAAACGACAGTAGAAACTTAATTGTTTTACTGTTATGGTTAAAACAATTTTTTTAATTTTTTTAATTTCATTTTAAAATTGTTTTCAATTTACAATTATCAAAATAATACAATTGAATTTACTATTTCGGTTATAATACTCTATATTGTTATCTCTAACGTTTTAATGTGTACTTAATGATTACGAATTATCAATATACTTAATATAATTAAGTATTTATTTTGTTATCGGTCAAACATACAAATTTTTGTACATGCACTATTTTACTGATTTCATCAATATTGCGTCTAATAATCAATAAAAGGCTAATCACGAATGTTTCTTATAACACATAATATATTCGAGTTATTTTTTATTTTATTTTTTCAATTGTTGGGTGTGTCACTTTAATTCAATTTAAATTCAGAAATTACTAAATTATATTAACAATATTAAAAAGTAGGTGGCACTATAACTAAATAAAACCATGTATTTTTTTTTTTTTTTATGAATTAATACCTATTTTTAAACAATTTTAAATGATTTTTTTTTTAGTTTTCGAAAAATCATTATAGTCCAAAAGAAAAAAAAAGTCACATAATTCAGATAGGCTCCTGTAAGAAGTGGCATCCAATTTGGACATATTTTACGATTTTTTTTAGCATGCAATTCGGATGCATCCAAAAACAAAACTTGGATCGACAGGCCATTATATATAGTTTAATAAAAACAATAAGTTCTACCCGACAGTTCTAATGAAGTTTTAGAGCGTGAAAAGTGGATGTTTTAGATTCTGAGTGAAGCGAAGAATGCATTGGTTTTACAAAGATGTTAATTATTTTTTTTATATGAACACTTCTTTTATCAAAAATCTTACTCCAATATATATGATGTAGACCCTTTTCTGAAATTTTCTTAGGGTGGAACTTTAGGGAGGTAATTTTTCGTTTTTCTTATGAATTTTCTCAACTAATGTGGAAAACCGAAAAAAAAAACGGGAAAATCGGAACAATATTAAACAAAAAAACGTCCTAGGATAATGAGGACGGGTTCAGCCACTGTTATAGATAATTTAATGTATATCTGTAAACCACAATAAATCATTGCTTACGAAAAAATGATTCTGAGCGGAGTTCACTTAAAAATGCTTTGTTAAGAATATATATGACATAAAATAATTAAAATAATTAAATAGGCATTATATATTTTCTTGAATAATATTTGTTTAATGTTGTACTAATTTTCCCAGTTTTCCTACGTTTTTCCCGGTTTTTCACATTTACTGGGAAAACTCTTGAAAAAATCGAAAAATGACTTCTTTAAAGTACATCGCTTGTGAAATTTACTTTAAGAAACATTGCTATCATTAAAAGTTGGAGCAAAATTGCTGGTTGAAAAGTTGTGCACAGAAAAAAATAAGGCCGTAATATATATTAACTAATACCTACATTTCTTATATTTTCCCGTTTTTTTTTTTTTTAGGTTTTTAAATTTGATGAGATAACTCTTGGGAAAAATTGAAAAATGACCTCCCTAAAGTACTTCCCCACGCCGATTTCCTTTCAGAAAAGGTACTACACCTAAAAAACATTTAAGGAAAGTAAAGTAAAGAAAATAAATAATGCCCATTTAATTTTTTTACCATAATATGAAATATATATTGTTGACAAAGCATCACTATCAACTAAACTCCGCTCAGAATAGTTTTTTCGTTAACAATGGTTAATCGTTTCAGCTTACAGATAAACATTGAATTCCCTTCTGTATCCTACCATTTCAACTTCCCACGCACAACAGTGGCTGCACCCATCTGAGCCCGTCTCCATTATCTTAGAAAAACCTATTTTTTAAATGAATTCACATTTTGACGTTCGTTGTTGCGGTGAATTTAAAACACTAGAGTCACGGCGAATGTACCAATTTTATTATTACAATAATCGCTTACCTTCGGTAATTCTTTAGGCGGCGTGAGGTGTATTCCACCGATCGAAATGACGTCCGGCGTCAAAGGCCGAGAGAAGTCGGTAATGTAATGCGCGTTCGTGAAGGTAATCGAAGGTTTGATAAGATCAACATCGTCGTACGGACGCGGGTCGGACACCTTTTGCCACCATTCGTTGTACCGCAACAAAAAGGAACAGTAGACCGTCAGTACAGTGTTGGACAACCGGTCGAGGAACGTTTTGGGGATGGCGCGCGGGAACAACGTATGTCCAAAGGTCGCCGGATTCGGGAATTGCCCAGAAATCGATCGTTCCAGATCGGTGAAGACCGCCGGCACGACGACGTAAACCAGAGGAATGCGGAGCACGGTGGCCACGTACGCCACGCATTTCGATGCGACAGGTTGGGTGATTAACAAGTCGAATTCGGACGGGAGCGCCGCGGTCAAGATTTCCGTCATACGCGGGTGTTCGTGAATCACGTCACAGTACGATCGGGTAATGTTTATCAATATGGCCATAAACGTCGCGGTCGTGCTGACCTTACCCCTCACGTACGTGACGTTTTCGTTGATGTGAACACGCATCACATCGGACATGTCCACCTCGACGTAGTTGTCCCTGTCGCCGTCCACGAACGGCGTGAACGCCGTCACGTTGTGGCCGTGTTCGATCAACGGCCGCAGTACGGAGCGCATCACGTTCCAGTGGCTCAACCCCGGGACCGTTTGCACCGCCAGAATGTTCGCAGCCCCGACCGGTGACCATGATGGTTGCAATGTCAGCACCAGTATGACGATCGCCAGCAGCCGTTCCCGTGCCTTGAAACGCGACATGACCGCCTCTGTATAATCGAAAAACCACGATAATTATTACTCGCTTGCCCGTAACTCCGGTATCTGTAACCTAATTTAGGTTAGACGTTCGACCCTACATTATATATAAACACAAAGTATGAAAAAAAAAAAAAAACGCTTACCAAATCAGAGATCAGCATGTAAACTTTCGTGATTTTTAAATTATAATCCAATGAATAAAGTGTCTTCCGTCACGTACTCGTACTACACGCATTTTGTACCTGAAGTGTCTTATGTCTACTCGCCCGATAAACATCAACATTCAACACCCATCCACCCGCCCGCCCTTTTTACCGCGACGCGTCTGCGTCGGTGTAACCCCGTTCACGCCCCCACCGCCGGTAGCTGCTGTTGTGTATTGGCGTTATCTATACTACATCAAATTGGTGATTACTATTTATCTTCTCTATCATTCCGCCAAGATCGAGTGCTTACGGAAATATTATCGGTGCGTATAGCGGCAACGCAATTACAAAACAAAATATACGAAATCGAACTATTTATTGAACTACAGATTAAAATACACACGTCGTGATATATTGTATATTGTATATTGTATTCGAGGTACCTATTCAAATGTTGTGCACGAAGCCAAGCGCCAACACGGAAGATAGGTAATGCACGTGATACGGAAACAACGTCGACTTTCCTTTGCTGTATACAATTCTAATGCAATTTCAACGTTCAATTTATCGTACAAAAGCAATTATTATTACATTGTCAAATCGCATTACGGCTATGCACAACGCATTTTGCATGTGATTTTGCACCCGTTCACATTATTCTAGGGCAGCTTTTTTAAAACGTGTTTCACGCAATTAAATAACTCTATATATTTCGTACGGTGCACAGGCCTTCTCCTCAACGGTGGAGGATATCCAGTGCCGCAAGGAGCAGGATGGGAGGACCGGAGAGGCCGAAGCCGGGGCCGACCGGCGACCCGTGTGATCCTCCAGATCGGCGGCTTCCGCGAAACGAACCGAAACGAACTCGGAGCGGGAGCGCCTGCAGTAGTGTCAAGTTACCTGAGTTAGACATGGGTTTGTTCGTTACCTGTATTTACGAGCCTGTCTCCCTCTCCCCCCCTCAAGAGATAAACGGGATTTAAAATACCTATATTAGCCGTTATTTTTCAATGAACGATGGCAGCAGTGGAGGAGTATTGTGAAAACAGATCCCCCGCTGCTGGCGGTTCAAGTTCAAACAAGAAAAAAAAAAATCCGTAAAATCATAATATCCTTTTTATTATATTGTAATTTGTTTTCATTCGGTTTTCGGTTTGCGTCCGCGGAAACGCGCAAAAGTATACGCATTAATAATTCGCAGACCGTAAAAAGCTATGCCGGCAACAACTAACATTATTAACCACAGTGTACCGACAACGTCGACCAGAAAATATTGATACCACGGCAGATCGATAGCGCGAGATTTCAGATGCGGCGCGCCTTTGTGCCGTAACACGTACTCCGTCCAGTAAACGACCGATTCTGCGGGCGACGCGGGCCGGTCTTTGAACAATTCGGAAGCGACTCTGGCACTGTTCCGGTAACTGAAAAGTGAAAGTACAAGAATGATATGAGTACGGATGCGTACGTTTAATACTATAGTCGGGCACAGGCAAAGCGAACGGTGGCGTGCCTTTCGTTGTTGACGAGCTCCGAGACGGCGTTTAAAAACGTGTCGTTGGTCACGGAAAACAGGTCCGCGGAAATCGCCATGCCCGCGTCCGCCAGAACTCTGATATTTCTCGACTGGTCGTTGAACATCGGAAATCCGAGTACGGGTACGCCGGCGTCCACTGTCTCGTACACCCCGGATATGCCGCCGTGGTTGATGAACAATATCACGTTGGGATGCACTGCTCGCCGTCATATTATAGAACAATAATGACGTATGTAGACAACGAAAATAATGATCAACGAGATAATGAAAATAATGAAAACTCTTAAGTTTTACACCTTACGCAGTATGTCACGTTGCGGAAACCATTTTTTCGTCATCACGTTCCGCGGTTTGTCTTTCATTTCGCCTTCATATTTCCACAACACCCGTTGGGGTATTTTCCTGAACGTTTCTCGGAACGCAGTCTGGAGGTTTTCCGGTAGCGAAGCCATTGATACTATCGACCCGAACGAAAAGTAAATGACACCGTAAGGCGAGTCTTCGATAAATTCTAAAACGTCCTACAAGCGAACCGACAAGTCATTTCGGAGTTGAACGATCGTATATGTTAGGAGAATGATCAGTTGGTTCTAATAAACGACACGTTAAAGTGTACGGCCATTTTTTTTTTTTTTTTTTTTTTTTCGTTTATTCCCCGGTCGTCGAGTACAATAACTAGAATTTAGTTCAGTTGGACGATACCTACGGTTTGGTACTTAACCATGGTTAACGGCCCGCGGGATTTGTTATTTCGCGTTACGATAATGACGACAAAAACACACTCACCTTCGGTATTTCTTTAGGCGGGACGAGGTGTATGCCGCCGATTTGAACGACGTCAGGTGGCAAAGGTCGAGAAGGTTCGGTGATAAAATGCGTATTGGTGAACGTTATCGACGGTTTGACCAGGTCGATTCGGTCGTACGGACGCGGGTCGGACAGCGCTAATTTCCGTTCGACGTACCACGACACACAGGAATAGTAGACGGTCAGCGCGGTGTTGACGAACCGGTCCGCAAACGTTTTCGGGACGCCGTGCCCGGAATACAAGTGCGGGACCGTCGCGGGATTAGGGACGTGTCCGAACAACGTACGTTCCAGAAACGTAATGATCGGCATCGGGACGAGGTAGATCACGGGAACCCGGAGCACGGTGGCCACGTACGCCGTGCACTCTGTGCCCATCACCGTTGTTACGACCGCGTCGAAATCGGACGGGCTTGCCGCGGTCAAGATGTCCGTCATGCGCGGGTGTCCGTAAATCGCATTGCAATCGGACCGGGTCCGGTTTATCAGGTTACTCAAAAACACCGCGGGATTTCTTACAACATTATAGATTAGTTTTATGTTCACGCTGATTAACGGTTTCAGTTCGCGGGACATGTCCACCTCGGCATAGTTTTTCCGGTCACCGTCCACAAACGGCGTGAACACGGTCACGTTGTGCCCGCGGTCGGTCAACGCTCGCAGTACGCCGCTCATCATGTTCCAATGGCTCTTGCCGGAGAACGATTGTACCGCCAGGATGTTCGCCGCTTCGGTCGGCGCCCACTGCGCCCGCGTTACGACCAATAATACATAAAACGCGATCGCCATTGTTCGCGGCGGTGACCGTGGTAACGTTAAACGCGACATGCGGTCGGATACCGGTAATCCACGGTAACTCGGTCGGTTATAATACGCGGGTAACTGTCTGTCGAATCAAATAACGTCGCGCTTAAAACTCGTGTAACGAACAACGATACATAATGTACATACATGTAACGCATATACCTGCAATTAGTATTTTTTATTCATAGCTAATACAATCTGGAATCTATAAGTTCAAATGTTAGATTAGATTAGGTTCAGAAGAGTGCTAGAACATTTTCAATGGGAGGGGATGTGGCAAATGAGAATCGTGAATAAACACTCCGCTCACCCGCGCATATCAGGTTTACAATATGTAAATCTCGAATGGGCAGACTAATGTTATCGTTTGTGTAATTATTGATATAATATGTCCATACAAAGTATGGCTTTATATAACGTAATGATCTCATTAGGTACACACCCAGGGTATACCACAGAGCGCATATCTAACAAAATGTTTTTGCTGTTCGATATTTGTTTGCTATACGATTCTAATATTTTATACATGCATTTTTTTTTTTTTTTTTTCAAAAAAAAAACTATTTATTACTAAATCCAAAACAGCCATTTTATAAATTTATTTTTGAACAAAATTTTGACGTTACAATAATGTTTACTAATGATGAATCGTTGATTTCCTACACGGTTTTGTGTAGCTCTCAATAATTTAAATGGTGTTCATTGACACTATCATAAAAATATCAATCAATTCACCAATTTGTTCACGAAAATAATTTTGTTGGCGATTTTTATAAATTCCAAAAAAATGTAGAAAATTAACGATTAGTTAGTAAATCTCAAGTAAATATATTGCATAATACCAATATTTTGTTTCAACTATTTTTATTTATAAAATGGCCATCTTGGATTTTGTAAAATACCTAGTTTTTTTAAAATTTGAATTTATATTTTTAGTTTTTAAAAAAATGTATAAAATAGAGGAATATTAGCGCTTTATAAAATAATAAATAATCAGAATGACAGAATTATCATCATGATCGCACGCAATATGGAAAAATAATATTTATAACATTGGAATGAGAGTGAGAACTGCGAATATCAACGATTACAATAATAGAGTATAGACTAGTGAACAGTATCATATTGAGACTATGCGACTATAATTATTGTTATTGTTATAGTTCATTATATAATATTATAAGATATATTGTGATAACATTAAATTAAATAGAAAATTATAAAACTAATTATAAGTTTAAAAATACCTTTAAGACCCAACCCGATATATTGAATAATACGCTCATAATAATGGGTAAAATAATTTGAAGACGTAATATTTATATGTATAAACGCCACGAGAATAGATTCTATGGCGTCACACGTCAACTTCAAATGCCTGTATATCACCAACAAGGCACTAAGTTTTTTAAACATAAAAAAGTTTTAATTTTTTCCTATCATAAAAAGAATCATTTCTTTAAAATTTATGATTTTCCATGTTTTTCTTTAGTCAAAGAATCATTAATACATTTCATCATGAATCAAAAAATATAATTGAAAATTATACGAACATTTATTGACACTCTCTCAAAGTTTAAAGAATTATTTTCCATCACTTTCAACAGAAATACAGTGTGTGATTTCATTATTGAATTTCAAAAAACGACTTTCTCTGTCAGTGGCTCTATACTGGAAGAAAAAAATAAAACTTGTCGTTTTTTGATTGGAGCAAAATTTCTGGTATAAAACATAAGTGGCAAAAATTAAAACATTGAAATTGATAACGCCATAACACATCGTAAATTATATGTCATTTGACCTAAAATTTTCTTTTAGTTTTTTCCCAATCATTTTGAAAACCTCTTGGCAAATTAAAAAAATAACCTCCTCAACGCACTAATGAGAGAAAATTACCTTTCAGAAAAGGTGCTTTTATCTATTCTTTGAAGCAAGTTTTCTGGTAGAAAAGTTGTTTGTAGACAGAGAAATATACACATCATAGTAAAACTAATAGATCCCTCGCAAAAATGCAAATTTAAATTCTACTGAAAAAGAACATTTACTAGAAATATCATAAAATTAAACATTAAAATTTAAACTTTATATGTGTCAATTCATTTTGGATTTCTTTGTATAATGAATACTTCAGAGCAAATTTTATTTCCCTTTACAACTTCTTACATGGATGAATCAGCATTTTTGATATTGAAAATAATAAAAACAAAAAATGTTCACGACTAAAGATATTAATTAAAGTAAATTACTCACAAGTTTGTCAACCATTTGCTCATAGACTGAAGACCAAAGTTCAGTTCACCAATCACAATTCACAAGTAATTCACACTGATTTACTTATTTAAACTAATACTTTTTCATTTAAATATCTTCCTTAAACTGTTTACATTTTAATTATGTAAATATTTTTGATTTTTTTTAATAAAATGGTAACATGTAAATGAAATTATTTACATAGGTTTATAATTTTTACCTATTCAAAAATGTATAAAGTATATATTTTAAGTATGGTGCAATTTGTATGGATCTAAATTAGGGTGTTGTCGAACAAAATAGATTGGGAACCACTGGTCTAAGACATTGTATAAAATATAAACTATAAAATACACTAATTCTTTATAATATTAAATAATTTATAATGCTTAATTCTATATAATATACGTTATTACAATATTAAATAAATAGGTACATAATATTTTGCATTTATTAAAAAATAAAAATTAAATTAAAATACAACAAAAACAATTATTTAAAAAATCCATTAAATGGAAAAAAATCACGTTCCATAATCTAGATACTAAATCTGATTCTAAGTATACAGATAAAAGAGTATGCTACACCAACAACTGTAAATATTATTAAACAATTGATTTATGGTTGATAAAAGCAAATTTAATATTAATTTTGATAAGAATTTAGTTTAAAAGGTTTTATCTGATCTAAATGTATGTATTTTAATATCAATCTAAAAATTCTTATTGAAAATAATAATAATTTAAATTTTAAAATATGTGATAAATAATTTATAATTATGTAACGAGATTTTCCTAAAACTAAGAGAATCATAGAAATGTAAATATAAAGTTAATAGATAATATTATTTGTAGCAAACACTTAGCTGAAACAAAATATATAATTTGTCATTTAATTAAAAATATTTTAAATTATAATATTATATATTTTAATAGTTGGTAACTAGAACCTTACCGAATGAGTGGGTATTTGTTTTTCAATTGAGGTCATCTTAAGTTTTTCAATTTTGTTACTATACATATTTTTGTAACAATTTATTAAAATTTGATAATTTAACAACAATTAAAGGCAAGTCATTATACATGTTAAAAGTGGCATGAGTATCTAGTAGTGTGAAGATCCTTAGTTCTTAAAATTTGATTTGCTTTTCAAATGTATACATACTTTATTCTCAAATATATTTTATTTGATGCATTGTAAATAGTTTTAGTAAACATTTTCCAAACGATTCTGAAATTACACAAATGCTGTTTGTTAAACTTTTTAAAAGAATAAAGAAAATGAGACCCAATTAATAATAGTGCTTTTAACTAATATAAAAAATATTAAGAAAATAGATACTTCTCAAATATTAAGTAAGTATTTATTTAATTTGCATGTACACTAAAATACGTAACACAAAATTACCTTTTGCATGTTACTTTTAATAACACATGTAATTTTTACAATATATATATTAATTAGTAATGTTTTACTAATTGTAACCACACAATTATTACTATATTTCATATTTTATTACATTATGTGTTTGTTTTTCTATTCAATTTCATTTTTTATATTACTGTATTAAACTTTGACAAAAACCAACCTTTAAAACCCCAATTTTTGAATTCTGGCGTCTTATTTTTTGTTGAAGAACTTTTATTTTCTTTTTCAGATTTTTTATAGTAGCTGTTTGTGTAGTCGCAATATCTCTCCAATTCTTCTCCAATATTTTCTGCAGATTTATTCGATTTTCAGAGTTGTTTTCAGCAGTATCTGTCGTAAGGTCTATTATCGGATCTATAAATAAATATACACAAATATATAATTCATATAAGATACACAATATATATATTTAGGTACAGTGTGTATGAATTACTTTCTAAACTTTGCTTTCTTGATCCAGATATATTTATCATATACGGTTCACTAATAAAATTGTCGCCAACTTTTAAAGTTTGAACCATGCATTTTGATGGATCAACAGATATTTCTAAACTTATGTCTGCAGAAGTAGGTGATATATCAGGAAGCTTCAGCACATAATTATGTTCCGATAAATAATCATAACATTTTTTAACAGACTTAATATTTGATTTTGTAACTAATCGTTTTTGTTTGATATTTGGTTTTACAGTTCCAGTACAGTTAAAAACACTTGGCACAGCTTTAGGTATTAATTTAATAAGATCGGGCCTTTTTTGATAATCATCTGTAATAAAATGTGAATCACAAATCCTGGAATAATCTGAGAGTACAAAACTTTCTCTATTATTTTCTCGGATTGCTTGAATCCATTTTAGTCTTATGACTTCATCCTTGGGAAATCTATAATAATTGAAGATAACAATATTAATGAATTAAAACATTCAATTAAGTATCCGTTTGGAATATTAACTAGGTATACATATAAAATTATTAATTACCTACCTAAAATACTTGATTCCACTGCCTCTGCTCTTACAGCCACGTATACAACAAGAAATGGGCATTTCAAAACAATATAAGAACGATCATAAACAATAAATGGCTGAACAATAACAAATTTCAAAATGTACAAACGTAAATAATAATATTATGTAAACATGTAAACGGTTCAACGCGATTGAGCGGCTAATGATAACGCCACCATTTGAGATAGCAGGGGTAATAGTAACCACGGTTAAGTATATATAGACCTAACCGTGGTAGTAACCTTTGGGGTTCCGCGAATTATCTATTTACGAAAAATCAATAAGTTCGTAAATAATAGACGTTTCAACCTTAGGCCATATACTATAGATAGAGCAAACATAACTAAGGATAATTGGGACAAATGCGCATGTGCAAAATGTATATCACGCGCAATTGGTCGAATCACGTAATCAAGTGTGACGTACCTACACTGCCATCACATTTTCTTGTACTATCACTGCCTAGTGGTATTATAACGATTATACAATAAATATGCGACGAGTACTGATACGCATGCGCAATATATACCAGTCCCCCTTGGCACCACAGTTGTAGATGTATCTATTACCGTATATCTACAACCTTGGTTAGTACTCTATGGGAAGGATACAGTGCTCCCGATTTTGATAACAATTAATAACTTATCTTTATTCTAATTTTAATTTAACCGTGGTTAAGATTTTACTCACGAGCGCTGCTGCTTATACTTATTTGAGGTTATGAACTTAATATTTTATTATATGCGTTGCTAGAATTCCGCTAAATTATAATAATTGTTGATATATTTGATATAAACATATTATTTAATACTTTTTTATACATTGATAATACAATTATTTTATCCTTTGTGTTAAAAATCGAATAATTAATAAAATTAATCAATTTCAAGTTTTCAAGTGAATCTGATAATAAAAACCGTAGACTTAAAACAATAGAACAACGTCGTGTTAGACATGACTAACAATTGTTATAAACATTACTACTTACGAAAATACAGTAACCAATTCAACGGGTTTGGTTCGAAAACTGGATGATGGAGAGAAACCAAGAATATTGGGATCGCGTACGTCGTATTACAAGATTAAGTAGTAGAAGTGACAGCGAAAGCAGCGATGAAGATGAAGTTATGATATTGCCGCCTTCATACAACAATGTTGAAGATGAATGAATATCGTTAACAACTTTATGTGTCTGCAACTGCAACAATTTAAAGAAATAATTTGGAAATTTGTTATTATCATACATATGTTTTGAGGTATTCTATCCCATTTTGGATTAAAAATGAATAACATTTACAGCTTTGATCAATTAATTAATGTAAAGAACATAGGTAAAACCTATCATTAAATGTAAAATGACTATAAATTCTTGTAGCATTGTTACATTTATTAAATAAATATTTCTTTAATATGTTTGTAGTAATAATTTAATAACTTAATTCAAATTATTTTTTCAACACAAAAATGTGACTTGAATAAATATGTTGTTATTTTAGGTGATAAAATAATACTCAAAAAAGTTACAAGCATTCAATCCAACACACTTGGTAATTCTATAAAACCTAAATATTATTGTCTTCACACAACAGCAGTTTGTAGGACAAAAACAAATAAAACTAATATATTCTTCATTATGCTTAGAATCATATAATTCAGTCTTTAATACATACACCAAACCTTCTAGACTTCTGTATCATTAGATAATACATCTTTATATTTACAATTATTATTGATTTCTAACATGTTTTTACAAAAATTAAACAATTCTTTTTTATTCTATTTTTAATTCTACGTATTTTTTTTTAAAATAACTTAATGAATTGTTCTTTTTTGTTAACACATTTCCAAACATAATTGTTTTGTAGATTTGAAGTTTTCAATTATATTCTTTACAATCGCAAGTAACTTTATGGAGAAATTATTTCTCGTTAACTTTTAATATATAAAATATATTATATTACTTTATAAATGTATAAAATAAACTATCGATAGACGAATCTCTAAAAAAGATAAAAATTGCAAAGTTAAACATAACTTGTAAAACTTGATCAATGTTTTTGGGTTTTAGGGATGGGCTGATACTTGGTATTGATGGTATCGGTTTATTTTTTTAAAACCTACATTTGACCCGATATTTTCCGTGAAAATTTTCTGTAATGCCTGGGTTCTATAGAAAGTATTCATAAATCGGATATCGAAAAAAAAGTGGTACTGACCCACCCCTATTAATCATATCAAATACCAGCAATGTATAATTCAATTGCGTTAGAATCACTTAAAATGTAGTTATTACAATTATGCCAAAATTTCGTGAAAATATTGACGGGTGTCACTGGGTCAATTAACAAGAATACCGAACTGCTAACAAAGACAAAAGACAAAAGTAAAAATGTTGATATTTTTGATTAAACAATAAACAGATTAATTCGTTATTATTAAAAACAGTAGGTAATTACCTTATCGTTAACGCTTGCAATTTTTCCGCCGGTGCCCAATGATGTCACAGCGATCAACTATGGTGGGAGAATACACGGATCTCGGACAACTTCGGTTTTTGTACTGCGTATTTCACCGTAAACCTACTGCCATAGCCATCTATGCTATTGCGTTCTTCGGTTGGGAGAGCAACTGTGTAACGTTATCGTAATGCGCATGTAGGTAAACTTCTCGGGCTGTGTTCATTTTGTTTTATCGATTTTTCTGATAACTACAGCGATGGGTCAATGATGTTTTCGAGAGATAACGACGTTTAAAATATTAGACACTATAACTATACTACATAACTTTGGCTGCTACTGCAATCGTAATTAGGAATAATTGCAGTGCAAGTTCACACTATATTTCTGTAATTGAACGTAGCAGAGTAAAAAAAAAAGTTTGCAATAATACAAATCGAATTGATTTTTCTGTTTGGATGCCGCGGTACACGCAATACGACAATTAATCTTTTAGATATAGAATTCGATGACGACGCGCGAATCCATTTACAATTATTATACGTCATAATGTGTGGGATATTTTGTTCTTTTGTCAAAGGGTCAGCAGTATGCGATAGTGTAAATAATATAATATTTGCTACTTTTCGAGAAAATTTAAATGGTGTAGATTATATTATAAACATTTTTATTTGGTTTTTTTGTTTATAGATCAACAAGTGCAGATCGTCACTACAGAAAAGAGGACCTGACATCGGTTCGACTTGTCAAATCAAAGTCAATGACTACACAGCTTTGTTTTCCGGCAATATATTGTGGATTCAAGGAGAACGCCCCACTAACCAGCCGTATGTAGACGACAAAGGTAATATATTGCTGTGGAACGGTGATGCATACTCATGGAATGTTACAGTAAGTACCTATCTTATTTAAAAAATAAATCCTACCCGATAAGAATATAATTCTACCCATTGATATTTTTAAATTTATATCTTTTAGGTTAACGCTAGCATTAAAGACAGTGATACAAAAATAATATCAGATTTTCTCTGCTACGAAGGCAACATGGAACTGCTAATGACCTCTGTGCAAGGCCCTTATTCCATAATATATTATGACTATGAACAACAGGTCTTGTGGGTCGGTAGGGATCCGATAGGACGTGTCAGTTTGTTATGGTATTTAGGTGCAGATAAACTGATAGTCACATCAGTTGGACACAAAGATATTCCGGACCTAAAAGAAGTACCAGCTGTTGGATTGTTTAAATTCAATTTGAGCGAGGGCCAACTCAGTATAAAAATCTCAAAAACGTTTCAATAATGTTCAATATTTCATTAATATTGTCTTATTAATATTCCAGAACCTCAGCTCTTCCAGTGGTCACATACGCGTTTTGATTGTGATTACAATATTATAAATGAACTACAATATTTTAAACAAATTCGAACTCATCATATTACAAACCCCGAAGATTCTATTTTAAATGAAAATAATCAATTTAATATGGCTACACTATTATTACATCAAGAGTTTTCTACTAACATCACCAATCTGATCGACCATTTGTTACAGTCAGTTGAAAAAAGGACGACGATCATTCCAAAGGCTTGTAAATTATGCGAGTTCAAATGTGATCATGCAAAAATTGCAATTTTATTTTCAGGAGGTATAGATTCGGCAATTCTAGCTCTATTAGCTTCCAAATATATTGAATCAGACGAACCAATTGATTTGTTAAATGTATCATTTGAAAGACAATCGAATCCTAATAATTTTGACTGTCCAGACAGACAAACATGTTTAAGTACACTAGAAGAGTTAAAGATCTTATGTCCAACTAGACAATGGAATTTAATAAAAGTGAGTTTAATTAGATTAAAGTTCTCATAAATTGTATATCCATTTTTAAATGGTTTGCATTCATTTAGATAGATGTTCCATATACTGAACTGCAACAAAAACGTTTTGATACCATACGTCATCTAATTTATCCTTTAAACACTATTCTGGACGACAGCCTCGGGTGCTCCTTATGGTTTGCTTCTCGAGGACTTGGCATTTGTGATGGAAAATGGTACAAAACACCTGCTCGAGTAAGTCATTTTAAATAGGGACCTAATAATATTTACTTAAATAATTATTTATATGTATATTTATTTAAACATTTATTCTCATTAAATATGAGTTAAAATAAACACAAAATACTTATTAAAATAAATTTGATATCAAAAAGTAATTATTGAGAAAATAAGTATAGCCTCTTATACACATTAAAAATTTGCTAATAATAACATCTATTCTGTTAATTTGAAATGATCATTTTGACTGCTCCAACAAAAAAGGTAGTATTTCGAGTTATTACTGGTTATCCAGTAGTGGTGTGTTTTCTCTATCGCTATACCCATTAAATATATTGTCACCAGCACGTCGGGGATGATACCTATGTCAATAATATACTATCCGATAGTTACAGGGGACCTTAACAAGCGCTAACCACTTTCTTTTTCCTTATTTACTTTAAAACAAACTTTTAGGAAGCACGTAGCGTCGCTTTGTGTTCCGTATATATACGGGTCCTGATGTACACCAAAAGGAAGGTGGTTACAGATCTTAGACCATCACCACTGCCTCACTTTAAGTCAGTCCACGTTCATGCCCTTGCAGACAAATCTTTTGTCCATTTTTATTTGTTTCTAAATTATGAGTTTTACCAAATAAAGTCTTTAATTGTATTCATTTATAACCGTTTCTACTATCTATCTCCATCTCCTTCCACCAGCAGACATCAGCAAAGTTCCGTTATTAAATAAATCGTATGAGCAGTCACATCAGCCCTAGGCTCACTACATCGCCCATGGAAATGTACTAATGTGCATAATTTACTGCAACCTTGATTTCCATTGAAAACAGCTGTATACTTTTGTTTAATGAAAAATATTTTTACTAAAATAAGATAATACCTTTTTCATTGAGGCAGTCGATTAAAACTATTGTCCATTATATTCTTATTGTACTAGGTATATTTAATAGTTTTACTTAAAATTTAATTGTTAAGTAATCAACATTGCCATTATAATGAGGTAGTTAAACATTTTAGTTTATCAATCGAAAAAATCTTATTAGTGATTTTAAATGCATGATAAATATTTAAAGTTTTTATAACAAATAGATTAAATATTTTTGTTTATACTAATCAATTAGTATTTCTTTCGAAAAAACATAATATGTTAACTATAAATAATTAAGTTGTTCTACTTGTATAAACAAAATTAATAATTTAAATTATGTATCTTTATTAAATTTGTTTATTTTAACAATATACCTAATTTTGTAAATAAATTATAACTACTGAATACAATTGTTAATTACACTATTGTAAATGTGCAGGTGTTATTATCTGGAATGGGTGCTGATGAACTATTGGGTGGTTATACAAGATATAGAAAAATTTTACAACGACATGGTTGGCAGTCTCTAAACGAAGAGTTTGACAAAGATTTTTCAAAAATACCATCTCGTAATCTTGGCCGAGATAACCGAGTTTGTTGTGATAATGGGCGTCAATTACGTACACCATATTTAGATGAGAATGTTGTTGAGTTTGTTAGAGGACTCTCACCATGGCAACGGTTTGTTTATAATCAATTAAATAGTCATGAAATGGATTTATAGTTTTATTTTTTTTTTTTTCTTAAGGTGTTGGCCTAAAGAACCATATCCAATTAATTTTGGTGAAAAATTATTATTAAGATTAGCAGCTTTCAAATTGGGACTTGTAAACACAGCTAGTTTACCAAAACGAGCGCTACAATTTGGATCAAGAATAGCTATAAAAAAAGAAAATGCAAACGATATTAGTGATAGATTATAAATGTGTGGATAATACATTTTAATTTACTTTTTAATACTATACCTATTAATTTATTTTTGTATGATGCTAATATAATACATTTATAATAAATTAGTTACAATTAAATTGTATTAAAATTAAATAAATAGTCTTTCTTTTTTTTCTTTTTTCTTTTTGAAATCTCAATATAAGTATTTACAATTACATTTTTAATGTAAACTTTAAACAATATTATACTCTACTGTATATTAAAATATCATTTATTGCCCATTGGCAAGCCAAAGATATTCTACTAAATGAATTTTTGTTATCTTCGGGTAATTCCCTTATAGTGAATATTTGCAATTTGTTTTTTCCTTTAATATGACCAGTGCACCTGAAATAATTAATCATTTTAGATAATATCTATGACATCATTGTATAAATATATATATTATAATTATACATAATATATTGATTTAATTATTTATTACACAAAATTTTAACACTAACAAGACAAAGGTTCCTTTCGGTACTTCAGGCATTTTTCTATCTATTTCATAAAACACACAAACTATTCTCGATATTTTTTGCTCATTACGCAAACAAAATATTTTTTCACATTTACGACTACCAGTCATTATTGAATCCATAAACCCTGAAATTATACAATATTTGAGATATTAGAAATACCTAATATTCAAACTATAATTATTCATTTGAACATCACTAATCAATGATAAATAAAAATAAAATATTATTTAAGAAATAAGATTATACCGTATACTTGGTATAAGATTTTGGTTTTTTCCAGAAACGATAACATTTGACTCCAATGAACTACTTGATCGACACTTCCAACTAAAAGTTTTTTTCCTTCATTGATGACTGCAATGTTCGAATGGTTGTTGTCTTTGTTACCATCATCAGTTTTTGATGTAGAAGATACCGACCTACAATTTCAATATAATATTGAAGGCAAATACATTTGTATTGCTACCTATATTACTATCACCAAAAATTATATTACAATTATGGTTTGAAGTCTGGCTCTTGGGATAGAAAAAAAGTCAAAATATTGAAAAACGCCTAGTACATATATTTTCCATGCGCCCCTTCTGACTGATGAACTATAATTAAATTTTCGATTTCCTCATGTCCCGCTGAGATACCTATGATGGGTTTATAGATACGCATTCGTAGATTTTGAAAGATTGTATTATTCATACTTTGGCAGTCTGACTCTCGGGTTAAAATTAAACCTAAACATATCAGAAAATGCTATAATAGTTTTATATTGATATAATAGTGCTCTAATAAAACTTCAGGCAGACTTTCAGAATACCAATGTTTCAATTTATTAACCCTTTTCAACGACATTGGCACATTGCTTTGGCGTAGATAATGAATGAGTGTTAAAATCTCTTATATTTTTTACAGGAAATCTGAATTTTGTTTCTAACTAAAGAACGTTGATAAGGTAAGGAAGGGGAATGGAAAATATTTATGAATTATTTTATCGGCTCCAAGAGGTAGACTTTCTGCTGAGATCAAAATTCTTAAACCGCAAACACGCACTTTTAAACCTGCAGTTAATGGAAAAATCGAAAATTTAATCATAGAAATTTGGTTAGATAGGAGGCACGAAAAATATGTATATTTAGGGTTTCTCGATATTTTGATTTTTTTTTTTCACCTCAAGAACCAGATTAAAAAAAATTATGATAGTTAAATAGTTGAACTTTCACTGGTCCTTATCAGTCATTTAGTGATCATAATCTGTAGCCTATAAATACGATATTCAAATGTAGAATGTAGATGAATAAATCTACTTACAATGGCACCGATGTTCTCTGTTCACGTTGTGCATACAGTTGACTTTGTTTGCTGCAGCCTGGTTGTCTGTTGAAAAGATTGTTTTTGTCCATCGTTTCGGTGTACTATTATGTAACGAAAAACTATGCCCGCGTTACTCTAATAATCTATTAATTAAGAGTTGAGACTGGAGCAATAAATATAACAGTATACGTTTAAAATAAATCTAATACGTAGGGCGACTTGCAAATTATAGAGTTCAGATTATTTGGGAAATAGGCAGAATTTTTGATGTGGCGCGCAAATGTGCAGTGCACGCGCTTACTGTGAACACATTATTTCCGGACCCACTTCTCTTTCAACACTGTCCGTATTATTTTGTGATAAGACCCCACAATCTTTTTCGTTTTTTTTCGCTTGTATTTTCGTAGTTTGATAACGCAATATTTGAGTTTTATCGATATAAACGTTTTGGAACGATTGTATGTTCACAACAAATAACAATAATATCGTTAATATTTATTATTAAACGTAATTTTAAACTTTGTCGAAACGTTCCGGTTTTTCTGTTCGCCACGTGATATTTACCCAAACGCTTTTTACTTTTAGTATTTTTTTTTTTTTTTAAATGTGTTTCATAAAGTTTTGCGGCTTGATAGTTGTCTCAAGAATTGGCATCCTCTTATTGCCAATTTCGTTCGCATCGATCACAAATCACAGATTTAACCAACATTAATTTATTTCGGTTAGAGTGAGAAATCAATATTTTATTTAATTGTGCTTACACAACTACTTTATTCACCTACGTTTTAGATTTCGTACGGCTACAAAATCTTACCAATATTTTTGATATTCGTACTATAATTCGTAACCATTACCTATGGACATCAATTTGCATTGCAAATTTTTCTAAAATTAAAAATTATCTACTTTATAAACAAACTATTATTTGCCATTCTTATCGAAATTATATTAAAAATTAATCTGTAGGCTTGCTGCAAAATTACAAAAATACATTTAAATTTAATTTTATAGTATCCATTAAATACATTTTTACATTATTTTTGAAATAGATAAAAATAATTTGTATATATCTCAAAATGGATCAAATGTTACCGAGTCCTGGGTTCAGTATTCCCAGTATTGGAACTCCTGTACATCAACCAGAAGAGGATCAGCAGATTATGCAAATGCCTTCTTTGCAGCCACAAGGCTTATCCATGAGTACTAGTAGCTTACCATCTCAACAACAATCTATGAATAAAATATATCAAACAAACAACATGGGATATGCTACACCGCACAGTATGATGCATTCTCAAACGCCCGTAATAATTTCAATATTTTCTCTTTGTGCTTGAAAATACTAACCTATTACCCTTATTCAGGTACATCAAAGTATGCCATCTTTAACATCTATCAGTTCTACATCTTCAGCTGTACCAGCTCTACAAACCATTCAAAACCCGGCTACGCCTGCTCCAATGACTCCTATGACACCAGCTTCAGCTGATCCGGGAATAGTTCCACAACTTCAGTATGTAAACTTCAGGTATACTTATTAGTTGGATTTATTTATATTTGTTTGAATTTCAAGGAATATAGTGTCAACAGTGAATCTTGGTTGTCGACTTGATTTGAAAACAATTGCTTTACATGCTCGCAATGCTGAATTCAATCCAAAACGATTTGCTGCTGTTATAATGAGAATACGTGAACCGCGTACTACAGCTCTTATTTTTAGTTCTGGTAAAATGGTGTGTACTGGTGCAAAAAGTGAAGAAGATTCTAGATTAGCAGCAAGAAAATATGCTAGGATTATTCAAAAACTCAGTTTTCCAGTGAGTAATGCACAAGATAAATAATAATATATCTACCTATATTATATCATTTTTAGGCAAAGTTTTTGGATTTTAAAATTCAAAATATGGTTGGCAGTTGTGATGTCAAATTTCCTATTCGTCTTGAAGGATTAGTACTAACTCATGGACAATTTAGCAGGTTATTTCAGTTTTATTATTATTATTACTAATATTATTAATTTCAAACCCTAATAGTTTAATAAAATAATATTATTGTTTTACAGTTATGAACCAGAACTATTTCCTGGCCTTATTTACAGAATGGTTAAACCGCGTATTGTGTTACTTATTTTTGTATCAGGAAAAGTTGTATTAACAGGTATTTACTGCTTATAATTAAATTTATTTTTATTACATCATGTCATGTGTCTCAAATAATGATGAACACAACTAATAGTTACTAACAAACTATTCGATATTAATACATAATACACAATTAATTTTCAAAAGTGTGAAATAATCAAAAATATTGATTAATTAAAGGTTTTCATCAAGTGCTCGATTCTTAATGCTCAGTTAATCAATAATTTAATTGATTAATTTATAGAATAACTGAATAATTATATTTCCTGCCAATATTTCGGTTTACTCATTAATGGTTTTTTTAAATAATCAAACCATAATTAAAATACTTTAAAAATTGTCATATCCATGGTTAACCACTGTGATACAGTACTGAGTATTATAGTGAACCAGTAGTGCATTTAATTAGTATAGGATTTGCAGTTTATTATATCAACTAAGAATATTTTTATTTGAATATCTAATATTATTTATGCAAAGATTTTATTTGAAGATTTGAAACTTTAATTTCAGTGTTTTTTTGTGATATTAGAGTATTTATTTAATATGTAATGTAGTTTATTGGTTTAATATGTATTAAATATGATCTATATTATATTGACGCTGTTTTGTTATAAGGGCGTCTATGAAGTTTCATTTTTTTTCAGAAAGCAAAACAATTTTTAATGATGTTTATCATGAAAAACAATAGAATTACTCCTACACACAATACCTTATACACAAAGTGTATATGCATTTAATGTGTTATACACCCTTTTATCAAATCAGTGTTGATTTAATTATATTTTAAAAGGATGCCAGGATATCTTTTAGTCGACTTTATCAATTTTATTTTTTATATTTAAATACTTTTTACCAGTTGAGGCTACTAATTTTTCTGATTTTTTCTAATATCATAAGTGTATTTATGATTTTTAGTGGTATACTCCCTTTAACTAAACACCATTGATATTAGATTTTATACAAGTCGTTTAAATAAACAATTGCTGAATATTAAGGATCTTAATAAAAACTTAAATAAACTCTAATGGATTAAGCAATGGCAAAATAATTTAATTTATGCATTTTATAATTAGGTTTGATATGTGAGTATCACATTTAAGGTGTTGGTTTACTATGATACCAAGGTATTTTAATTTTTTAATTACATCATGAATGATTATTAAATTTGTAGTTTTGTTTTTGTATCTGTATTTTATTAAAAAGCGTAAAAAGTATACATTTAGTTTTATTAAAATTTAATCTTAAATTTTGTGAAGAAACCATTAATTTTTTTTTTTTAAAAAACTATAAGAGTGAACATTGATCACCAAATCAGAATACAGAAACATCTCGATACTTAAAAATACTAGAAATGAGATTATCTTGGTCTATTTACTTAATATTAGATATTTATTTTATTTTATTTTGTATATGGACAAGCCCTTTAAATACATGGTAACAGTGTAACTTACTTATTAGGATGATATATTTGTATATTATTTGTTTTTATAACATTAGGTAATTCAACTCTATACAAACAAAATATTTATGTACAGCTATTTGCTAAGGTATTTTTTTTCAATTATATATTATATTATATGGTATAAAAAAGAATTGAATTCAAATTTAAATACAGTTATTAATATAGTAGATATGGTACTATAATTATTATCCTGTGAAAAGAGCTTTAGTATAATATGTTTTTGTATTTTGACTTTTATTTTTCATAAATTATTCAATATAAATAGATATATTAATTAAATAAATTATACAAATTATAGGTTTGTACTGAAGTAATTCAAATAGTATATTTACCAAGCAATAATTCAATATGATTTGCTTATTTAGGGGGTCTGTTGTTAATGTACTGAAACTTTATTATTAATTCACTCAAGAAAAATAATTAACCAATTTTTACAAAAATTTACTATTTTAAAAAAAAAAAACCCCCGTTTTATGTATGGTAAAAAAATCTAATTAATTGGATAAATGTATTTAAAAAAGTTTTCATAGAATATGATACAGAAGTAATCTATTTAAACAAATCTTTCAATTAAACATGTGTGGACCTAGTCACTAACTTATTTTAATTCTATACCTGTTATAACATAATCTGTAAAACTTTAAAATATACTAATCAAAATACAAAATATAAAATTTTAAGTTTTAGTATCTCTTATATTTATATATCAAATTTGTTGTTCTCTATTACCAATTATGTTCTTATACATTATGAAAGCTATAAATGTTTACCTTCAACACAAGCCCAACTTTTATAGAAGATAGTTAGTTCAATCAATATATTTATTTATGTGATATCATGTACATATATTTTAATAATAATTGAAACAAACGTACCAACTTCTAAATTGTTGGTATTGCCCATCTATATTATTGAAAAATCTGTTAATTCTACTATGATATTAATTTTTATTTTTCTGTCTGTAAATTACTTTTATCAGAAATATTGTTCTGGTCATCAATTCTAGGGGTTATTTCTTGAAGTAAATTTTATCTAGTTCGTGCATTAGGTAATTTTTTTTTATTTTATTTTTTTTATTCCGCTTGTAGTTTTTTTAATAATAATTAGGAAAGGTGGGAAAATGTATAATTTTATTTTTTAACTCATATCTTTGTTACAATGCATTTAAAAATAATCATGTAAACAAAGTTATCAAAGAATACTTATATTAGCTCTTTCTAGACGTGATGAACAATTTTGTCATAACAAACATTTTTGAAAATCACAAATTTTCATCATAAGAACCCATGCTAAATAATGAAGTTTTTATATATATATATATATAATATTTATAATAAAAGTATGTATTGTTCAAATTAGTTCAAATTTTGACTAAAATCATAAAAATCCATCCATAAAAACTTCTTTTACTTTATAGAGTTATTTAAAAAATTGAATGTAATGTCATAGTTAATTTTTATAAGTGTTTTAAGTTAAAATAACACCGGTATTGTGTAAATATTCCCTTTCTCCAGTTATTTTTCCCCCAGTATCAAGAAAGCTATTAGGAATATAAAATAATTAATCTCCCAATGTACCCAATAGGTAAAATAAGACATTAATACCCTTATATGTTAATGGTTATCCTTGAATTTCTAATAGAACTTAACTTAATAGTTTAGTTCAAATAGTTTATATTGGAATAGTTAGGGCTAGTTTAAAGTGTAAGCTTAGGCCTTGGTGGCAATTGCTTTATTTTTTTTGGGGGGGGAGGTGATATTCTTTTATCCAGTTGTAGAAAATCTAATATACAATTGAATTTAACTTTTTATTAGTAAAAACATTACAAAATTAACAATCAGGTTATGGAAATACTTAGAGCAGAGAATTTTACTAAGGAAGAAAATAACTTTTAAAAATTAAAAATAATTATGCAATTATTGTGATTAAAAATGTCTTAACACTGTTTGGTAGAGTTAACAATTAACAAATAAACAAATTACAATTTGAGTTATAAATTAAATTTCCAATAAACTGATAAACCATTTCTAATGAAAAACTATTTTGAGCAAAGTTTGGTTATATTAGCAATAGCATATTACAATTAATACTAGCTATTTTATATTTTCATATTTTTATTTGTTAGGTATCTGTTATTAAAATTATATGACTTAAAAGAAATACTTGAAGTTTGAAAATAATAATATATTATAAGTTGTACTTAGTGTTCAAAAAAACAAATTTGAGTTATATGCATTAGTTTTTTTTTTTCATAAGCATTAGTAAGATCAAATTTTAATCAAAATTGTAAAATTTAAGATATTTCAAAGTATGTCTTACTAAACTTAAAAACATTTCCAAACTTCGTATCAGCTCTTTCTATGTTTTTTTCCAAATATTTAGAAAATTGTGAAACAAAGTTAATGTTATAAAAAATGGCATTAGATATTTAATATAGGTAACATATTAGCATAACTTTAATGTTGTATTTCAAAGAATAATCAAATGTGTTCTGTGCAAACTGACCATAACCATAAAATATTGTTTAAATTTTTTTTTCTTTAAATACAAATATTTTATTAATATCGGGAGATATTCAACTATGTTATATACTTAGTTATAAATTAAACTACTCAATTCAGAATAAGAACACACCCAGCGCCAGACAAAAAAGTGACGGTCAGGCAGCGTGCATGAGCAAACTGGTGCGCTCTTATTCTTTTAGACTGATATTAATTTGCTTTATATGTTTTAATTTAGAATGCAACAGATTTAAATAATAATGATAATGTAATATTTCATTTACAGGTGCCAAAGTACGTCAAGAGATTTATGATGCTTACGATAATATTTATCCAATACTGAAAAGTTTTAAAAAAAATTAAGATTATTTAATATGAACAATGTGTTTTTATTTTATTTAACTTATTACATTCATTAATTATATTTTAAGGGTTTTTCTCGACTTCATATGTATTTTAAGTAATAGTATTTAATTTTGATATTATTACTAGCCTAATAATTTTTTTTTTATTTCCATGCCTTATGATAAATCTAAACAAAAAATATGTACAAAAACCTAAAATGGTACTAAAACTAATAATAATAAATAAATTAAATTAAATTAAATTGTTGACTTAATTATATATTTTAAAAAACTATAAAACTATAATATTTATTGTATTCGATAAGTATTGATAATCATTGAAATTATTCAAATTGAATTAATTTACAATATAGCGTATAAATTCTAAACTAGTATAATTAATAATTACATACTTCTTATCTAACTATGTTATTAAATATGTATTTTTAATTGTTAAACTATAAAATATATACAGCTCAGTTCTCAACACTTTAATATTGTGTGCTTTCAGTTGACAAAAAAAGTCAACAGATACAATTAATAATATGTTTAAATTTAATAGGTAGTGGATTTTAAGAGTCAAATTCAACTTACTCAAGACAAAGATGAATAAAACAAATTTTATTCAACAATGTTCAATTATGAATGAATTGTGATTCACTAAACCAAGTTTCTTATCAGATTTATTATTTTTTAATTCCATCCAATAATTTACCAACTGTGTAATCACAACAGTATACATTTTAGTAAAAAACATAGATTAAAGAGACCTTATTATATGATATAATATGAAATGGAAATAAAAACATAACAATGTAAACAAACCATAGAAAATATTTTATTTATAATACAATATTTATTGTACTTAAATTATTTTACTCAATATAAATATCACTATACTCTGTCCACGAGAGCATGTCGCGCGATAACGAAAATTAATCGGCTCTGAGCATATCCATCGTTATGAGCGATGAAATTTGAATGCATTGAAGAGATATGATGGCCCGATCTGTCAATGTTATTATTGTCATACAATGAATATGAATATATTAAGTTGACAAACTAGCAAATAAATATAATAAAATGCAATTTTTTTTTTTAATGTAATAAATAATCAAAACTATTGTTTAAGTTATATATTTATTGCACAACTTAATTAAGACATTAACAGGAACAGCTAATGATGCATACATTTTTTATTTTTATATTACACTTGCATAATTTATTTTGCTCAATAACTAGTTTTACCAGTTCAAACGTTAATTCTCTTTATACAACTAAAAGTTTTACATTATATTTCAAATGAGTCAATTTACAATTTACAATTTACAATAAATAATATGAAAATAAAATATTAAAAAACTAATAATAATAACATAAATTCTCACAATACAATCATGAATTAACTATGTCGGATTCATAAAAAATAGCCAACATAAGGTCAATTTTACCTGTAAGGGTGTGGTGTTCCAGCACCCTTTACATTAGCTTTCATTCCAGGGGGTGGTTTGGGCATCATGCCCATTGGTGGTGTATTGGGACCCATGCCAGGAGTCACGGGTCTTCCAGTGGGTGGTACCATCATACCGCCGGGAGACACCTGTGGTACCATTGGCTTTAGATTTTTGCCCATACTTACTGCCGACACTAGTGTATGCAAGTCGGCTACAGATGATGTTTGGCCAATGCCCACTCGAGCTCCAGTTTCCACTTCCCATTCTTCTCGAGCCTTAGACACCAGATCCAAGACATGGTTGACGACTTTGTTGAACGCTGCTAGTTGTTTCTGTGCTGTCTCAAACTGTAGTCCACCAGCTTTGTGCTCTACCTAAAATCGCGTCATTATTTTAAGTAATTACCTACGCGTACATTAGGGTGGTTCTTATTTGGGTGATGCAGGAATTATTATTGTGCCGCCCTCTAATATTTTTCTATAAAAATAAAGACAATTTTCAAATCACCCTCTGTAAAGGCGCAGTGTTCCATTTAAAATACATGAGGTTTCCTTACTTTAATATAAGTATTTTACTGGAACCATCAATTGTAAATGAAAACAATATTTTAATTTACAATTGACACTTCTGGTAAAATACTTAATATTAGAGTGAGGAAATGCCGTGTATTTAAATCGAAATTTACTGGGGATGATTAGAATGGATACAAAAAGGTCATAATGAATATGGGTCAACAGTTCTCTTCGTTTTTATAGAAAAACATTAACGGGCGGCACAATAAAAAACGTCGACCGAATAAAAACCGCCCTGTGGCGTACGTACTAAATAGGATTAAAGGGAACAGCCAGCAAATCGTTTACACACGAACCTGCATGAGTTTGTGTTCGACTTCGGGTTCGGTTTTGGTACGCAAAAAATCGGGTACGATGTCGTGCGACAGGGCCGGCACCCGGTTCTCGGTGATGCGAGCCAAATCGTCGTCCCGTTCTGGGTTCAACATGAGCGGCAGCACGCTGTAGTTTCGCAGCTGCGGCAGTTTCTCGTACGATAGGTACTTCATGATGGCCGTGTACTGGGTCGAGAACACGGCGAACGTGTCCAGCACCGTCGTCCAGCTCACGTTGTCCCGTTCGTGTTCCAGTTTGAATATGAGAGCGTATATCTGGCCTTTGAACTCGTTTAACTTACTCTGGAAGTTCTCCAACACCAGCTCCAACTGTTTGTCTTCGCGCTGCATTTCGGTAATTTTCCCACACGCAGGCGGACGGAAATGTGTAGATCGTGAAACGAAACGGCGTTCGCGCGGAGCGTAAACCCGATTTTAACGGCATAAATAAAGTCCTAACAAAGTATTGAGTATCTAATACTCATTTTCTGCGATTTCACTTGATTTTCTTGATTATTGATAAGCCACACGTACGAAGAGAGCTGATCGTACACAAAACGAAGCGGTTAGTACTTAACCGTGAACCTTGTACGCATGCGCCAATACTGTCACGAAATCTCTTATCATTTTATCAATATTATATTATTATATTACTATCAATATTCATTTTTATTCTTTAGTTACCTATGTATTATTCCATTGTTTCATGTCGTTTAACGAATAATGGCATCGATAAATCTAATAACTAAATACAAATTATTATAAATTGTAATCGGCAGTAGGAGTGAGAGTGCTGTAGAACTATGATAAATCTTTCAAAACAAAATTTTCTTCATCGTTTAACTATGATTTTACTTTTTCAACTTAAAAAAGCGTTATGAATACCTCTTCCAGTGGAAATCGATAAATTATTTTTAATCAAAAATATAAGATTGATAAAATTGTATGAAAAAAGTTTATAAATTGTGTATATAATTAAGTATTATGTATTAACTAAGAAGTATCCACTCATGCTATATTTATTACGCTGCAATAAATGTCTAATTATGAGCGGTAAAATTAATTTAAATAGGTATTTATTTCTTCATTTTATATTCTGAGTGGAGCGAAGAAGCCTATAGTTTTACAAAGTTATTGTTTTTTTTTGTTTTCATCTGTGAACAACTTTTCTACCAAAAGACTTGCTCGGATTTCTTCGTGTATCGCCTTTTCTGAAAGGAAATCGGCGTGGGAAAGTACTTTAGGGAGGTCATTTTTCGATTTTCTTACAAGTTTTCTCATCAAATTTGAAAAACCAGGAAAATGTACGAAATATATTACTAAAATATTAAGACTTTTTTTTTTCCCCCGTGCACAACTTTTGCTCGGACTTTTAATGATAGCAACGTTTCTAAAAGGAAATTTCACTAGCGAGGGACTTAGAGAGGTCGTTTTTCGACTTTCCCAAGAGTTCACCCAGCAAATGTGAAAAACCTGATAAAATCGGTACGACATTAAACAAATATTATTAAAGAAAATAAATAAAACCTATTTAATTGTTTTACCATAAAATGGCATGTATACATTGCTGACAAAGCACCATTATACACTGAACTCCGCTCAGAATCGTTTTTTCGCAAGCAATGTATTAAATTAGATTGAATAAGATCAAAAAGAAGACGTTTTACGAGAGTATTATATTGTTTTAATAGCATAATAATATTATAAGTATACAGTTAACGTAAAAAGACGAAGAAACAATATGTTGTGTACATAACAAATAATATATACATGCGACAGAAATCATTCATCGAGTATTAACGAGATCGTGATAAATCCGTATTGCTCGCCGCGGCCGTGGTCTTTTTTTGGTAGTCTCGTTTGGCCAGTAGTCCGCGGTCGTCGATTGCCGCAAGACTCACAGGTAGGCGGGCAGGACGGCGGACGTCGCGTACGGGTAGTAGCCGTACGGCGAGGCTGCCACGTACGGAGCGGACGCCGCGTACGGAGCGGTGGCCACGTACGGAGCGGACGCCGCGTACGGAGCGGTGGCCACGTACTGCGCGGACGGCGCGTACAGCGGCGCGGCGGCCGGCACTACGGGAGTGGCCACGGAATGGGCCACGCTGTGCGACGTGAACGAGCTGGCGTAGGGCGCCACGGCTACCGGAGCGACCGCGGGCACGAGACCGGCCGGTTTGGCGGACGCGCTTGCGATGGCTGAGGCGAAGACGACGATTGCGGCTAATGTCTGGAGGGGGGGGAAAGAAAAACAAAATTAATTGTAATCCGATGTCGGGGCGGATATTGTATCGTATTATTATAGTATCAGCCGCCCGCCCCGCAAATGGACAAACGCGAAATAAATACATTTCGCTTTTAAATTGCCGCGAAAATTGTCACGTACTACCGGTCGGCGTAAAACATTAAATACGCGGACGAACGGTTTTTCATTTTGTGTACGGTTTGAAATTAATATTGTCAACGATACAAGTAATACAATTTGTGTCTGACGTACACGTGCCACGTCGGAAACGAACGGAACTTGACGTTACTCCGTTCCGGGCGCGATTCAAACGAGAAAACACAACCGAATGAACGAATAACAATATCGCGAGCCCCGCGGATGCGTTTTCGCATACGCACGCATCGTCGGCGTTGCAGTGACTCAAAACGCGTCGGGTCCGTCGGGTTTTAGATAAATTTCACGGTGGGCACCGCCGAGTGTACCCGTATGCGCACGTAACGCAACCCCACTAGTGTTGAACGGCGTCGGACAATAATCGGACTACCTGACAGCAAAGCGACGCGTTCGAATCAAAATATTCGGTATTCGACGATAAAAGTGCGTGCGGTTTTGACGTTTTTCCGATTTCCAAACGTTATCAACTGTACAATTTCGTATGTTACGCCCGAAACGGTTTTGAAGAAAAAAAAAAGTAATTCTCACGCGACTTTTAATCGATAGCGTGGGGGATGGGAGGGGGGGGGGCGATAATAGCTTATACGTTGTACAGACATTATAGGCGCCGCGTTTTTATACTCACGATTTTCGCGGCGGCGTTCATGATTGCGTGTGCGAGTTTTCGGACGACTTGGAAATATTGTGCGTGTTCCGGTGCTGTGTCTTTCGGACGGTTTCGGTGCGAACGGTGTGCGGGTCCGAGTCCGGACCGCCGTTTATATAGCGTGCACAGGTTACGACGGGCGTCGAAAAACCCCCGGGCCGGGAATTGAGAAAATCGCCTCACCCCTCCCACACACACTCGGTGATCCGGCGACGAGCGTAACGCGTATACGGCGGGCGCGCGTGTGTTTTGAATACCGTAAGACGACGCATTGGCGTTGGGCGTTGAAACGATTGACGGATTCCTCGGTAATAAAATCGGTTACACAACCCGGAGCAGGACTGCACTACACCGCGTGGGTACGTACGTGTCGTGTGCAATACGTATACGCTCGCTCGCCTTACTGAATATCAATATCGGTAATCGGATTGCCGCGGATACGTTTTAATTATTATTGTTATTATTATTATTTTTTTTTTTTTTTTGAATTCCAATAACGTGCCGTCAAATCGCGAGGTCGCGGATCGCCGTTTCTAGTGCAACGCCATAACACATCAACGTACGTAATTTTATAGGCGAAACTATACACGTTCGGTCGAAAAGCTGTTAGAATTGTAACAGTGTGGTGGGCCGTCGAATAGCGCAATGACGGATGCATCCACTGTGCAATGGAAACCGAAAGAAAAATACCACCCCTCTGGGGGCGGACCGACAAAAGAAAACTGATTATACGGACTGAACCACGATCTCACGAGCATCAAGCAGTGTTGAATCAAAATTGAACAGTTTTTCTGGGGGGGGGGGGCATCACTAAAATTATAGTTATGGCCTTTTTTTTTTTTTCTTGCTCATCTAAGATTTTAATTAATTATTAATTTATCCACATTTAACGTGGATATCGCCCCCCCCTTGTCATATACCTGCAGGATTCAACACTGGAGACGAGTCAATAAACCGAAAATAGATATTACGGACCAGGAGTCTCCATTAATTACGTTTGTGTATTAGGTATGCATTTATATACAACAGTTTTCTAATAACCGCAACATTATCGCCACTACGATGTTATTCATTACGTTATCGGAGATTTATCAATCGATAACTTCAGTCATCCGCTGTGTTTATATTTTTTATTAGAAAAAAAATGTCCAATAATGTTTGAAACATAAATAGTTTGACAGCTATGGGAAATGAAACAGTGGCAAAATGGGAACTGACCGACGGCAAAGTGTTCAATGTCCGTGTTACATAAAATTTATATTAAAATGGTCATTTAAAATATTTCCATCTGAAAATGTTCGTATTTTACTCTGACCATTTTGGTTAACGGACATATTTTTATCTAGCCAATTTTACCCGGCCATTATTACCAACTACTGTGGAACGGCGTTAAGCCATAATAGCCTTTGAAGTTGAAGATATAGACCATTATATTGATAAAATACATATGATGTATAGAACGAGGGCATCCCGAGGGGGAAATAGCTCTCGCATGAATTGGTCAGTCGGTACATTTATGTAATATTGGCTATTTAACCGCCAAGTTGCAATTGCTATTGAAACTGTTATTGAATAATTTGTAATTTGTTTGTTTGTGTGGTACAACAAAATAATTTCACTGATAAAACCATACGTGGTGCCAAAACAGAGTAGATAACATTTAGCTGTGACAAGGAGGCCCGAGTACACTCTTTGCTTGGCTCGGCTTAGCACATGCACGACTTAAGCGGCGATTTCATTATCGAGTCTCGCCTCTCGTGCCTTTTGGACAACGGTTTCGCGCAATGGACGAAACACGCATTTCTCCATCCAACGGTGAATGAAAAACATGTCGCGCTTAGACTCTTTTGCCGGGTCACCGTCGATATCTTTCCGATAGAGCGTTACAGTTTTGCTTTTAGAATAATCCTATACAAAAACGATCGCCACTAATTATGGGTGCCGGACGACCTCACGATACGTTATAAGAATACATTATTATAACTATATCAACACTATTGTCGAATTGGTAGTCAATGTAAATACAATCCTACGGGTTGTATAACAATAAACAATGTAGGATTATTAATGACAAATCCGTTTGCGTCACCGCTAATATTAATTCGTCAGTTTTGTATTATGTATTATGCAAAGGTTAAGACACAGTAGGTACTTATAGGTGTAAGTACTGGCACTGTTTTACTCGTCCAGAGGACGTATTTACACATTTGGCACCCTTGGGCGCGGTTCTTTTAACGTTCTTTCGTTTTTTTTTTTTTTACAACACGTTTGAATTTCGAGCTGCACACTTTATGCTCTCGTATTCAGAGTCCAGAACGGAATACATATGGTATTATCGTGGAATCTCGAATTAAACACACACATAAATTACAATAATAATAATAATCAGACATTTATATGCACTACGGTTGATCCGAAATATCGTTCGCGCCGAAACGGTTCGGCAACAAGCAACACCGACGGCCGGTCAATCGATTTTATCGTCCATCGACTGGTCGTCATCGACGTTTTCGTCCGACCGGCCGTCTCGGGACGCTCCGTCGTGTTCGACGATTTTCGGGAAGTCGCCAACGGCGACGTTGGGCGTGATGATGGCCCGGTCGTCGTAACAGTACCGTGTCCAATCGTTTTCTCCCCCGACGTCGTCACCGACAGAGCTGTCGTCATCGAAGTGCGACGACTGTTTCGTCAGCCGCGACGATTGTTTGGACGACGCCGACTGCGCCTTCGGCTCCACGTTGAACTCCATGTTGTAAAACTCTTCGCCGTCGTCGTCGTCGTCTTTGATGGTCCACGATCCTTCGCTCTCGTCCGGCGCGGTCGGCGATGCATTGCGCATCAGATGCAGCTGATCGCCGATCGACTGCGGCCGGTCTTGTACGGCGTTTGCTTGTTTCGCGGCCGTGCGCTGAAACGTAAATGTAAACAAATCAAAATTAACAAAATTCCACTTCTAAAAGTTCAACTGGAAATAGTAAAACCCAGTTGAATCCACAAGAGTCCAAATCGAACAGTTTTCGTTCCGACGAACGTATACACCCATTATAATATTTTAACGTAGATACATGAAACCTATAAATTAACAGTTCGACTTACATTTGCATTGGACATATTTTGGTTTTGTATGATAGGAGGGAACATTTTGCCCTTGTGCTTTAGCGATTCGATCTCTTTGCAAAGGTCTTCTTTACGTTTCGATAGTGTATTACAGACGTTTTTTAAATTGGTTAAATTGGATGCATTCGAATCGTCAACTGCCGATAAATGTTGAATCTTTGTCTGTAAAAAAAAATTAATAATAATACTATACCTAATAATTACAAAAAACACACTATAATACAATAAAATGTAGGCACATTTCCATTTTGACTAGGTATAGGTAAAAAACGAATAATCCCACCAATATTATGTGAAAGTTTGTGACAACGTTCGGATGTTTGTGACTCGATCACGCCAAATGACTGAACGGATTTTGATGAAATTTGACACCCGTATATAATGTGGATTAGCGTATTAGGTAGGATACTTTATATCCCGGTAATGCGTTCCTGTGGGATGATTTACAACTATTTATAGCCTATATATTTTAAGAATTTAAAATTATTTGTTTTGCGATTTTTTTATTGGTTTCATTCTGATATTATGAATTGCGGCTATTTCAGTGACACTATATATACTACTTTAAAATTAGTCCAGTGTCAAGAACTATTGCTGTATTTTCCTTTAAATACGCGACCAAGTGTTATTAATCGTATTTTTGAAAGAAAAAAAAACCACATTAAAGTAACACCAATGAAACAGTAAAACGGTTACTATTAGGAGAACATCGGGTGACGGGGAGCACGTTTTTATATTTGTTCAATACTATGCACAGACAATGTTAGTTTGAATGGAAAATATAGATGATAAAATTGGAAATAAAACTTGCAGCATTTTGTTGTTGGACAATCAACGATTGTTGAATTTGCCGATTGCATTCGCGGACACCTTTTAAAGTCATTTTTTTGACCGTTTGAGCCCCTAACAGATCGGCCAATATTTCTTGATGATCTCTGATTTTTTTCTGAAAATAAATCGATCAAAAAGTTATATTATATTTTAATAGTTTAGATTGTAAGTACATTATGGTGTATAGATACATTTATTAATTTAATTTCTTTAGTATGACGTTCCGTCATTTCTTCCGCATTGGAATTGGCACAAATAATCATGTAGTTGATTATAGTCCTCTCCATTTCATCTATAAAACTCCAACTTGCTATAGTTTTAAATTTCTTCATAATTTCATCTTTAATGGCCAATTTATAATTTTTTAAATCAAGATTAGTGTTGGCTATTTCTGTACGTAACTGTTTAGCTTTTAACTGTTCTTTCTTATACGTTTTTTGAATTTCCTCAGTCTCCTTTTTTAACTCGGTCACTCTGTTCGCCAGATCTTGGATCACATTGCCGTGTACCAAGATCGAATTTTTAAACAATCTAGTTTTTGTCATTTGAGATTTATTTAATACTATTGTCATATCAACGTCATTTAATTTCAGCTGTTTTTTAATCTATAATTCGAAAAGTTAAATAAATAACTACCTATTTAAAATGTAATTATTTAAGTGAATTTCTAACCCGGTATGTTTCTAGATTGGCAAAATTTTGCTTTAATTCATTTTCGAGGGTTTCAAGTTCTGCATAAGCTAGTAATAAACTTTTATTTAACGATTCCACAATTTTTCTTTTACTGTCAATATATTTCTCCATTTCGTACCGTTTTGATCTCAACTCAAAAGTCAATGCGTATATTGCAGGATCACAACCTTCTGGTAATACATTTTCATGGTATACTCCAAGTTCCCCCATTGTTGTCAATGACTCGTCGCTTTTAACATTTTCAGATTCTGATTCAGAGTCACCACTGTCGTCTGACGAAGAAGACGACAAGGAATCTATAAAATATTTCAATTTGAATGCAAACCGCTAAACAACATGTAGATACCTATGACAAATCGCAATAAGAAATATACATTATCAATTTTATACCGTCATCGTCGTAGGTTTTGACTTTGGGAGTTTTAAATTTCTTTTTGAAAATTTTCCTCAGATGTTTAGCAAAATTGTTATTCCGAATTTCTATTTCAAAGGTATGCTGAATGTCTACTATTTCGTTTAGTTTTTTTTTTATAAATTGATTATGATGTGTTATATCCTCTTGAATCTTCATTATCTATAATGAACATTCATGGATTTATGTTATATTTAAATCAATAACTAGTTTAAATCAGTGACCTGGTCAACTTTAGCATTTTTTTGTTCAGTTTTTAAATGTACAGTGTATGCATATTCATCTTCCCGTAAATCACATTCGTTCAAAATTATTAATTCTTCTTCCAAAGTCAAAGAAAATAATTTTAGAACAGTAATCTGTAGTTTGACGTCTTTTCGTAATTTTTTTAACATTAAAAGGTGATTGTCAAACATGGTGATTTTTGTTAACATAGATTCGTGCAAACATCTATGCCTATGTTTTAATTTATCTTTTAACATTTGCTGCGTCATTATTTCTAGGTATGTAAGACATTCGTACGATACGTTTTTAGACATTGGGTATAAATTATTTATTTGGGGGTTTAAAACAAAGTCCAACGGATCCGAATGGTACAACGGTTCGAAAGAATCGATTGAGCTAGGCTAAAACATAAAATTAAAATTAAAATCAAAAATAAATAAAGTATTACTGTGTTTATAAAAATAGATTATGATCACCAATTATTAATACATCAGTATAGTAATATAATATACAATATAATACTTTAAATAGGTGTGCAATTATTAGGAAGGTAGAACACATAGTGTTAGTTAAATCAATATATGCAGGTAACTATAGATCATTGATAACTAAAAACGATTCTGAGCAAAGTTCGATTAAACACTGTTCGATATGAAATGACGTGATTTGTCACAATTTTAAATTACAAAAAACAAAAAAAAATATACATTATACGTCCGTGAACTTAGCGGCACACATGTAACAGTATTCAATCAAACTAATCTAAATATTATATTGGTCGGACATTTTTCCAAATTATTGTAAAAAAGTTATGAGCAATTTTTCAAAACCGCCGAAAAGTAGATACTAGTGATGAGAATAATCCGGATTTACCAAAAATTGATTCGGATATTGAGAATCCGAAGTCAAAAATGTATTTAAAATCTGAGTGTTCGATTTTTAAACTTTGATTTTACATTTTCTTTTAGACATTTTTCATTCATAGCCCTGAAATCGCATCTAGAAAAATCGATTTTTATTTATATTCAAGAAAAATGTCAGATCTCTACGATTATTTTTAACCAAATCAAACAGAAAAATAAAATTGAAAATAATGAAAACGTTATTTCCGTTTACTTTCCCAATTTTTTCAATTATTAAACTTTTTATTTATTTATATCTCCTTATTACCAATGTAACCCAAAAATCCGATTTATTAAAAAAATCATAAGGAAAATCAAGAAAAGGCCTCCTTAACGCACCAACTAGATCAAAAATATTATAAAAAAATGTCTATACGTTTATATTGTTTGAGCAACATTTTTAGTAGAAAAATCGTTTACAGAAAAACTGCATAATTATACCGATTATAGATAAAAAATATTACCAAAACAAAAACATGATCTTGCTTCAGTCAGAATCTAATATTATGATTTAAATATTTTATTTAACATAAAATATTATATACTTCTTTCTTACATCGATAAATTCGTCTACTAAAACTTCCGGGAAATTCTGAGGACTTGTTATTCCCGGATCGTTTAATTCATTTTGTATCCTACAGACATCGAATTTGAATTGTTTATAGTCGTGTAATAAATGAATTTTACGTTGTCTTAGGTCAGCGATTTTTTCGTTAAAATTTGATTTCAAGGAGTTTATCTATACAAATATGGAATACATAATTAGGGATCTACATGTGCAAATTTAAATAAAAACAAGGAAAACCAACCTCGTTTTTAACACTCATGTATTGTTTATATTTATCTTCCATCGAAACTAATTGCTCTTCGGTCAGTTTGAAGTCCGGCGAATTTTTCAAATTGAAGTCACCAATAGTTTTCCAAGCGTTATCTATTTCAATTTCTTCGAGATTACTATCAATTTTTTTATTTTCTTTCTCAAAACTTTCAATATTAAAAATTTTTTCATTTTCATAGGTTATTCTAGCGCGAAACTTGTCAATGGCACTCTGAATTTTTTTTGGCAAAAATTGATACATCTCAACCATATTTCGAAGAAAAATTTCCGATTCGCTTACTGGACGATTTTGGTTATCGTTTGTTTTTACCAATACCGTCAGATTGTGCGGTCTAAAATAATAATATTAATTTAAATATAAATACTTTTCTATTTCAATTTTAAACTATAACTATTTATTTTTATATTTTATGTATATTTACGGATGAGCTCTATTATAAACACAATTAGATATTCAAGTACTACAACAAAATATTACAATAACAATAAATTACAGACAAATGTTAGGGAAAGATACGATTTACTCTTAACCTGAGGGGGGATCCAAATTGGCTATAAACCTATAACTGCATTAATCAATAGATTGATTTATTGGTTAAGTAATTGGTAGAGCAACAAGGAATGTGATATGGAGCATTAAGGCTAGTTGGTCGTGGAGGAACTCTAAAATTAATTAAAGACAAAAAGATAAATAAATGAATCAATGCCTCAAACAATAATAAACCCCATAAGAATTATTTGTTCGCATTAAGTCGACGTTCTGCTAGTGAAGGATACAATAGGCATGTACAATCATGTTCTGCGTGGTGTATCTTAGTATCTTTAGAGAAAACCCAGGAAATTTCAAAAATGTACGTTTGGCCCTTTCTAGATGATTTGAGTTCTTTAGATTTATGTGGGTCCCAGATAACGACGAATCCATATTCCAAGATTAGACGTACCAATGTACAATATAATGCTTTAATAGACATCTTAAGTTGAAAATATTTGGTAAGAATATGCGAGCTATGATTGAGATATTTATGGTGAATTTGAAACCAAGATCGTTAACAATATCATAGTCGCGGAGCAAATGGGAGCAAAACAAGGAAGTAAAAGAGTCAAAGGAATATATAAATTGTTTATTTAATTTCATATTTTTCAGTTGTTTTAAAATAATGTGCACATACAAACCTTATAGTGTTTGACTTTTGTATTCCCTCTAGACTTAGCAGCGTGTATATACATGTATAATTTATATTTCAAAAAAATATTCACAAAAATGTATTACGTATTATTAAATTCAAAAACTCACCAACGTTTTTTATGTTTCTTAGCCGTAAATTCATCGATTAAATTCCTGAACAGATTATGACGATTTTTATGATATATTGTTTTGACTCTTACATCTTGTCTGCGAATATTTGATTTAAGATAAATTTATAATTTAAATAATAAAAAAAAAGAAACTATTTGTATAAAATAGTACGTACAATACTGCTCGGACTTCGAACTTAGCAGTTATAACTGGATCGACAAAATAATTTTTCACTTTTGTGAGACCTAATAAGCTCTTTTCATAATCAAACTCGAGTTCTGCTTGTAATTTATCCATTTCGGTCTGAGCTTCTGTAATAAGTGAATTGTCTATTTGATCGTGGAATTGAAAATAATCCTGCGGAAATTGTAGTCGTTTTGGTAGTGCCTTGTTACTGTCTAAAACTTTTTTAAACTTTTCTTTAAGTCTATTCAACAAACAAACGATTCTTTCTTTTTCTTTGTTAGCCAAGTGTAATTTTTTGTGCCTTTCCTTATTAATCTTTATCTCTTCTAAACTGAGTTTTAAATTTTCTTTGGTTTGGTTAATATCTTGGTCCTGAAAATTAATATAATAATTAACAACATAATAAATTATATTAATTACATTATTTGATCTTTTAACTTGCGATTATTTTGGACGGCCGGGGTAGTTCGGAAATCGAAATCACACACTTCTCGACTACATCGTAATCGCATTGGTACATAAAACTGAAAATGTTCCGATCGTCTCCGCAGGTATACAACATACGATTGTCTTGACTGAAACACGTGGTTTTTATCCGTCCAGTAATGTTGTCGTGAATCGAGTATTCGATAAAATCACTAAAATCGGAAACGTCTGCGACGTTAACATTTACGACACGGATTCTACCGTCGGCAAATCCCATTATAATTGTTATCGATTCGTCCGCAGATCCCCTGGAAAATGTAAATGCCGGTAATCATTGACCGTACTCGTAACGTCTTAGGTTGTAAATACCTACATTTTTTTTGATTGTGAACCTACTTACTAACCTATCAAAAACTCCAAGTGTTTATTTTTACTATTCAGTTACAGTTAGTGAGTGATTTAGGTAAGTATATGCTTTTCGAGTAATACTTCACATTAGTGGCCGGTCTGGAAATGAGAATTTTCCAAATAGCTCAGTAGCCTAGTTATTTGTATATGATATTTTATTTACTCAGATTATTTAAAAACTTTGTAAAAATCTATGCTAAAACACATTATTTTTCTCATTTCAGTACCTATTTTAAGTTTTTTTTTTTTTTTTTGTATACATTTTCGTTTAAAGTATCACATTCAAATTCATATCGATAAAATCACTTTTATAAAATTGTTGGAGGGGTCAAGACCCCTGGACCCCCCCTCAAGTAATCACCTATTTAACTCCCCTCGATTTAAAATCCTGGTTTGTCCAGTGGTTCAAATTGAAACGCGAGAAAATTTTGTTCAGTAAGTATGTATTTTATTGGGTGGTCTGCAGGATAAATATTAATCTCCCGGTCTGAATTTTGGTTCCTACTCCGCCTCAAATGTAAAATATTTGTATACGTTAAACTTACAACATATTAATCGCGGTCAACGGTACAGTATTTTTTTGGTCGCGTAACTTTATCGAATTTATCGGTCCGGACGAGTTGAAATCGTACTCGTACAAGTAACCGGCACCGTGTCCGTCAATGGACACCCACAGACTTTTTTCCGATGGACTGTAAATAGCGAACAGTACGGCATTCGAAACTGCAGGAACAGATAGTTTCGGTATTTCTCCATTGGCGTCTTTCGAATCATGAAAATACAAATCTTTATCGGATTCTACGCCGACATTTTCTCCGCCGTGTGTTTCCAATTTTTCTCGCATTTTACTAATATGCTCGTTTTGCTTTTTTTCCGTCTCTTCGACGGAGTCGTCGCGAGATGATCCCGACTTAATACTTGCCGTTTTTATTGTTCGCGATTCAAGTTTCAGCAAAAACGAATTTTTTGTGTACACCGGTCGGCTCGCGGGAACTTTCACTTCAACAATATGGCCACTATCGCAGCTAATTAATATCGTCTGTTCCTGAAATTAATTTTTAAGAAAACAGTGTATTCCGAATAAATTGGTTTTTTTCTCTATAATTTTTTTTTTTACATAAATTATTTACTTCCGACCGTTTCCAGTGAATAAAAGTCACTTTTCCGGGTAGCGGATACATTCCAATGGGTTTCAACTTGAACGGTTCCGTTTCGATTTTATACACAAATATCGACCGATCGTCGCTTCCGCACACAAGAACGTTAGCACGGCGGTTCACGGTCAAGTGTCTGATGCTGCTTGTGTGCGGTTTAGAACTCTGAAAAACAGTTTTTCGTAAGTTTATAATAATATAAAAGTACAGAATATAAAGATACTGCAGGTAATTGTTACTTGTAGTACAACGAGACGTGCATTTTCGTCTCCGATAATATCCGCGAAACTACTCGACGGGGAAATTACTGGAGAAAACGAAACAGCGACCATTTTCAAAATTCCGGTTTGAAATCCAATTGCGAATATATTTCCCGATTTCACTATCTAACTCGTACAAACGTTATTTATTTATGCACCATACCGATACGATTAGTTTTTACGAGTTTACCTCTAACGGTAACCAAATCGACGACGTGACCGGTACTGCGAAATCGTGCATAAATATCAACTTTTTGTTGACGACGTCGTGCACGTGTAACCATCCGTCCAACGACGTGGTAGAGATGAAGTAACCGATGGGTGACGGCTGCAGAGAAGTAATCTGGTCGCCATGGAATTTAGCCAATCGTTTCAGCGGTTTGGCGTTTGCGGTCACTTCGATGTCAGCCAGCCATAATCCCCCGTTGCCATCCTAATAAATAATGGATGAATACGTCAGAGATGATTATTAATTGTTCAATCGACGTAGATGTATATCATGGTAGTCTTTTTATAGGGAGCGGAAACATGGTCGCTAAGAAAATTAGACAAGAAGCAGTTTTCATTGTACAACGGGATGAAAATCGTTTCGGCCCGACCACAAATTATGAACAGCTGATAGCTGACAGTGGATGACAAGGAGGACAAATAATGCAGAGCCCGCAGAGACCTTAATCCAAATCATAGGCGTGTCTACGACGGCAACCTAGGGTGCCTGGGCTGCCCCGGTAATTGTCGACACCGGTTAACCGAATTGTATGTCTTGAATTACAACTTTTATTAAAAAAAAAAAAATACATTGATTTCTTAAATAACGAAATATAATAAGCAATTGTTTATTTTCTTATAATTAACAATATATTATTCTCTATTAGTCCGTCATTTTTATTATTTTATGTACTAACACATCATATAGTTTGTTAATTACTTATATAGCGGTGTAATCCAAGCCTGTACATGAATAATATTTCCGTAGTTAAATTTAAAGGTACTGAAAATACTGTACATTATCAATTGTAAATAGATAATACAGGCTTTTTAAATTATATGAATATTTTAAATTAGAGAGGACTAACCTTCCCCCTTAGGTGATTTTTCGGTTTCATTAACTGATGTCGGTCATTAGTCAGGCTACCGCTGCGGATGAAGTCTAGTCACGCCTATGATCCAAAGCACGATTATATATTTGTAGACGTAATACGGAGCAGAATAATACAATAGGTAGAGCACTTAGGAATATAAGAGGCGATGGAGCAGAATCCGTGTGTATAACTTATGTATAGAAAGTCCCAGAACATGATAGAAGATTTAATAGTGTAATGGAGATTCACTGGAGATTCGAATTTGGTGTGAGATGGATGGTTTATTATTATTTTTTTATATGGTCATCTCGTCTCTATACTTACTTGAATAAAATAGTCGTACGAACTCGGATCGCTGCAGTCGAGTTTGCATATGCCCGTAATTTTGGCCACGCCGATCGAGTCCTGGACGTTAATGGTGAATGACGGTTCCATTTCCAGTATCCGGTCGTCTTCCGGCGGGTCCGCGGTTTCGATCGTCGGGTAATACCAAAATTTAATCGTCCCGTCCATGCTGACGGTGGTCAACTCCGCGGTGTGTTTGGAATAGAACAACATGATGATCGGCGCCAGATGACACGGTTTCCTCCCTTTCCGCATCACCTCGAGTGTCACCAGCTGTTCGTCCCACACCAATAAATTTCCCCAGTCACAACTTGATATAACCTGAACGATCAGAAAATTATTATACAATACTAAAAATATACACATATATCTTTGGTACAAAAAGGGTCAATATCAATTCTTTTTGAAACAATCAATAAACAAAAAAAATAAAATAAAAAATTTATTTTCTTATTAAAAACTGTTTTTAAGTTTTTCTAAAAATTGAAAATTACACAAACATTTACATTTAATAAAATACATAGGGAATATGGGGAATATAAATTTAAAAGCCCATTTCCCAATAATCACAAAACGTGACATTGGCCCTTCTTGCACCAAGCTACAGATATATATTTGCCTATTGCGGTCGTTCCTTTTCATTTCGGCACGGGCAAGTTATAAGCGAAACTATAAAAGAGAAAAAAAACGATTCGTACTTTTTCGTCAGGCATCGAAAATATTCCGACCACGTCGGATACATCCGTCTTTCCGAACCGTCCGAGTTGACCCTGAAGCTTCAGCCCGGTAAACGTTTGAGCCATTTTCCAAAATCTGATGTGTCCCGAGCCCGCGGTCACCAAGTGGTCCGGCATAAACGACGAAAACCTACAAACGCGCACGTCCCGATTGTGCGATTTGGTCTTTAGAATGATAATCGATTTTTTCCAATCCCATATGGTAAGCGTATTGTCCGGTTCGCCTGCTTGTGAACACAAATACCTACCGTTTTGACTAGAAAAAAAAAAAAACAAAGTACAATATTTTTCCACATATCGTCGTCTTTATTATAGTACCTATAGAATTGGGTGTATAGAAAGATTAAATCCGTTATACCTGTAAGTCAACCAGTTATATTTTTTTTTCGCGCTTCCTTTTAGAACGCTGACAATATTGAATGTCGGCCATTGGTAAACGATAATCGACGGGTCGCTGCAGTTTTCTCCGACGGCCAGGTGACCGAATACCGGATTTTTCTGTTTGAACAGTAATTTAGCATTATACATCGGTAACCGTTTTTTAAAACTATTCGTTTTTACAAAAGCTCAAATCGGATTCCGTTTTCCGATTTAGACTCACGGCTATGTGTCCGATCCCTCCGTTCCCGACGCATTTTCTAAAACTCAAACTGTCGTTTTTTACGTCGAACACGGCGATGTAACTACCGGCCGCGTACACAATCGTACGATCGTCGGCGGCGCATAAATTGAAAATTTTCGAACAATCGTAACCAAACGAATAACTATAGGTATATATTGTAAACGATGGAATTATTTAAGGAACTTTCAAATAGGTAATAGTTATTAAAAACCGCCGCATCGTTACAAGGCATTACAAACAAATTATTATACGTATAACCCTAAATTTTAACTAAAATTTATTATTGTTAAATGTACGTAATCTACCTAACATATATTATATTTAGATATCTGATTTTGACGGTTTTAGATTTTAAGTCTAACGAAGAAACTGTTGGTTTTACAAACATGTTAAACATATTCACTGTCAAAGGATACTGGTGTCTTAAAACGTTTTCGTCGATCGTGCACGTTTCACTTTTGGTCGGTTTCGCCATGCAATCGGTATCGTATGAAACGCGATTTCCGCCGTCGTTGTAGTCATCGTCGTCGAATCCCTCCAACGTGTTCTTCGTGCCGTAAGAAATTTTTAAGAAATCATTTATTAAATTAATAATGTCTTGCGGAATATGAAAATCGAGAAATATTAATGCCACGGTGTTAATTAAAAATAATAATAAGAATAATAGTAAAATACCAAATACCCACGTCCCATACGTATTTGCATGAATGAACGACCGGATCGGTATTGTACTATGCTAGACGGTGTGGTCTTTGCTAGTAGTGGAAGCTAGATGGATATTTTAAAGGAACCAACATGCATTAGACTATTTAGATTATTACGATATTGATACCTAGGTATATACGTGGCTACGTAATAATAATAATAATAATAAGTAGGTGTCTAAATAATATTTTCCGATATCCAAGGCTGAGCAAGTTGATGATGTTTTTCAACTCCGTTAAATTAGGTAAGTTAAATTTAAATTTAAATATAGTTTATAATTAAAAGGCAATACAAAATAATCGTTCAATTCAACTAAGTTAAAAGTTGAACGAAAGTTAAAATTAACTCAAGTTATGTTAATTGAAAAAAAAATGTACATAATATTGTCTAATACCTACTATAATGGCATAATAATTTACCTACAACCCCCAACCGGCGACAAGAGTACAAAATAACAGGCAATAAAATTTATAATACGAATTGTTATGAAACAATTCGTATTTTAAAATGTTAATAATATATTGATGATAATAATAATAATAATATATATATATATTCATATAAATAAACAAAAAACATATTTGAACATACAAACAAAAATTGAAATCTACTTAACTTTTTAACTAAACTTTAACTTATTAACTGAGTTGATGCCCAGCTTTGCTAATATCTATGAAACATCATTACAATCATGAATAAAACTAGAGATGACACAAAAAGAAAAATTATCCTAGAATAATAAGCATTCAACAAAAAATACAATTTATAAAGTTATAACTATCAAACATGTTTAAACAAGCATTAAAATTAAATTATCTACCTAATAAAAACATATTATTGTGTATAGAGAAAATTGTTTTATGATTACTAGCTTAGACTTTAAATATGGAGGAGTTAGACTGGAGGCAGTGGATGTGTAGATGTGGCGAAGAGTGACGAAGAGTTTATGGACTGAGAAAAAAATCAATAGGTAAAAAAATAGATAGAAAATATTAGCTAAAACACAACGGCAGCCAAAAATTTCTATTGCCTAGTGATAATATCTAACTTACCATAAATATTTAGTGACCAAGGGATACCGACGGAGCTTGATCAAAACCTACCTACAATATCAAGTCGAACTTATCGATATATTTGAACTTTTCCTTAAAGGTTTTTTTGCGAATTCGAATATAAAAAACAAACTTGACTTCAAAACTATATAGATACCTACCTAAAATAAATAACAAGCAGCTAATTAAGACGTTAAGTAGGTATACATAAAAGAAATTTAATAAAATTTATTAGGCATACAAACAAAATATGATTTTGAGATGACTTCAGCTAGGTACCAAACTACAATGAATATTCTGACATATTACCTATATTAGACTGCAAAGACTTTATTTTTCGAGTAACCAAGGGAACACAGCAAATCAATAAAACAATAGATAAGTGCAGGTAATAAAAATGATAATATATTATATAGGCAGGTATACCAGTGTTTGTATTTTTTGAAATTTTTTAGGAAAAACTGTTGGAGATCTAGAAAAATATTTCAAACGATATAACAGGTATTATTATCTACACAAACAAACTCAACAAAAACTAACAAATCAAAGAATGACTGAGTATCTATAAAAATAAATCAGGAACACATAGAAAAAGATCATTTTTACATACTTAGTGATTAATAGATGAGATGACATTTGTTTAAAAAATGTTTTAAATATAAAATCTTTAAAATAATAACTGAAATTAAAAAAGAATTTTAAGTTGTTTAGGATATTCAATATCTTCAAATATACTCAACTTACCAGTTGTACCTATGATATAATAAAGATATGCAGGATAAATTACAAACATTAATCTACTTTTAAAATTTGACTAAAAACCCAAGACTTGATTACTACCTAGTCTTCACATTTTTTCAAATAGTAATTTTATGGGAGGTAATGTTTGTAAACATAACGCAATAATAAACTATTTTATTTTAGATTTATTATTAAACATAATGTTCTATTATATTACAATGAAACTATGTAGTGTTTGTGTATTGTCTATTACCAATATAGGTAGTTTCAGTTTTCTTACAGATTTAAATGTTTTAAACTATTTTAACAAAATAGTTCAAAGTACACAAATATATTTGTATTATTTTATCGATTTTTCCAGATTGCTCACAATAAATTAAGGCATTGAGTAATTTGGTTAATTTTATAATAGTACTACAATGTTTTTTACTTGATTGCATTTAGGTCTAGAAACAAACTTTGATAGGTATTGATTTTTCATAATATTTATCGCATCATAGAAGTTTCAAATTGTATTAGAAAAATATAATAATGTACAACAATACTATTATTTAAAAAGTATACATAAGTGAAATAATATTAAAATTTAATAGCAACAAAATTTCAATCAAATAATAGATATAATAACAACAAATTATTAGGTAATGTAAAACTTAATGCACAATAACAAAAAAAAAAAAAAAACAATGAAATCCGTACCCACATACATTAAATAATTATAATTTAGACAAATTTACAATATTAGTAACACTACAAATTTCAATCATGGCGATGACCTCAAATAATCGTTGAATGCTTTGTCAATACACAGTACAAAAATCGGTACCTAAAGAACATTGTGTATTAAGTGATTAATGATTAAATAACATTTGAACGAAATATTTGATTTACATACTATAATATAATAGACAAGTACAGTGTTAAATTATCTAATTAGGTATATTATATCATTCTTTTTTTTTTTGTGCGAGTATGCCATAATAAAAATAATAATTTAGTTGCTACATTTATAAAAACATAATCTAGTGTAATAATTATTATTTTTATATTGATTATATAAACATAGTAAAAGAATGATACCATTGAATATATTGGTTTAATAAAGAGAATGTTTCTGTTCAGGTATAAATAGTATAAATAGTATAATATATCACTGTTATTTCATTACCATATAATATCCCAGTATCTTATATTTATAATATATGTTCACTTTTTACTTGGTAATACAAAATAACATTTTGGTCATAGTGATTTTGTTGACAAATGACCATAAGGGGTGGGGGAGTTGTGTTTTATCTATCAGAAACTAAATATTCAACAACATACGTTTTAGATTGTACCCAGTTATAGAAATACCCAATTATACAAGTATTGTGGAAGTGAACACGAACACAGAAAATATAACTAACTAAACAATAATCAATTTAAACACAAACCACATTAAATAATAACACTGTGATTAAAATAATAATAGAATAAATAATTAACAATAGTAAAAAGTATTAGAATAATTATTTCAAAAAATAAAAATCATTCAGTGCTGAGTAACAATTAGTAATTAAATAACTCTTGATAAATAGTACAATCTAATGACTATGAAATCACTTGTTCGATTGTTACTTATAATAATAATAAACACCAAAAATAAACAAACCGAAAATTATCTTTAACTCACAAGCAAACTAATAATATTTGAATTATCTTTTTAGCAAAAGTTACATAAAAACTATCACTGAGGAATGTGTTGTTTAAATGTGTGTTGTTAAATAAATGTTTGATACTTTTTATTTAGACCAATATAATAACCCTAATTTGTGAATACACTGTAAAATTATAAAGATACAAGCAATTACTTTTAAATATATTAATTTTCACGCGCCAGTGATTAGTAGTTTTAAAATACTTGATATGATTAAAAAAAAAAAATTAAAGAAATATAAAAATATTTTAAGTTAAGTTAAGTATATGCATTATGCAAAATTCACACACAAGATATAAGTACATTTTTAAAATATTAATTCTTAAAACAAAATAAATACTTAATAGTAATAACAATAATAGTAATAATAATAAAACTTTTAAGTAAAACGTAAAATCATTTAAATCTCATTTTATACTAATAATAATTTTTAAAAATGCATTACTTACAATACACTGTTGTTCTTTATCAGTTTGTATAAGATTATATTAAATTACTTTACATAATAAACTATAGATATTTATTACATACAATAAATAAACAAATTAATTAAAAGAAGGATTTATTAATTCCATATTATAATTACTATAAATATTATGAATACAATATTTATGGAATTAACTCGTCTTTAAAAAAAAAAATTCACAAATGAACAAAATACAAACTATACAGATCTTATATTGAGTTTAGACATAGATCTGGATATTTTTGGCCATCTGCAAATAGAAGAAAATATGTATCTGTGTAATGGATTTGAACGTTTGTAGACTGTTTGTTCAAGTGTTGTCTGATCGGTGTAAATAGCGTCCATTTGATCATACAAAATTGCAACAACAAACATACCAAACATAGCACTCTCCATGATTAAAAGTACTGTATGTATGCTAAATAAGATAAACATAAAATATTATTTGATTTTACTCTAGTCATTTACGATAGTACAATAATATAAAAAATCATTTTTAGCGCACCAAATAAAATACAGCTGTGTAAAATCTTTTAAAAATAAAATGTAGAACTTACACTTGTCTTTCTCTCATTTCCATGTCGTACAGTTTACATTTATGACATTCCCGTACCCAAGACATGATCACCAATATAATGGTGTACGCGGACAGAATGCAAACCAGAAAAAGAAATTGTACGAAATATTTTTGATTTTTTTCTCCAACACAATTGTTAATCCTAAACAAAACAATACATATTTTAACATCTATATAAAATAATATGTATTTAGAGTGTTTTTACCATGGACAATGGTGGTCCATTCTTCTGACACATCGTTTGCAAATTCGACAGTGATGGGCTCGTGGTGGTCGATATGTTTCACATCTTGTACACAAAGTCCAATCTTCTCTTTTCACTAAAGGTTCATTTACTATATTTAAGTATATACACTATGTAAATTGATAATATTATCATACATAATGGATAAATAATAGTAATATACAGAAAAATACAGAGTGTAAGTCACTAATGGAAATCAGTGTACAAATGTTTGGTAATCGTGGAAATCTTGCAGAAAATCATATAGGAAATCTTGGTAATCGTTGGGAAAATTATAGAATTCTGGGATCCGGTGAACACAATATTAATTGGTGATTTACCGTTTAGAAAATTAACAGGATTTGTATTTGAGATCAACTTATTTTAGGTACCTTGTCGCAAGTCGCATAATGTGTCGGTGGAGTGCGGTATGGGAACAGTTCCAGGATCAGAACACATTGCACGTAAATGTGATACCGTCAATAGTAAAAGGAACGTATTGAATAGTACGATATGAAATGGAGCCCATAAACTAGAAAAAAAACAAACATTAATTAAACAATTGTAAACAAAATTCTCATATTGGTTTTAATAATCCTTCAGCAACCCACTTATACAAATATCCAGAGCAGGTAGGGGCCTAGCATAAAAATATAGGTACTCGTTTATTTTAAAAAGTACAAGTTTAAATAAAAGCGAAGAGGCATTTGCTATATTGACCTGTAAAAATGAAATGGATATTATACAAAATAGTGTATTATAATTATCAATAACTACTACAATAAACAATTGTCGGAATGTCGGATTGTAATAAAATAAACATGTAATTAAAATTTTACACACCTGTCTTGCATGGTATGCAAAACGACCCATTTTATCACTACGTAGTCGGCGTACACGATTGAAACGTACGTGAATACTATGCAAAATACGCCACACGGATCGTTAATCAATTTCATAATGATACCGAATTTCGAAAGGTCCGATTTCAAATTTCATACGAGGGCATCGTTGCTTGCGAAATCAATGTACGGGACTGTTAGAATAGCTTTAGGATCATTTACACTAGAACGAATTAGTAAAACACTACCCATAAACTAGAAAAAGAACAACAATAAAAAACACAAATCGAACCCAAAGTCATTCGGAAAAGACGTGTGAACAAAGGTGAGGTATACAGATTTTTTTATGTCTAAGCCTGTGAAGAATACAACAAATGTACGACATTATCAATAGTAGTGTTCAATTGATAAGAGATAATACATAATAATCATTCTGATAACGAAAAACAATAAAAAAATGATAATATGCTGCTTTAGTGCTTTCGGGTTTTGAATTTTGGAGAAATGATAAAGAAAATATGTACATTGTACACATGGTGAAATCAACGGTGGATTCAGAGAAGCGGGCCCAAGAGATATTGGCGTCCATTCAGTCTGCAACTTTGGAGGATACGGTATCACGGAAGGGGAGTTTCCCCCACACCCCCAACCTGATTGGACATTTCAAAATAAAATGATATATTACTTGCAGATTAAATAAACAAAATTGAAATAACGACATCTGGTTTTCAATAATGAATCGATCATTGACTAATAAATAACGAACAAGAGACAGTTAACATAAACTTACAAAATAATACAATATAAATACTACCTATATAAAATGAATTATTAATACATTATATTTATATAAATATAATAGGTACCTATAATTCAATACACAAAAGAATAATAGTAATTACTTATCTCATATCTGAGTACTATTTGAGTATTATATTTATTTTATTTAGCTCAAAATCTGGGGGTGCTTATTTTAGATTTAGGGGTGCTAAGCAGACCCTGGCACATCCGTATGTGCGTCAATGGCCGGAGGAGCGTCAGACTATAACCTATGCAAAAGTTTACTTGGTAGTGCGCTAGGTGGGAAGTCGGGACAGTCAGATACATAGAGTTATTTTATTGATATCTGTATACAATGATAAATCATTGCTAATGAAAACCGATTCTGAGCGGTGTTCGATTAAACATGTTTTTGGTTAACTTTAATAGTTAATAAAAAAAATCTATTCGTTTAGAACTACAAAATAAATTAAAATTATCCTTTTTCGTCTAAATTTTTTAATGAGTCAAAGAAGTAAAATTAAGATAAAACATAAAATAAAAACTAAAATAATCAAACATTTTAAATACACTATAAATAACCCAAACAATTGCAGGGTGTTTTGAAAGTTGTATCACTTGTTAATTTCTAGAAATTGACAATAAAAATAATATAGATATTCCGTAGTTATTGTCATATATCCGACTCTTTTTCTCAATTATTAAGAAAGCTACAGGGAATATCAAAAAATTAGTTTAAAATAAGTTCTTTAAATGTAAAATAATATAAATATATACATGCAGGGTGATTTTTTTATCACGAATTAGCAATTATCTCTGAGGATTTTAAATGAATTTGATTTCTGTTTTTTTCTAATCATTATAGAATCGTTGAAGCTTTATTTTAAAACTATTTTTAATGTTTTACCTCTACTCCATCTACCTCAAATAAGTGTATACTTTTGATTTTTAAATAGTAACCCCCTTTTTGAACACAGAGTTGAATAGAGAATATTTTTCTAGAAATTTTAATGTGTGTAACACTAATATCAGATATACCGTTTATAAGTTATAATTGTTTAAATTTTAGACCGAAGAAGTAGGGAAAGGTAATAAATTGCCTATCTATGACCCTATTTGCAAATCAAAAGTATTCACTCATTTGAGGTATATGATAAAACATTAAAAATGATTTTAAAATAAAGCTTAAACGATTCCATAATAGTTAAAAAAAAGAAAAGAAATCAAATTCACTTAAAATCCTCCGAGATAATTTCTGGTTCATGATAAAAAAATCACTCTGTATATAAATAGATAGCTAATATTTATTAGCTATGTACAAGTACAACTCAAATATTGCCGCTGTAACCCACTTTTCAAATAACAGTGAATTGATAATTTTCCTTTACAAACACTACAGCTAGACGTGTTCACTAGCATAATGTCATAAAAAAAAAAAAACCCGTTGCGATATTTTTTATAAGGTCGTTCGATAACAATATTATTCGTATTGTATTTGGTGTTTCAGTAATTCAGTGTAGATATAAATAATTCTCCTTGAATGCAATCTCGTGCTGCGATCGTTATATCATTGATTTTTCAAACAAAACGTCTTATTAGAAAATAATTGGTTACTTATAGTCATACCTTGGTACCTAAATAAAATAATATCATTGTTGAACTATACAAAATTATACTATTGTAATTGTAATTATTGCTTACCTACATAAGTACCTATTTATTTTCCAACCGCAATTTATATTAGTACACTCGTAATAAGTTTCGTGATAATCGTTGATTAAAGTCACTACAGGTGACGGTTGATTAGAGAAAAAAAAAATGATCGATTGCCTACTTATAAACTATAGTTTATACTTACCTACACAATTTTTAGTACGAAATGACAAATATAGTGTATAATAATCTGGTACTACAAGTTGAAAAAAATAACGTAGGTGTATAATTATTTTTGGAATTCGGAAAAACAAAAGATATTTTATAGAACTATAGATAAAAAGAACCGAGATTAGACCAATATATTATGATACATATTGTATTTACAGTTAAGATTTGCTTACCATCAAAAGACATCCTAACGACGAGACGAGGGAAAATGATTCCAATATTTCAATCAGATACATAGTTTACTTTGTGAAAGAATTCTTCATAAATATTTCGAAATGGATAAGTAGATATTCAACTTGATTTATAAAATATATAATGTCTCTAATGTTTCAATAATTCGAAACAATTTGTTATTAGGGTGTGTAAAAATCCTCGTCTTTTTACTAAGTTTACTAAGTTGTGCAGCAGATGAATCATTATTTGAGGTTTTCCAAGGCTGGTATTTACATTTATTCTTTTTGGGCAATTTTTTTTTTTTTTTTATACGCCTATAGAGTTATTTACGAATTAGCAGGCGCAATAAAATACAAAATTAATAATCATTGTTGACACCAAAGATGTAGCTGAAGGAGAATGTAGGTATTGTGATTGATGTAACATTGAACTCGTTATTTCAATAATAATAATAATTATGAATATTAAATTCCTCAATTATTAACCCGAACCTACTCATGTTGAATTTAACAAACACCAATAATTATAATAATCAGTAATTTCCGACTGTTTTATTATAGTATACAGTTATCATGAACATTGATTTTCAGAATTAGTGCTAACGATTGAAAAAAATAATAATATTTATTTAATTTTTTTTTTTTATTAAAAAAAATAAACAATCTATGCTATTGAAGCACAATAAGTGAATATGTTAACAAAATATATAGGTGAGACATGAATTATATGAGGAGGGAGGTCATCCATTGATAGAACCTAACGCGATATTATTTTATTGTGGATTTATTTGAGTAAGTCTCCACATCATTTTCGTTTCAAACGGCGTATTAGGTTCCCAGGGAGAGTTTTGCATGAGAGTGAGGACATTTTTGGGTTTGGGTGTAAAGATAATTTAGAATAGAATCTAGAATAGTGGTTAGAAGCTAATTGTCTAATTGTTTCGACGTTTATGTGATAATGATATTCACGTAAAAATACATAATTTCCGTCAAAAATAAATGCAAAAAATACCAGGTACACAGTTTTTTTATTTTACAAACAATTTGTAAACACATTTTTAGAGAAAACATACATTTTCACAAAACGACTAAATTAAACTAAAACTAAAAAGTTATTTTCTAACGTTTAATTTTGTTTTACTAGTAAGTTAAAAGTTACCGAAAAAATAATTGCTTTTCAGCTATCATTATTGTATACATATAGTTTTAGAAAATCTTAATTTTTACAACAAAGGTAGGATAACCGGTATGATGTCCTATGAATCTAGTCTATTACTGACTAGATCAAAATCAATATTGAACAGAATGAACTGGACCTATTTATCGAGTGGGCGTACGATAAGGAGCACTAGAAACTATAAAAATATAAATACAAATAAAAGTCTAAGACATGTGTTAATATACAATAATATTATATGAAACGGCAAAAAAATAAAATCACCAATAGACGCGGAATAAACGTATAATATATTCTTGTCATTGATTTCGGAAAGGTCGCGAAGTTATTAGGGACAACTACAAAGTCGTATAATTAATGTATATAATTTGGTCAAAGTATTACTCTTTGGTCGGAGGTAATAGATATCTGTCGGGTGAGATTTCTATTTCATTTCCATTGAATTAATCGTTATAGTTCGATTATAATTTCGCCATTTCATTCCGTTTATTATTAGTTCACTGGCAACAAAATATATTATAGACAATTTAGTTTCTCTCGCTCAACTCTCAATCATGAGGAGTGTGTGATCATGACCCGTAAACGGTGATCCTGTAGGGTATTCCGGTGGAGCCGATATATAGTTGAACACAATAATACGCATATAATGAAACATAGACAAACAAATATGTAATTCAAATTGATTATTATAATCAATAGTATTTTCGACTCGCTCTTAATTGAATACTTGAATGAGTTTGTAGCAACTTACTGGGTGCAGTTATATGAATTGGTATGGTTTCGCCGTAGATTCTTAGTAAAAAATAATCTTGTACCTAGTCGATAATTATATTGCAGTTTCATAAATTTAATAAACAAATTAATATTTAATAGCACCCCATACATTTAAGTATGACTGTTGACTGATCAGCAGTGGTCGAAGTGGGGGGGGGGATACGGTGTGATGACATCCCACTACTTATTGTAAACTACATTTTTCATCCCGCCACTTATTTCGTCCAAAATAATATATTCCCTTTATAATTATATACAAAGTTTATCGATTTATATTGGTGTTTTTATTTCATAATATGCTATTGTAGTCTATAGACTATAGTAACGAATAATGTATAAATATTAAATAGTTTAGTTTTTTTTATTTGTTTTTACGTCTACTGTATAATGATATAATGCATACTGTTAGAACCTATTGATAAACTGTATGTGTATAAATTATATATATTTATGTAAATATGTTTTGAGTTTTAAATAAAAATATAATTATATGTATATACAAATTTAAATATATCAACAAATAAAACACCAAGCTGAAAAATAAAAATGTGTACTATACATACAAATTGTATAATAAAAATAAAGTATAGGGCCATTGGGGTCCACCTCCAATCATCCCCACGTGTATAAACCATAATATAATAAATTATAAAAGATTAGGTATCCCTCCACTTATTTTGAGCCACTTCGGCGAATGCTAATCAGTGATGATGTTTTTACGCGATCAATAAATGATTTTGTATTAACAAGTGTTCGCCGTTTTAGTTGTTTAATTACTAACAGTAAACATTATACACGAGTACGTTTCCACGCCTTTTGAACAAATACAATAATATTTTGATAAATCTTTCAATCGTTTAAAGCTATTTGTTCAAATACAGTGACAATAATACGTCCACCTTTAAAAGTAATGTTTGGCTATAACTTCTGGCATATTATTTACCTACTAATGAAATTTCGTTTAATTTTAATCGGGTTTTAAATATTTGTATAGGGGCTCTTATCTATTAGGTGACGAAAAATGTTAAATATTTAAAACACTAACCTCCAAGCTTAAAGCATTGCTAAACCATTTAGATTAATTTAAATTGAAAAAGTAAAACTTAAGACATTGTCTCCCGTCCGTTTGGGACAATATTTGGAAACTAGAAGTGTGCAGTGTTTTAAACAAAACATTAAATATAAGGTTATATTATATTCTCATTATATTTAAAACCCTATCAAAAGCTGTAATGTTTTCGGAAGCAATTTTATTCCTCTACATTTTAAATTCGGTCAACTATCAATTTCTGGAGCCTGAAATTCGACAAATTTATTGATTCTCATCATATCTCGGTTATTGAGTTTTGAATTACCTATACCAAAAATATATTCAAATCTATTTGGTTAGAACGAAAGCGAATTTAGGGTGTAATACGCTAATTAAAAATTTAAGTTCCTATTTATACATTCAAATATTAAATAATGCGAAAGTATAAATAATACAATCTGTGGAAATAATATTTTATAGTTTAAGAAATTGGTAGTTGTTGGAGGGAGGGGGGGTTATGTCGCCCGTGACTTAGGTTTAATACCACGCGGAGGTAGGTGAGTATGAAATAAATTAATGTTTATTGCCACACATGCAAAGTATTAGATCGGCGACACTGCACCAACTAGATCCGAAATGTAACAAAACAAAAAAATCTGATATAAAACCAACGGTAAAATGAATAGATCTCTAGCTCCTCTTCGAACCTAATAACAATCAAATATTGTTAGTGCGTAGCATTTTGTACTGAAACTACATAAGTTCACTAATAGTAAAGTATTATAAATGGAACGATTGATTGACAATAATAGGTACCTAGGTACAGACAGCGGCAGATCCAGGACAAGCTCTCCGTTGTCTGCATCCGAACTATTTAGAGTCAGAATGGCTGACCATTCTCGTTTTAAAATTCCACTTGACCCGATCTTCCATCTCACATACACCGGCTGTCTTCGTATCATTCTCAATCGCATCCAACCATCTCTTTATTAGTTTTCCTTTCCACCTCTTTATCGGTGTTTCTCTACTATTCTTTCCTCCCACGTTTATTTCATTTAAAACTTTTACTGTTTCAGATTCTTCTCTCCCCATGACATGTCCAAACCATCCCAGGCCCGTTCTCACCAACGTAAACGTTGGTTTTTAAACTGAGTTTATGAGATAATCCACCAATCGTGGTTGGCCATCAGCCGTAAACTCGGTTTAAGAATCGGATAAACGCCTTTTTTTTTACGTTGTTGAGAACGGCCTTCAGTCTATTTGCTCTCATTTTGGAGATGAGGAGGATGGATTTTGAAAATTAATTTTTTTTTTGAAAAAAACCTGGAAAAACCATATTTCTTGATATTATTTTGAATTGGGTAAGTAGGTAATTAATTTTTTTTATTAAACACCGGTAGGTTTAACTATCCAGGTAGGTATCTATTTTACGATAAAAGTGTTCAGAAAAATTACTACAACTACCAAAACACGCGAGTTAAATGTTTTGCAGGTTTCGCCGTTGAAATAGTTACCGAGTACAGTCCGTCACGACGAATATTCTTGGAATTACCGAGATTGAGGTAGACAGCAATATATTAGTATAATAATATTTGTACAGTGAGTATATTGTTATCAATCTCGGTGCTTGAAATACATTGCACTAGGAGATAGTCCCCCCCTCCTACCAATAAAATTAATATTGCACCGAAATCCGGTCAGTTCGGTCTTGAATAACAACAATTGTATGGGACATGAGTAGGGACGCCACAGTGTATTACGCGATAAGTATGAAACTCACGAACCACGGCAAAAACCGAAATCGATTTTGCGTGACAATACAACAATAATATTATTATCTTCGCGCCTAGCGTATGTGATAACGTCGCAACAACGGCGATAATACCGTGGATAACAATATTGTTATCTCGAGTCCGCGCAGAGCGGGGAGCCGGACGTCGCGTCGTCTGAGAAAGTTTCCGCGACAGCTGATCGGCGAGAGAAAACAAAAAAAAATTGTCGCCCGCATCACGGACAGTGTGATATTTGCGGTCACCGGACAGTCGTGCACTGAACCTGGAATAAAGAACCGACGTGTTGTGATAATCCGTCGATGACATGGACGTGCGCCCCGATAACGGTCCTTTGTTAGTGCGAATTGCCGCCGTCATCTCGTGAACCGACTGCTGTCAGGCGTCCGCGATCCCGTTCACCGGATCCATCCGCTCCGCATTTTAGACCTGTGGCCGAGTGGATAATATAAGGAGAAAGCGATATCCGAAGCACTCGTACAGCCCGTCAAAAGTACCCGATTCCCGCGTTCAAAAAATGGATTCTTTTATGATGAAGAACAACAACAAGTAAGTCGTTTTGGACGTCCACGTCTCGGTAGCTAGGTGCTCACAGCCGCCTCTGTCTTATCGAAAAATCCGAGAAAACCTCGTCGGTTCCGTTGCGTTCACGGACAGCGTTCGATAGATTATGCCCTTGGGTATTACAATGTATACATGCACACCTTGACGACATTACCTACGATTATTATTTCATAACCGCGTTGTATGAATACCTGTTGATAAAACAATAATAATATTGCGTTTTTTATTGAATAAGTAAGTATATTTTAACAGCGGTACGTACACTATGTTTTCAAATTGTCGTTTGCTCACATCGTTGGTTTTCAAATTGAATTTTAATAAGTACAATACCTACCTACCTACATATTACTCGTAAGCAAAACTATAAAACATATCAAGTACACACAATTCATACAAATCTAGCAATTACCTGTTAAAGTACATAAAAACTTTTTTGAACAAAAATCAAAGTTTTCAACACCTTTTTTCTGTAAACAATTTTTTCTGTGTTCTGCAGTTGTCGAAAACAATTTTTATCAAATTATTACACAGATTTCTTTAATAAATATTAACATACCAGAGAATAATCTAAGGAACTCAATTTATGTTGCTACCTATCTAATATAGTAATAGGAAAGTGTAGGAAAGGTTAAATATTAAAATTTATGTTTAGATTTGTCATTTCACAAACATATTATTACAATAATTTATTTTGTAATGGGTATAGGTAACAAAAATATGAAATAATTTATTATTAAAAGTATCCAGTTGTATGTGTATTGCATAAAGTACATTTTCTACATAGTACCTTGGTATAAGGTAGGTATTTACTTCCTTCAATTGTTATTTCAGCATAACACGTCATATTAATCCATTATCTAGGTACTTGTTAATTTATTCTTTTTAAAAAAATGTCCATCATATAATACCTGTATAAATGATAAATTGAATTTTCAATTTTGTATAATGTTTTAAAATTGTTTTTTACCTAAGTAATTTATCATTCAATGACTTTTCTAATGATTTTTTAATGTACTTTATAAACAAACAGGTTAATTAGAACCTAAGAAATAATGTTACACAATTCTACAGAAAATGTACATGGCGAATCAACACATCTATTGGCAATCCTATTTCATAATTCATTAACTTCTTAAATTATCTATAAACTTAAAAAAAGTAAATTTCACTGATATCAAACTATATTAAAACTACCATTAAAAATATTCAAGTCAATTTATTGGCTTTTCAACCATAAGTAAAAATCAATAAAATAGATATCTAGATAAAATTAAATATCTCATATTTAACCGTTATTGAAAACTTAATAGTTCAAATAGATTTTAGATTTATATTAAAGAAAAAGCAAATAAATATTGTGTAGTTATAGTTAGGTATATTTGTTAAAATTGATAAGTAGGTATTGATTTTTTCCTTATTATTATTTTATGAAATGTGTTTGCATAAAACGTGTGGTGTCGAGGATAAACGGTAGAATCAACCTTCAGTTTCACTTTCACTTTTCTTTAAACCAACATAATATGTTGAAACTGTAAACCAGTTTTTTATATTCAGAAATTACAATATATAGCTAGATATCATTATGGGAGAAATTTGTTACAAGTTAACTTTGTATAAGATACCTGCATCATCAACTTATTAGGTCTATTCAAACAAAACAACTAGCCAATTTAATATATTTTCATAATTAACTACATTTATACTTTTTAACCTCATAAAATAATATTCTATCTAATTTTTATCATATTTACCTAATGTTTTAGATTCTGAGTGGAGTAAGGAATGTATTTGTTTCACCTTTGGTTTCCTATGATATGTGCTTATTATTATTTCTCTGTCTGGTTGTAAACATTTTTACCAAAAAAAGTTAATTTAATCAAACAAGAATCTTGCATCAAATTCAATTGTCTTAAAACAACACGGTTGTTGTTTGTTGTGTGGTATATCCGGTTGGTGTTTAATAAAATTGTTTTTGATTTTCCTCATACTTTTCCCAATAATAGCAAAAAACAGAGAAAATGTTTCATTATTTTCGATTTGGTTAATAATAATTGTTGATATTTGAATTTTTTTAGAAAATATATGTATATGGCTTTTATTATTGAAGATTTCTTAGCCATTTATGGACATTTGAGATTTTGAAGGTTTTTAGTTTTATTTAGCTTAGATCCATATGGTTTGGCTTAGCATATATGTTTGAAAATTCAATACAAATGCATTATGGGTTTAATTTAGTGACAAAAAAAAATAGAAAAAAGTAGTAGCTAATGTTTCTTTTTATGTAAGTGTTTTGAAGATCAAACTTTGATAGAAATCATAAAAATTACACGCCGCTCAAAAACGTTTTTCATTTGTAATCGTTGTGTACATATATTAATTTAATAATTGTATGTATCCTGTCTTCTCAACTTCCAATGTATAAAGGTGGCACATCAGTAGTGTTAGTTTTTTTCTATTAATTTGTATAGATACTTTTTGTTGAATGCACCGAAATCTAAAGAAGATTTTAAATGTTTTATCTGTTATTACATTAGAATGAAGAAAAAAAAAATGAAATAGGATCAGGTCAAGGTAGTTTGTGTTATTAGTTTTTTACTTTCACCCTGGATGCGTTATGTAATAATTTTTTTCGCAAAAGGAAATAATTGATGTAACTATAATCATATTTTATTCTCGATTCGCTTAGTTCATTAACCATGCCCGAAAGTTAACGACCTGTCTTATTATTTGTATCATTTATCTTCTCGTCAATCCTATTTTTTCATATAAAAACGATGATAAGTACCTACCTACCTTAGAATGATTATTTTCACGGTTTTAACTAAGTTTCGTTTTACTATCTAAAATCAACCTTAACATACGAATGCCTTTTCGAACCTTTTTTTATTTGTTTTCACCGACAGCGGTGGGGGATCCGTTTTTACAATACTACGCTCACTGCTGCCCATCGTTTATTATTTTATCTACAAACGATGATCACATTCGCATTGGATTATTTGACAAATAAAATATTACAATCTTAAAGCTGTGTGAGCTGGTCATGGCAGTATTCCTTTATGGCTGCGATTGCCGGCCTGGTTGCTCGTTGCGCCCGTGATATCCAAGGGGATTTGTCGTACCTAAACTAATTGTTTTGTCTCAAAACGAAAACGAATATATTATCACTTAGAATAATATTCTGAACAATTATGTTTTATAGACGATGTTTCTAGTAAAAACAGCGCGCAGGTACATAAAAAAAAAAAACGAAAACAAAGCTGTTAATACAGGTATACTTAGGTGTTAATATACGCACTACTCAATCGAGAATTTTCGCAACCGTTTATCAATTTCGGTATTCCAATTCAGTTTTGATTTAATAATTAAATCATTTCGAGTGTTAACTATACAATTATACAACCGCCGTGTGATAATTGTATTCGAAACAGTTCAAGGCGAGAATAATAAATAACGTAGGAATATTGTGCTTATTAAATACGTACCTCGAATCGCGATAGTTCGTTGGCATAAAACGTTTTTCTATTAGAGCAATATTTCTGATAGGAATTATGGTAAGGCCGTACAAATTTAAAATAACGAAACCGTAACGTCGTCGTAAATTTGTCAATTTTCATTTTACAATTTTTCTCGGTTTTTCCTAATGATTAATAAAACCACAGAGATTATTAAAAAAAACCAAATTGCTCACTCCTGAACTAGATTACAAATGCAACAATAAAGGTCTCGTGTAGTTTTGTTACCGGAGCAATATTCATTGTAGAAAACATTTAAAATAACCAAATCGTCGTGCTGTAATTTGAAAAAAAAAAAAAAATCGTATTTTCGAAAACTACTTTGGATATCCAAAAACTACTCTCTCTGTCAGTGACTACGTATGAAAAGGAACCGTTTATCATTTTTCGATTGGATCAATATTTACAGTAGAAAACATCGTAAACGAATAGCAAAAACAATGAATACGGTAACGCCACGGCGCGGCGGCGTGCCGTAAATATTTGCGTTTTACCTGTAATTTTCTTTCGGGTTTTCTTCAGTTTTTTTGTTTACGCACGTTCGGAATTTGAAAAATATATCTAAATTCTTTGCATCACGTCTCCACTTCCTGTACACGGATCTATACGATTATTCAAAATTGCATTGCTAATAACGAAATAACAAGAATCGTGTAAGTGTCCATCTACTCGTATGTAGGTACCTAGTCTATAAATATTGTAAAAAGTTGGTTCGGTAAAAAATGTTTACGTCGGCAAATAAATTTAAGGTGCATTTGTTTCGGAGTCGGATAAGCTATACAGTTTGATTTGGTTTTAACCGATTCGGATCTCGTACTGCGGGATATTTTAGGTTTTTTTTGTTCTGTTAAATAAAATGTGTAGAATTTTGTTCACGGCTCGTAACGTCGGTTACGGATAGAAATTTTAGTTAAAGCATTCGGAAGAACCGTAATCACTATACGAATAGAAAGTCGACGTATGTCGGCATCATCGTTATTACGGCGGTGAATGTGATTTGTCCGCGCTTGTTGTGCCGAGTAATGACACAAGAACGTTATGAAATGCAATTTATATAATAAACTGTAATTTAAGATAATGCGATCTACCGCGGTTTCCAGGATTGTCACCGCGAGAAAAACGCGAAACAAAAAACATCGTGAATGCTTTTTAGTGACTCGCGTCGTCGTCCAGCCACGCGGAAATGATAAAATTTCGTTTTGTATTTTGTTTTTCCGATCGTTTCCGGAGCGTACCTACAGTGTTCCCAAACCTTCTTGACAGTGAACGGCCGCTTAAAAAAAACACACACAAATACCCATGTTTTAGAAAATGCAATTAGGTAGTAAGACCATAGGTAATAATAATATAAGAATAGATAGGACATCAGTATTCCTTGTGCGTTCCCGAATGATCAGCTGTACGGAGTGCGGATAGTATATAACTATCATATTTTTTCGTTTTTACATTTTGAGCGTAGCGAAAAATGCATTGCTTTTTACAAAGATGTTTTTTTTATGTGTTTTTATACTGTATACAGAAATTCTACCAAAAATCTTGTTCTGAAGTATCGAGTAGAGCACCTTTTCTGAAAGGAAATCTGATTGGGGAGGTAGGCTTTAGGAAGGTTATTTTTTGATTTTCACAGGAGTTATTTTCAATAGATCGGAAAATCCGAAAAAATGTACCAAGTGTAGGTAAATTAGTAAAAAAACTATTACGACCTTTTTTTGTCCTTTGAACAACTTTTCTACCAGTGATTTCGCTCTAGATTAGAATGATAGCACTTTTTTTGAAACGAAATATTACTGGAAGGGGGGGGGGGAATACTTTAGGAAGTTCTTTTTTTGAATTTCCCAAGAGTTTTCCCAATAAATGGGAAAATAGAGGCAATATTAAACAAATATTTATAAAGAAAATATGTAATACATAATATGCGTATGCAATTGTATTACCATAATGCGACATAATATATACCTATTGTTGATAAAGCAACCTATTAACCGAACACCGCTTAGAATCGTGTTTCGTTAGCAATGGTTTAATCGTTGCGTACAGATATACATTACATTTCCCCTCCACCTTACCAATTTTTTTTCCATATGTAGATGTATTAAACGACTAGACGGTCGAAGTAAAAACATCTTTGGTGCCGTGAACCTCCAATGACCTAAACCACTGCTATAGAGTTTAGGTGGCCTATTAATTATGTTTAAATTAATAAATAATAATACAAATACTTGATGCACAAGATGTAAGCATGGGGTATTGCGTTTAGATTAATGTCTGATTTCGATAAAGTACATACTTTAAAGTTAAAAGAAATGAAAAAATAATTTTTGTGACACTATGTTCGATGATTCGACCAGATTTCCGACCGAATTATGACGCGGTTGTCAAAAACACCGAACACCTTATAAAATATAAATTTTATAGTTTGAAATCTGTGAATGTCGCGCCGTTGAGTCATTTAATAATACAACACTAATAACGTGCATGTATTTTGTTTTGCATAACCACGCGTTTGTTGAGGCTTAAATCTTTGTAATATTATTCAATTGTTATGTGGATTAAAATTATTTTTTATCTCCACGTTTAGTTTAAAATATATATTGTTCAAAGGTTACAACAATAATAATTACACTATTGTTTAATTTTGTTATAGCGTACCATATCGAATCCGTTTTTTTTTTTTTTTGTGTTCAATAATCATCGTTTTATACCTACTTTGGACCGAATTTATTAGCTTTTTAATATTCTTAGACGACTGACATTATAACGATTAATCATTATTGCTCTTTATTTTCAAACCATTTGCAGGAAAATTAGTGTCAGGTATGTACAATATTATAATGAATATTTATTGGGTCGGTGCAAATATTCAACCGACAGTAAATGTATTACAATCCCATGGGCTGCGCACACAATAAAACAGCAACACATTTTTCAAGGAGAGCGTTGTTGCTATATGAATGCTTCGACTATTGTATCACATCCAACGATTACCAATGAGAATATCAAGTAGCGGTGCTTAATTTCCCTTCATACAATAAAAAATAGCACCAATTTCGTCTACCTTGGGAATCTGTCTACCATATTTTGGGGGAGGGGGGATGAACACTTTTTGCTGTTGCAGTGTAGTTCACTGAATGACTTGATTTTTCCATGACAATCTCGTCGAGTTTTTGGTTGGATTCTGTGTGCGCAGCTCTTTTTTTTATTCGTCGTGCGCGCGCTGTTAGCCCTCTGATTGTTCGTATAGACGAGACATTCATCAGAAGAAAATGTCCCGGATCCGAATACAATGTTGCCTATATAGCTACTTATAGAGAGCATAGATAATGAAGAGAGCTAACTCTCGTGAACGTTTTATATTGGTTGGCTATTATCATAGATTACAGACCTTCGTCCAAACGAATGTATTGGTTTTTTTATTAATGATTTAATTTGCGTAATATTTCGTGTCAAAGATTCATTATATTTTTATTGAAATGTTTAATACGGAAGTTTTTTGATTTATAAACATCTAAAATTAGGGGTCGACTTTTGAAATTCAAATGGTTATATACTTTATTTTAATGTGAAGATATTTATTTTTATACATTTAGTGAATAACTTTAACTTATTCAAAACTCTATTAATGAGATTGACTTAAAGTTAATATAATAATACAGCTAAATATAATTGGTTCGCAGGAAAAAAAAATGTACAAACTGTTTTAGATGTTAATAAATAAAAAAAACTTTCGTATTGCACATTTTTCTTCAGTAATAAAAAAAATAACTTATTGAACGTGACACAATTATTATTATTTTACTACTGTTGTTACTATTATTATTATAATTATTCTTAGTTACATTCAAAATAAATAAAATACACTCAATACCTACCAATTTAATCATAATAGACAATAGACATAAAATACTTTGATTGAGATTTGAGAAAATGGTAACAGAAAATTTGATAACACAGATAAACCGAACTAAACGAATTCTCCAAGAAGTAAAAGAGCTGTACATATAGGCGATTTTATAAACGGATTAGAAAAATGTTGCCTCCTATAAACGTCTCGTCTCATGATTCTTACTCCGTGGTAAAGCGTCGTAATCGGACGATGTTCGGTCCGACGGTGGGGTACCTCCCTATACGTGTGTCTCTTATCAATATCGTTACGTATAGCACTACCGCACTTCACCCTACTACCGTCGTTCGACTAATTTCACCTCTTCACCCCCATTACCTCTCCGAGATGTCGGGGGGATAGTGGTGATGTGAGGAATTGAAGGTGATTGGAGGAAAAGGTGGCGGCGGCGGTAAACGTGCGTCAGAGATAAGATGCGACGTGTAGGTGAAATCTCGTTTAGTTTTTTTTTTTTTTCGATAACACGAAATCGATAAATAAAAACGATAACGATAATATATTTTATAATTCGGAAACTACTAAAAAAACGTATAATGTAGTATGCTAGTAAATTGTATTGTGCATGTTTATGTCTAGATAGGCTAATTACACTTTGTAAATACCGGTGCAGGTAGTATTTAACTTGAATTCTGCTTAAATTCCTGCAGATAAACTTAAATTTCGAATCATGGATGTTTGTTTTTATTTTTTGTCTCGTTTTCTGACCAAGGTTAGGTTACACTGTGTGTGTTTTAATATACAATATTACTATTTGTCTGTCGCGTCGTAAGAATTATAATATTATGTTTTGTCATCCAAATTATACGACGGTGCGGTACTGTACAGATTACCAAATACGCTTAATTGTTTAAAAATATGACTGCAAAATATTTATCCCATACAAGTCCATTCGAATTGAATTTTAACGTATGCCAACCTATGATATTTAATTATTGTCTCGGTCGGTCAGAAAACTCTTTAGTGAATATTCACTGCGTTCGCTCATTCCGTTGTTAAAAAAACTCCAAGTGTTCCTTTTCAAAAGTTCCGCGATCAACCATGCCCCTTAATTTTTGGATTTTTCCCAGTTACCCTTCTCCTCACCCGCGATAGTATTAATCTACTGATTCGATCATTTACCATTTATTTTCTTTTGGACGCACAGTAAGTAAATTAAATTCTTATTCTACTGGGTGTTTTATGGACTTTGTGTCAAAAGGACACACAGAAAGCCTTCTTAAAAATGCCTTGCGGTCAGTTTGTTTGGTTTTATATTATTAAATGGTGTTTTATACATAAACCAAATGTTTAGTTTGTTTTTCGTAATTTACATTAACAGTTTATTGATAAAAGTTGAGCGATTAGACATGAGACGAGAAATCGATTTTACACTCGTGCAGCTCCCCCCAACCCACAGATAAATATGTTGAAAAGCTGCCTCTGTTCAAACGCGTAGATATATGAACACGGTAAACAGTTTTTTTTTCTCAAATTGGACTGTCTTTGTCAAGTTTATTGAATATAGAAGCGTAAATTTATTCGTCTCGATTTCCGGTGGCGCAGTGAATCGTTTAATTTTCCAACCCACTACCGATGCTCCGACTTTCTCGGTTATTCCCCGCCCAATATAATAAAATAAATAAATAATTAATTTTCACCTATTTTTTTCACAAAAATCAAAAATTAATATTGTATTATTTAAACACCGAATGGAAAAATACTTAAGAAGTTATTAAAAATATAGCACGTATATTTTAATATCTGTTGTAAGCATATAGCAACGGACAAATAATGCTAATGGACCTAATTCACGTGGTTCGACTTGACGTACCTTTGTATGTATCACACTGCAGTAACACATCCGGGTCTTACTATGAAATTACATTTTTTACCTATTGGACGAAATGTCTACGCATAAAAATAGAAATAATGATGGGTTATAGTGAAAATTATCAACATTTCCCGGCGGCGGTATCCTGCAAGAAAATCCCCGGGTACGCCCCATCACGCTGTACGCGGACTGCGGATGTAAAATAACGATGTTATCTCGCGACTGTTTATCAAAGTCAATCGTACAAATAATTAACCGTAATTTAAACAACATATTATTTAATTTCCTTAATGTTCTACGGTTTAAATTGAATGTAAAACGCGCGCTGTAATACAGATTTGGGTAATACATTGTATTTGTTTAAGCAACAAAATGCGCGGTTTCGTTCGATCGATGGGCACACAATTTTATCGCGCTAAAGTCTACGCCGGCAACACGAGTGTAACGAAATCCGCAATAACATCGCATTACGATATATCATGATAATTCATCTAGGCAATTATTATTATTGTGCCATTATATTACAAAATTAATAGCCGGTACGCATGCGAATTTTTCGCACGATAAAACAATAATATTGATTGATTGTGTGCATCGTTAAAGTTTTTTTTTTCGAAAACCGACCCCACACACTATCATAATCGTTGTAACAAGTTTCGTTGCGTCCGAATATTTTCCATTACGGTTTGTTTATAGTAGTATAATATATTATTAATATTACAAAACACTCGCTGCGTTATACGCGTTGCGAAAACTAACCTATTAAATGAGTATATCGACGCGCTTTATTAATGTTAACAATATTACATAGTCATGACGTGCGTCGTAAGAGTGCGTGAAAAACACTTAAACATTCTAGAAATCGGAATTCGACGGGTTTACGCATAATTTAACCATAAAAATGGGCGAGCACGCGTAAAAAAATCACCCTGTATACCAGGGTATTCCAAATTGTATGAAATGTTATAGTTTTGAGAGTAATGGGGAGGGGAGAGGGTATAAGTATATTCTGCAATATACTTTCTATCTTACACTCAAACCTCAATTCCTTAGACCCTGATGTTCGTAAGGCTTGATTTCTGTGACAGAAAAAAGTTTTTTTTTTTTATGAGTATATTAATATTATTATTATTTATAACTGTATATTATGCACACGAGTTGAAACTCATATACATATCGTTACGACGGTATCCTTGTGCATAATGATAACTTTTATTTATTAACAAACACATTTATATACCTAATGAGTAGGTGTATAAAATTGAATTACTAAAAACATAAAGCGCACACATATTGTAATTATGCATTTTGATTTTATCATTTTTATCACGCGGGACTACAACAGGTCCTTGAGACACAATGAGAAATATTTAACAATAATGAGGATTTTATTTTTTTTTTTTTAACAACCGAACCGATATTTTTACTCTATAAAAAACTAAACGTATACTACAGGGTGTATCTGCAGGATTTGACAATCTCTGGTATTGTGATTGCGTGTTAGGCGATTGTAAAATGTTATTCTGGTAAACGCTGTACGTAGGTTCTTGCGAAAAACGCATGTATACATTGTCCGCATTATGTACATATATTTACGTCTACTTAATGTGCACGATACTTGACGTTTTAATTAAAAATATTATTATATTCTCACACGTAACTCGTATAGGTGTTGGTATGTTGTGAGTTCCGTCAATTATCTTTACTGACCCTCACTTGATCATATGAAAAAATCAGTAATAAATTGTTGTTAATTATTATATTTCAAACTCGCTATTCTATCGTTTTACGTACAGTTTCACGCGCACCCGACCACCCACGACCCATCAATAAATTTCGGCCTATGCATGGGCCTCAAACAGTTCCCGCCACACTATTGATATAGACAGTCGAATATAGTATGGCCGGGGCGATGCTCTTATTATCATGCCTATATTTTCCCTGCGGCTCTCATCATAAAGAATAAATTGACCGAGTGCCCAAACAATATTCTAGATTCTGAGCAGAGCGAGGAAAGTATTGGTTTTACAATGATGGTTATTATTGTTATTTTCCTATTTATCTGTGAACAATTTTTCTTCCGGCACGTTTTCTGAAAGGAAATCTGACTGGAGTGGTACTTTATGGAGACCGTTTTTTGATTTTTCCCACTGTTTCCGTGATAAATGGAAAAAACCGGAAAAAAACGTAGATAAAATATTAAACCAATATTATATTAAAAAAAAAATATGTAATGCATATCATGCAGTTATTTTACCATAATATATATATATATATTTTTGAAAAAGCGACACTATTAACCGAATTCCGCTCAAAATCGTTTTTCGTTAGCAATGATTAACTTCTTCTCACCTGAAACAATGGCCCATCCACGTGCGAAGTATACCCTTCTTTTTAAAGCTCAATTTTTCACATCACCCGTAGGCACGTTTAACATACTTGCCCCCCCCCCTCAAAAAAAAAAATAGTTGAATTTGAAATATCATCCTAATTTTATATACTATCGTATAATGAAATATCGAGACTTTTATGCGATATTATTAACGAGTATATTATGTATTTGTCACGCAGAGAGCTAAAATTTTGTACAGGGTAAAAATTACGACCTCATCGTTTACCGTCTCATAAATGCATGTACTTAAAATGACGACAGTATTTTCGCGACCTCGCGCGGCATTTTCGTTAAAAAAACCGTCCTCTTCCGTCCGTTTTTTTTTTTTTTTTCTAAGGCGTACGCAAATTTACCCAATTCTGTCATCGTCATCGTTAGTATTAGATAAATAATATTATATACTATACGGTCAATTATCCGCACGTTGACGTTTCTAAAATCCGTTTCCATCGTCGTCATTAGGTATCGTATCTATAAATAAATATAATGTACAGTCAATTATTCGCATTGACGTTTCTAAAATACAATACAATAATATAATCATCTTATATTGTTTTACAACAATCACGAAACGGTAATCTGTTTTTATTGTGTAGTTTATTCCTCCGTCGCAATATAATTAGTTACCTGTTTTAATTTGGATCGAAGACGATCTTCGACCTTCAGCGCCGGTATAATTTAATAATTATAATAATACACTTTGGAATACACCGGAATCGGGTATATAGGTAAATACCGAAGTGCATAGTATGTAGTTAATCATTTTTTTTTTTTTTTTGTGTTTAAGCAAATATATTATGTAATATTTCACATAGATTCTCATATTTTCGCTGATATATTGTAATAAACTAGATTGCTGACTGTCATATCGCACCATAATTGCTTTTGGTTGAATCCTCACGGTAGCCATTTAATTCGATGCCTTTTATGGCTTTATCGTTTTACTTTTATGTCGTGACAACTGTTGTACCCGTCTATTTGTGTGTTCCTCGTTAGAATTTTAATCCATCAGATTAGCGATTTCGATGTTTCTTATCAAATTCGATTAATCTGATTACTAATCAGCAAAGTTGACGATGAAAATGTGTTATCATAATTCTGTGGTGTTATAATGTGTTATCACCATTTAGCCATACCGTTTTTTTCCAGTTTTAATCGCGTTATCAATCCGCGTGTTTGTTAATTTAATTATTTGCTTGTTTGTTAAGTTCCGTTTCAAAAATATATTTTGTCAGGTCAACTGTTAACATCTATTATCAATTCATTATTTTAATATTCTAAAATCATGTGATAGGGCATTTCGCGATTAAAAAAAAAAAAAACAGTGTTCCTCGATTATCAGATGTCCCATTAGATTGAACATCAAATGAGTAAAATGTTTGGATGAGGAACACGTGGATTGTCAATAATATTACGCAGATATGTGTATTATAGGTAACAGTTATCACAATGTAAAAGTGGACGGTAAGGCTCCTGAATTTTATTCCACGATGGATTGAAAGTACACGTCCTAATCCATCAGTTACTTCATTAGCAATCTAGTTTATTTATAATTTATAGTTTTTCGTCGGTTTTCGTATATCAACTATAGTTTTGTAATAGATTTATAATTTTTTTCAAACACCTATAATATGCTGAAACTAGGTACTATATTGCGTTATTATGGTAAATCTTGGTATTCTCGGATAATTATGTAACCCGTAGATTATATTTTCGTTAAAATTGAATATAATACCTATAGGTGTCTAATTATTACGCATATGATGGAATACTATATAATATTACATACTTACGGAGGAACGAGTGTTTCGTAATTATCGTTTTTTTTTTTTTTAGCAACACTTGTCTATATATTCATAAGTTAATTATTGCGAAAATTCAAGTACAGAGGTTACTATAGTAAATATATTTGTCCGGATTATAAAATTGTATACATAATTCAAAGGTAGGAGCGCAAACAGTGCATTTCATGTTATTTATTTATTGCTCTGTAACGTTATCGCATATAATGGCTCTTTACTTAAAAATATTTATTTTATTTTTTTAACGCACTTAAAATAAATCAAAAATAGTAAAACAATATCCTATCATAAAACCGATTCGATCCAATCACATCATCATAACTGACATTATATAATAATATACATATTTCGATGTACAACATTTGGAGAATGAACTATATACATTTTACCAAATATGTCATGTACGTAGATATTATAATATCTATTGTATACAATCCATATTCGTTAATAAATCGAAATAGTATAAACTCCCAGAATTCTTCGTCAAAATAAAAATATTTTAAATTATGTTAAAAAAAACAAAAAATTTATACTGCTGACGGGTAAGCCACTGTTGGGAAGGTAGGATATACAGTATAATTTAGTTTATCTACTGTATATAACAATAAATGATTACAAATAAAAAAATTATTCTGAGCAATGTAGTATTTTGTCGTGTTTTTCCCTTGTTGTCAAGGGTAAGGGAATCCAGAAATCATCAACAAAAAAAAAAAAAGAACTTGGAAGTTGAATTCCTGTAGAGTTTGCTAAATGTTTAAAAATATATAAAGTGCCACCCGGCAGAAATTTGAGTGAAAAAATTAGAGTATTAGTTTAAAATGAAAATTTTGAAAAAAGTATTGGGAGTTTCGAAATACGTTTTAAATAAATTATCCTACTAATGTGTGACATGGAAACATATTAAAACATATTTTTTACTAATAGGTACTGTAAAAGTGTTCCGTGAAAAATAAATATTATTTGTAATATTATATAATAGCTCCTTCGCTATACTCGAAATCTAAAAAACAAAAATTTCGCGTATAATTTCATAGTTGGCGTGGAAAAAAAAAATAAAAGCTATAACAACATCCAAACTCTATATTTACTAGCCCGTTTAGGATTCTAAATTCAAGAAAATGGCCACGCGGAACCCTAGAGAAAAGAAAAGATATTTTCCTGTTCAAACGTGGTTTTAAGGTTATGAATTTATGATACATAAATATTTTTCAGTTACATTATAAGTCGACTATTTAGTTTTACCTGTTTTACTCAGCAAAATTTAGTTTTTCATCGCGTGCGTTCTTCGCATAGAGTACTCGTATTATTTTGCATGTTTGGTAGTTCGCGGCACTACTGTTTTGACGAGGCAAGGATAAAACGTCCACTCGACCGTGATGTACACTGCTAAATCGCTTTTACGCATTTTGACTTGTTTACATTGAGTCAGTGATTGTCAACTGCGGTTGTTTCTCTAAATAAAAGTGATAAATATCAGTATTTGTAAAAAAAAAAAAACAATATAGAGGTATTATGCTCTCATAAAAATGCTTTTTTTTATTTTCCGTAATTTAAACGATATTTTGTCTTTGTATCTATCTATTTTTACTCTTCCGCAACACTTTTTGATCGACGCATAACTATATATTACCTATCGTGATCCGGTTTATATTATCTGTTAGCCTCTAGTATAAAAACAGAGTGATCAACTCGGATCGCGGTCTGATTGGCTCTTAGTCACATACCGGCTCCACAAACAATGTATAACTTAATATGATTACGATCATATTACTACTGTACTGTTTTACGGTAGTAATGCGTCCAAATATGTGTGCTGCAAATATATCGAAATAAGAGAGCTTATTCTTATACTCGTGTATATTATAATTTTTTTTTCAGATTATATTAAAGCAAATCTTGATATTACATAATACCTTGTCACGTAGCCAGGGGGGTTCATGAAGTCTGGACCCCTCCCCCTCGAAATTTAAGCTTTTCACCGAAAAATCAGACGGTGCTTTGATTTTCTAACCCCTACGTTTTATTTTTTTTCCCCAGACAGTTATTATTGGTAGTTGATTAGTGATTACAAATTGTACGTTTGTATTCCCCCTACTAAAACAATGTGTCCTAAAACCTACGTGTCTGTTCTTGTGGGCTACGGTTCTCGATTCATAGTAGTACAGTACCGATAGACTTTCGCAGGCTAAACCATACAGAGTGTCTCTTTTTTTTTTCTTTCATATGGCATCTTTGGTGATAACATACACAAACAACTAAATATACAAAACATTCAACAGAGTGTCCGTTGAAGAAAATAAATAACTTACCGGTCTTCACGCAGAAACTTAGCTGGCTTAATATTTTAATCGAATTCACGATTATAGTTATGACTATATGATGATGACATAATAATTAAAAATTGATATTATTTTAACCTAACCGTGGACCATGAAAGCCTGATAAGAACCGGTGACCACTCTCTTCTTATATAGGCTCTTTAGGTTAGACACCTACGCCGATTGAATCGCTATTATATAATATTATAATCGCATTCTATTGTTTTACATAATTTACATAGTGCAGTTTTAATAAGTGATAAAATTCGTCGAGAAATATAATTCGTTACAAATCGTAGCTTAAATGCAATTGTTCGTATTTAAGTCTATGTAGTTTTACTGCAAAATGATCAGTAAAACATTTTAGAAAACAACCGGTTTTTACATAATTTGTGTTATTTTCGTGCGATATACTTACCTGGGTACAATTTAACCAGGTGCTTAATAAAACAAACTTTTATAAAACATAAAACAATTTTGGAAGCACTCGTTTTATTAATGACGAATTGTTTTATCAAATTTTGCGATACGCTCTGTTGCAGTTTAAGTGACGGCTTATAATTTATGAATAATTATGATAAGAATTATGTTGTGTTTTAAGAGGTATTGTAGCCCCACCGACAACAATAATAATCACGGTCATATTTTATTATGATTAGCAGCTAACAATGTGTCATATAGTTTATCTGCACAAATGTCGAATTTCTCTGGATATTTAACACCGCTAAATAATTTTAAATAAATAAATCAAATGAACGTACGAGAAAAATGAACAAAATCGGAAATAATGAGATCGTTATTGTCGTACGTTTTACCGCGCAATTACTAAGAAAATTACGAGGATAATAAAAAACTACTTCCCAATACGCCAATAAGATAAAATTTTCTTTTAGAAGAAATACACTTGAAAATCGGAATAAGATTTTCCGTACGAAAAAATTTTTACCGATAGAAAAATAGGAACACTCGTGCATTATATGAGCTTTGTTTGTTTTAAAAACTTGGTGTTAACACTATAATCTTCAAGTATTTGATGTAGTGTGTGGTGTGCCAATTCAAAACAAACGTTTCAGGGGTGGGAAAGTCAGCTGATTGATAAAGATTGTAAATAAATTAAATCGTCTTTATCTAAACCAACACTACCGTCATTGTTATGGCATACTATACTGTTAAACACTTTCATTTTTATTGTAATGTTTAAATAGAAAATGTTAGTTAATTGGTTTTTTTTTTATGGTAGTATGCAAATGTTCGCAAATCGCATAATGTAACTAGTAATTTAATCTCGCCATGTCAGCTGTCGATATCCGTATAGTGATAAGAAAATATATGATGATAACCTGGTTCTACACCGAAAATCCGATTCCACACCTACTCATCATTTATTAGTACGAATAGTGTACACGCCAAACCAACACTTTTTTAAAACAAAACCGTTTACCGCGACACTTTTTCAAAACAAACGCTTTAATATACACTATTGGTTAAAACGAACAAAGCTATTATATAGTGAAATTAATACGTACCTCGAGGTGTAGTTATGTTTTATCGAAATTAGTAGTAAATCATAAACAATATTCGTCGTAGTTTTTACGTGCTTGGGCTCGTAAGGCGTTTTTTCTTCTTCTAAAGTATATTACCTACTCGGTTAATTCGAAAAATTAACGAGGTAAACGTTCTCGACAGCTCTCGAATTGGGAAATTGAAAGAAAAGGAACTCGAAATAGAAATTTAAAAAACAGCGTTCCGACTGAACATTTATTTAACAATAACTCCTCCAAACCTCCTTAATATTACTACCATCATATTTTATATTCAGTAATTTCTAACACTAAACATTTATTATTATTACTTTTAACTAAGTGTTAATATTTTTACACTTTTCGTAATTTCAAACTCTCAATTTTTTCCTAGTTTTATTAAAGTGGTTTGACTCGATGCTGATTTGTCCGTCTTATACAGTTGACTAGGTATATCGACACAACTAAATACAATTTAATTATCTAGATAGTTATAGGTAAACACTACACGGATTAACTAGGTATATATAAAGTTAAGAACAAATAAAAATAAAAAGTGGAAACACTTAAACAAAAAATTAACGTTGTTCTGTTTATACATTATAATAAAAACCGGATAAAAGATAGTTACTATTAATTAATACTTGTAGAATATTATTTGTAGGACACTATTGATACAATTATATTTTAGTGTGTCATTTTGTTGATAAATATACAATTTTATTACGTATCAGGAAACCGTCACGTATCGTAGTTGTGTACCATTGTTTTTCTGTCGGTATTTTGTTGATAACAAAATTAAATGTGTTATCAAACTATTAACAATTTGATTTTAAATAATTGTTCTTATCTGTTTTATCTTATCATGTTCTATGATTATACGAGGTCTACAATAACATCAAATTGATTGAATGCATTATCTCTAAGAAATATATAAAATTAACTTCTTCATAGTTTGGATTATTCTGATATAGTAATTAAATTCGCTACCAGGAAATCCAGGAAAAAAATTAATTGAAATTATTATTTCATGTAAATATAATTACTAAGTAATTAGTATAGTTCTTAGTTACTATTTTTATTGTACTTTGTTGGTTTTCATACTCATTTTTTCAATGTAAAATGCATAGTTGAAAAAAGAATACAAGAGATTTAAAATTCTGAGTGAAGCGAGGAATGTATTGGTTTTACAATGGTGTTTTTTTTTTTTTTTTCTATAAACAACTTTTCTACCAGCAATTTTACTCCGATTGACACTGGCAATAAATATAATAAGGGCGCCAATTTATACAAGGCCTAAGAGCGTTAAATTTCTTAATCCGGCCCTGATACGTACCTATATATATTTTAATCTCTGCTATGATATAATTATAATATATATTAGATACTATTTATTCTATGCGTTCCTGTTAAAAAAAATTACATATCTAACTGTATTCTTTTTATTAGTTTATGTACAATTGTATGTACCTATAGAACTGCAATGTTAGATATTTTACAGGTATTATAAGTCAAACATTAAGTCAACGTTAATTTTTAATTTTTGAATTTTTTTTAACTAGATATTTTTTTATTATTTTATTATAATTATAATTTAGATGCTAATAAATAACGAATTAATTTTGATTTACATAACGTTAAATTTATTTTAAATTTTAGTTCTGGCACAATATAATATAATATCGTGTAATTAATAATAATTTGTCGTTTTTTATGTTTTTTTCTCGTATAGGGCTGAATAACATAACCTGAGTATAAACCTTTCTGTGTTTAACATCGATCGTCCTTATTTTTAACTTAACCTAGTTTATAAAACAATTAACTCGTTCATATTTTTTTCAAATTAACCTCACTAAGTTAATATTATTTATTAACTTGCTCAGCCTTGCAGTATACAAATGCAGTTATTCGCTGGGTCCTGTGATTATATTGCACCGTTTGGTCGAAGAATAAAAGGTGATAATTATTTTAAGGTTAAATATGACGTACTAAAAGTTTGTAAGTACATATGGTCAACTGGTATAATTATATTATTATAAGCCAAACGGAATTTATTTTCGAAAGCGTTTATGTATAGTTCAACAATATCTCAAGTGGTCGTCATTTAAAAAATATTTAAACAAATTCCAACATAAAACAAAAGTGTATAAATAGTGTTACACCTGCAGTCGGTGTAATATAATTGTGTGAAAATTTATCGGCACAGAGACCATCATAATCTGGATGATATTTTAGCGGTTACGCCGATAAAATACATAAAAGTGCAGATGGGTGACACGCGATGATGGTGACGATAAGTGGGTTTTTTTTTTTTTTTTAATTTAATTTTTTTTATCGGTAATACGCTTGTCGTAGGGGATAACCTTAAAGTATATATTCCTGAAACAGGCGCGCCGACGTGTATTGCAAAATCAATCAGGAACCTTAATATTATAATCACAATAATATAGATTATAAGGTGTCTGACTCTTCTTTTGGTCGTTCGTATCACAAAATGTGTTTCACAATACTTACGCGTTAGTCAATTTCGGAAATTCCTGGTTTTGTTTTACCCGCAGCTCGAATGGGATAGTTGCAACCTAGTAATTATTATAATTTCGGTGTATTATAATATCATTGGATATTATTTCAAAATAAGTTTGTTGCTATGCATACACCTATGTCGGATTTAAATGCTAAAAACTATACCTGTCTATAAATATACATGAGTGTGGAAAGGTAGTTTTTGTAATTTTTTTTTTTTTTTTTTTTTCTAAGGATATTTTGTTTATTTTGATTCATGGTAAACCACTATCTGAAATCGACAATAATTATTGAGGTGTGCACACAGTTACACACTGACGTGTACACATTTAGGCAGTATTTCGAATGAGTATTTTTCTTAATCGTTTATAATATACTTAGTTTTTTTTTTTTTGTTGTGATGGTAATAATATGACGGCGGATGACGGCACGTTCGTGACTTTTTTTTTTCAACCCCGAAATTAACATTATGTACTCGAATTAATCATTGTTAATAAATAAATAATTACTAATTATACATTTTTAAACTCGATGTCGCCGATAATCAAATACGAGTTAAAATCTAATACATTTCCACTTCAACTTTCGCCTTTTTTTTTTATATCATATGTATTATGTTTTCAATTTTATTGCATATTGCAGTTTTTACGATATTTTCTATTTAATGTTTTATGAATTTGTCACATTTTTAATGTAGGTACTTATTGAACGCGTTTTCTATACTTATCAACATTATTTGTTTGGTGTATATATATATATAATTAAAATACTTGTATAGAATGGAAATACGAAAAAAAAAATAATACCATATGTGAAATAATGATTTCGAAATATTTTGTTCAATTTAAATTATACCGGTGAATTAAAAATCTACTACCTGTGCGACATGTATTACGTAATTTCTATTTTTTTTTTTTTTTTTAGTATACAACAGTGCAATAATATCGGAACTCAGTACAACTGTTTGTCTCATTTAATATTACGATAAAAAATTCAGGGTTGTCACTTTGGGGAGGACGTGGATGTTTAGCTAGTATGGTATGCACTCGCACCCACTTGAAATTTGTATTCATAATTAGCTTAGGTGTTATTCAATACTTTAACCGTAATGGTAGTCAGGGGTTTAAATATTGATTTTTTTTTTTTTCTTAATCAATAATTAGTCTGGTGGATAAAATGAATTGGCCTCATAAAATATGCACCCCTTGTAAGAAATTGAAATAACGTCCGCCTAGGAAAAACTATATACAGAAGCTATTTTCAACTCCTCCGTAGCTATATAAAAAATATACAGTATACGTAAATATTTTAAATTTTCATTTACACCAGAGACTGGAACCTTACCGAAAATTATACGGCTTTATAACCGGAATCCGTTAAAAATACCGGATCCGTGGCGGAACCCAATTATAAATATTTTAAAAACTAAAACCTAAGCCGAAACCTACTTTTATGTAGGCTTTTTATACGAAAATACTTTTAGGTTAATTATCCAGCTAATTTAATTAACTTCTTAATGTCTTAACACCTTTTGCGAACATATCGTCCAACTCGTTGTTCTTCGAGTACCTAACATCTATGGACCAGCCAGCTGAACCAACCACCTGTTTACAAAAAAAAAAAAATCTCGAGTCTTCAGTTTCGCAGAACTATACTCATGCCACCGCTGGTTAGTTCTACCGAATTGAAATTCCGCTAAAAACGGAACAGACATTCCAAAGCCACTGAAACGTTCCAGTTGCTGATGTAATGGGATTTTGTCGGAACCGGGACCGAAATTTTAAATTGTCTACGAACCGAACTAAAAAAAAAAACATTGAGATCCGCAATTCCCGTGGACGACTTTAGTGGGCAATATTTTATTTTAACTTATAACGACAAAGCTGGCAATTTTGACGGGTTGAACTAAAGGAAAAGAGAATGGGATCTGATGGAGTAGGATGGTTAAAATCTCGATAAAACCATGTATCATGATTGGAGAACGAATTTACATGTATTTAAAATCGGTGAAAACGTGCTTAAATCGTCAAAAAAAGTACTTGAAAGTATTAAAAAAAGCAAGAGTGGTAAATGGGTTTTAAAACACCCACTCTAACGGTTCTAACCTAATTAAATCAAATTTCCTAACACCGATAAATAATTAACACAAAGCATTTTTTTTTTGTGTACACACGTACGACGTACGAATGTATTTGAAGAAAATCGCTGTGTAATAATCGTTTTTTTAGCGTTAAAAAAATATTTCTAATATGTTAGAAACAATTGACGGGGACACTTTTAAACCCCCCCCCCTCCCCTTCCTGTTTATATGGCCGTTTTAAATATTTTTCAAGCGATCGTTGTAGGGATTTCATGACGTTTGTGTGCGTTTTTCCGCGAATATCCGGAGGATGCGTAGCCGTATTATTATTAATATTTTCACATTATTAGTGTTGGCGGTCCGATAGAAACGATTGTCATCATCGGACGCGTGTCGCAACTGTTATTATTGTTATTGTTATGTTCGCACGGACGCGCGCGCGCATAATATTATTATTATTATTATTATTATGCTCGTCTACCGACATGCCAGACTGGCGGTTCGGCCGGATTGTTGTCATTGCGATTTGTCCGTGGCTTATTTACCGGCACGCGCGACAGGCGCCGCACGAAAAATTGTTATCAAAACGTAAATGGTTTTATCATAACGTTGCGTCGGGCTTTGCGCCGCACGCGGTCGTTTTTTCGAGCGGCCCGCGCACTAACGCGAACGACGTGCGAGAGGGAGGTGGGTGGGGGTGGGGAGAGGCCGGGCGTCGGGCAGCGTTGTTGTTCAAGGCGAACAAAGGTTATTTCCTAGTCCCTACTATGATTTTCGTTTAGCGTTGCGTTATTACCGCTGCGCTCGGCCGCGATCGTTCGGTCGCCAACCGCGTCGTTTCACGCGCTGCTACGACGACGACGACGACGACGACTCCGTCAATAAGCCCGCGCGCGTAGCAAACCGCACTGTAGTGATCGCGACGAGCTCTAGGCAAACGGTCATCGTTCACGTCCACGCGATCGGCCTTTTTCGCGCGCGCGCGCGCGTAATTTCTGAAAACAACAGCGAACGGGGTCTTTCGATTTCGCTCCCTCCGTCCGACCGATATTTTCCGACCGTACAATAATAACAGTCGCCCGCGAGACAATATAATGACCGCAATCGACGAGGCTGTCGTCGTGCCCATGGACGACCTGATCGTCGGCGACGATTGGGAAGGCCGCGACGTTAACAATGTCGGTGTAATAAACGACGTCGTGTCTGTTGCCAGGAAATCCGGTTCGGTCAAAGTGACGATCACGCCATGCCAGCCCAAGACCCTGAGCCATCTGCCCAAAAGGCCGCCGGTGGACATCGCCTTTTCCGACCTCGTGTACACCGTGACCGAAGGCAACAAAAACAGTGAGTACCCGACATAATCGTGTATATAGAGTTTAAGAAAATTACCCCGTCCCTTCTCCCCCTCCTCACAAAAAAAAAAAAAACAGCGGGCCGTAGGCGTCCGCATAATAGTCCGCAGCAGGGATATTACGCGGCGCCGATTATATTATAACTGTACGGTATTCAACGGCCCGAGATCCGTTCGCGTTTATCGCGATCGGCGCTGAAACGACCAAGCGACAATGATGCCGTCAATATTTTGCGCGAGAGACGCCGAGCAAACAAGTGTCCGAAATTGTGGGTTTTTTTTTATATGTTTTCGCACGCCCCGCCGCGAAATTACCGTGACCGCGACATTTTTTTTTTTTCCGTCTTGCTGTGCGCGAAACAAAATTCCCCTATCCCCTTTTGGGCGGGATCGTAAAACGCGCGAGTTAAACGCCGACGGCGAGCTTTTTATCGGCGAAACACCGCGGGCACAGCGTGAGAATACGCGACGAGTGTCCATTATCGTCGTTGTTATATTATTGCGCGCCGGGCGATAAGTTATCGTCCGCGCGCGGATGCTGGCGATCCGAAACGACACGGACATTGTTATTGCGACCGCGCGGCGTGGTTTCGTATCGGAGCACGTCCGAAGTCCGCGCGCGTCCCGGCGGTCGGCGCGCGCACGGGTCGGCGGGTGCGATACGCAATGAATAATAATCTTAACTAACGAATAATAATTGACCGGCGGGTCGCGAAGGCCGCCGGCCGGCGGACGGGTCCGAAACGGCGCACGGATTTCCCGTTGTTCTCCGCGTTTAGCCATTGTATTTTCGCGTCTAAATTAACCCCCACACACACACACACACACACATCCCCCCGCAGGCGTTCGACCCCGCGCACACGTGCCGTCGCGATTTCTTTTCCGGATTTCCGTTTCCCTCCCCAGCCCCCCCCCCCAACCGATTTCCGCACGCACGATCGGGACGCGTTATTTTTTCGAATTTTTTTCTAACCGGCGCGTCCGGGATTTTTCAACAAGAGCGGACGTAGAATCTATTATTTCGTTGTATCCGACTTGGCGGACGACGAGCGCTTCCTAAACCGTGTCCGGACAAAAACCGATTCTCGTTCGATAAACCGAACTTATCCACTCGGCGTGTGCATTATGATAACAAGACGGAATCGTTGCTAAACGTGTGTATACACTCGTAGTTTTCGCGTGTTCAAGTGTATCGGGTTGGGGGAGTGGGAGATATAACCCTTAATGCGTTTCCCACCGCCGTGTAGACGATAGGCGCATGCACTATAATTATATTACGACATGTCGAAAAAAAAAAAAAAAATATCGGTTCGAACATTCAAACTCGATTGTAATAGTAATTAAAATATTATTGTATACGTATATACGGGAAAGGGCAGAAGGTCGCGGCAAAGTTTCTCCCACTCTCTCCTTAACGCTCCGCTGTTCACAACACGCTTGAAAAGTAACGGAATAGAAACATTTTCGAACATATTACAATAATTAATTTTTTACTCATTATTATATGTTCTTAACGATACGGAATTCGCCTAATGGTTAACCATTAAGAAGCTTGGGTTTTCGAACAAAGACGTCCTGTGTTTTTCTCATAAGTAGCTGCTGTATATAATTATGATGGTTGTAGTAAACATTATACGCATCACAACGCGTGGCGGTTGAAAAGTGCATTGATAATAATTGATCGTCTTTATTATTTTACACGGTGTTAAGACTGTTTCGAAGGTCGCATTTTATATTAAATTAAATACGAATATTTACGGGTAATGTTGAAAAAAAATCGGATGTCTAATTTTCGGTCTGCAGAGCCCATTTTGCGCTGTCCGTTTTAATATTATTGAGCGAATCGGGTTGTATCATCAAAACTAAACGGGCATATGAACACTTTCTGCGTTTTTCTCTCGATTTTTAAATTTTTAAGCGAGACGCGAGTATGTATACAATTTTACGATGGTTTTAAAATCATCGTAATTCGCTTCGTAATTGAAATATCGCAAAAACAAACACGGACAATTTTCGTTACTTAAGTTCGTTACAAGGCCGAGTCATTTTAATATTGCAAGTGGCAGCACGAAATCGTCGGTTATACTGAACGAAAAGTTGATATTATCCTGTAATTATATTTAGGCATAGGGTCACTGGTGGTCAAACGATTCACGTTATGGTGATTGGGGAGGGGGGCAGATTATGAAGCTATTCAACAATTATGACTATTTAAATTTTTTTTTTTCCATAAATATATAATGGTCAGTAGTATAATACGTAAGTACTATTATAAACGTTGATATAAATGACGGAAGGTCATGATGGGAGGAGAGATATATCCACGTTCACACTCCTGTTTGCCGGCCATTGAGTGGATATTAGATATTAGATATCTATCGGAAATATATATGGGTACCATTCGTTTTTTTTTTTTTAAACCGTTAAAACAAATTAGGAAATTTTGGCTATATGGCTATTGCAGTCTTGTATAGTAAATCATAACGTTTTGAATATTATTGATTGGGAAAGGTACAATAATTTATTAGGAAAGTTTATTGTAATCGAGCCGGTGTTAAAAACATAGAAACCGAAAATTATTTTTACAATAATTATGACTGCGTTTACTGAATTGTAATAATGCAGATAAAGTTTTAATAAAAACCAAAACGAAATTCCAATAAAACTATACAAGCATTTCGTTGTTTATCGGATGTAATCGATCATATCCCGTATTACTCTAATTTTGTGGAAAAAAATAATTTTAAAACTGACCTACGCGTCTATTCACGTTATTCTACAAAATATGAATAATATTAAAAATATTAAAAACCGTTAATGATAACGTAACAAAACGCGTGTATACAAATCATATTAAGCTATCATAGCTATAGTTCTCTATAATATTATTGGTTCGCACCGAAATTTCTACTACTTATTGGGCGAAATAAGATTTAAAAAAAAACCTCGTGCTAGATATTAATTATGATTATGATATTTATGTACAACGTTGTTATCCATATAAACCTAAGTTCAAGTATGAACGTGTAACTTGTGTAATAATATATTATATCGGTTGGAATTCGAACTTATGCAGTCCATTTAAATATATAATTACGTTGAACGTTAGATTTGCGAAATACATCGTATTAAATAGTTTCTGTTCCGCACTAATCATAAAAATAATAATTTATTTACATTTCTACGTGTTACCTAATAACTATGAAATGTAGTAATGTTTTTATTCGTTTCGCGGGTAATTATTTTAAGCGGCCATTTCGTTGGAGCGTATCTGAGTACCGAGATGATTTATTTTTTATTTTTTATCATCTCGATTCAGCGATTTAGGTAGGGTCTGAAATCGCATTTATTTTAATCGAAATGCACTTGGAGTAAAAAAATAATAATAATAATAAAATAAGTAACGCCGAATTGCACTCGGGACATAGAAAAGTGTTTCAATAAAAATTTCCAAAAAAATAAACTTAATTTAAAAGTATTGAAAACACTTATTTCCCTTCCTGCTTACAATTTAATCATTGGTGTAGTTGAACATTATTTTTTTTTTATGTTTAAATAATTTCAAACGATAACGGTAATAATTTGACAAGTTCAAAAAACGCTTTTCAAACCTTTTTTTCTTATGTGCGGTTTGAATATTTAATTAAGGTAAAAATACGACCATTCGGAATGATTTTCTCGGAGGATTTTTTGTTAATTTGATTTCTGTCGTACGGAATTGTTAAAACTTTTTGTTTTTCAACTTATTTTCACCCCTATACTATTCGTATATCTTAAATAAGTGTATTTTCTTTTGATTTTCAAATGAAAATTCACCCTCACTTCTCTCCCCCTGTTTCCTAGTGATCTTCCAACTTTAGACCGGAGGAGGAAAAGTAATACATTTTTGATTATATTATAACAATGGAAAAACGAGTTGTAACAAAATAATCACCTTGAATGTGAAACAGCCTATAAAGAAGAATTCTGTGTTTATGAAAAATCCCGAAGTAGAATCCTGCAAATATGAAATACCATAATAATAATATACTTCTATCATTTTTACAGACTTTTCATTGCACTTGTGTTATACGTATTCTTGATCACTTTCGCGATTTATTTGATACTCATGACCGAAACTCGTTAGTGGTGTATTTCAATAACAAACACGTCATTCGTTCGTTACTTGTTTTGTATGAAAACAAATTTTCTTATTACAATGTTGTGTAGTCGTCTGGAAAAAAAAAATATCAATATAATTACATCGAATCGCAGTAAACAATTATTATGTATTGAATAACAAATATTTGTTTTAAAACATTCTAGTTTTTGTATTGTTTCGATTGATAATATATCAAATTTTTATAAAATTATATTGTAATTATGATTATACAGAGTGTATTTGTAGGATTTTACAATTTCCTATGCAATTAAATAAGGAGAAAATTGTCAAACCCTGCAGTTATAATATAACATTATTTTACCACGTCTAGGTAAATCCAATATAAGTATTATTACCAAGTTTAAGTCTTTACGTGTATTTATAACCAAATTACAGCAAAAAAATTTAAATTCCTCAAAAGCTAAAAATTGTTGACGATGATACCGTAAGAAAGTAAATCAAAAAGGCAACAAAAAAGCTGTCGTAATCGTAGTATCTTCAACCCGTTATATCTGATATAGCTAACCCAACGATGACAATTAAAATACCGCATTCAAAAAATTTAATTTTTATTCAATAAATCGAGCGTTTTTAAATTTTGAGCGAAGCGAGGAATGTATTGGTTTTATAACGATGTTTATTATTATTATTTTTTTTTTTAAAATATTTTATACCTGTAAACAATTTTTCTTTATGAGAGAAAATTTTATCTGGGTTGATACTTTAGTGAAGTATTTTTTTGATTTTCCAAGCGGTTTTCATAAAAATTGTGAAAAACTGGGAAAAACGTAGAAAAACAAGATAATTTACGAAATTTATTATTTTAAATTTTGATTTTTGTTTTGATTCAATTATAAATATTTGTGGAGACTTGGAATTTGAATAAAAAACTTTTATTTGCCTTTTCTAGACGTGGTAAAATTTTCGAAATATTTTAGCCATTTTTGAGCTATTTATAGATAATTTAATTTTATGAGTTTTTTACGTAATTTTTATTCAATGGATTCTCTGTAGATAAAATAGAAATGCCTGAAAATTTAACAGTGGGTTCATTATGAGTCATATTTTGTTGTCAACAAATAATAATTAAGTGTAATGTAGAATTTTTTTATAAGAATTTTATTATGAAATTTTGACAAAAATCGTAAACATTACGGCCTTCCAAAACGTGTATAACCGAACTCCGTTCAGAATCGTTGTTCGTGATGAGCAATGATTAATCGTTGCGTACAGATATACATTAAATTCCCCTCTATATCTAACCTGCTCACCCATCATGCGAAGTATGTCCGTCTTTTTCCTCTTAACTTTGATATAATTTTCGAGACAAAATCACTAAATAAATACCCATAGTTGTTACACTTTTAAATCAATGGGCGTGGGAGATATATCCCCGAGGGAGACACCGCTGCCAATTATTTTTCATTTTTTGGGAAGGGGGTGGGTTTTATGGTCACTTCAATTCCTCTTATACTATTTTGTTATCGTGATAAAATTCGACATTAGAAAATGAACAGTCGTGTTGTGATGTGTCTTTTGGCGACCCGTGAAAGTGCCGCGACGAACGATTAATGGAAAGGTTTAAAAAACAACGTTGTACAGCTGCTCGCCTATTATATCTTTTCGAAAACGAACGATTGTTTTATCTACCTATAAAAATATTATAATAAATATAGCGTCCTGACGATAATTTTTTTTTTTTATTTTGTTTTCAAGCCGCTTATGAAAACAACACTATGATAATAAACGTACATCGTGCACGCGCCGGGAGTTCTCAGTGAAATTGTTATTATATTTTTTTTTTGTTTTTCTGTTTTTACGTGCTCATTAACCGTTTTTTTTTTTTTAATATATAATTTGACGTATGTAGTGCGTAGGTACCTGGTATTGTGTTGACGGTCAGTGAATAATAAAAAAAAAAAACAAAAAACACGACCGAAGGAATCGGTATAAAACTTGGTGAGGGTTTCGACGGTGCCAGCAAGGTCATGGATCGCGCGCACAACGTCCTCGCGCAGACCGGTTGTGCTCGTAACAGCTCGTACGAATAAAAACTCGTCGTGAAATTTTTAATACAAAGAGGAGGAGAACTCAATATTTTATATATGTACTTAATTTTATCCCATTAAAACGTAATTTATGCACCATTATACTCGTGTATTTTTGTAGCCGCATGAACAACTATAAATAAATACAAACGTGCATTTTTATCCACTAAAATATTTATATATTAATCTTATTTTTTTTCCCCACCATCGACCGTAAAATATCTATTCGGAAATGTATACGAAATTATTAATTTTCGTAGTAGGCAATTACTAATAATTATAATAAAAATATTAGAACGTATACGTAAATGGTGTTAATGTATTTTTTTTTTTTTTTTCGTGTAACGCCCGCAAGACGTTTGTCGTTATTTTATTCGCGCGACACGTCATCGTTCCTTACATTTATTTTATATGCGTAAACGGGCTAATGCCTAGTTAAAAATGGATGCATTATTTAACATAATATTATATATAGTAAAAAATATAAAACTTTAAACATGAATGAGCTAAAGACATCAAATATTAAGGATAGATGGGTCCTCATTTGGTAGTTTCATTAACCGATTGCTCGGTTCGTTAGACGTGCACAAATTTATTGTGCATAGAGGAACGTGGAAAGGAATTTTATGACGAGTAAGTCGTGTAGAAACTTTAAAATTGACAAGTGAAAGAAGAGAGGGAGAATTAATGGCAAAAGAGTGACGACGGTCAGTTAAAATAGATAATTCGAGTTTGGTTAGAACAGAACAATAGTCGTGAAGTGAACAGAGTATATTTAAAGTATAGCTGGCATAGCTTCTTTTAAGTTGCCGATACAAATCAACACAGTGGGATTCCAAATTAGCGAACTGTACTCAAAAACGGTTTGACGAGGGTGCAGTACTAGAATTTAAGTGAACCGGTAAACCCCCTAATGAATCCGAGTAGTTTATATGCTTTGCAAATAAGGAGATAGGGAATGTGTAAATATGAAGTCTAGGTCACGTATATACTGTCAACTGATAGGAGTCCAAATTCGTTGACTACGTCACATAATATGTTAAAAGGACGTTACACATGCATTTGTTGCCTCCGTGTGAATACTGATCTATTAGAATCAAACTTAAAGGAAAGAAAGTTATTTTTATTATAATTTTCAAGCGATTTACGGGTGTGTGTGAAATATTACAATGTAAAAACGCTTATATCTCGCCGAAAAATCAAAATGTTGAATAATGTTCTTCCCTTGCATAGTTTGATAATAGGCCAATTTACTATAACGTTAACAATAGCGGCATAAAATTTGTTCTACTTGCCGTTTTGCTTGTGCATCGTCCTCTTAAGGGGTCACAGTGACGTTTGTCGTGTCTGTCCTATATCTAACTACGGGCAATAAACGCGTTCGCGTAAAACAAAAAAAAAAGGCGTTTAAATTCGAGGTTATAAGTTAAAATTGCACCTATTATAAACCTCGTAGGCATTTAATGTTTCTCTAAATATTCTTTTTTTATTTTATTTTAAGAATAGTCACTTTTTAAATAATCGACATTTAAAAAAAACTCTGATGAAATAGTCTTCAAAATGTTTAATCATCTATAATTCATAAATAATTCATAATAGATGTTTTTCCTCTAAATTTTTAAAGATCTTTTAGTTTATTTTACGTGAACGCATTTTTGCTTCATTGTCCGTTAGAAAAACATAGAAGGGAAATTCTCCTGTAATAAAACCTTCTTAATAATTTAAAAGGTAACCTATATTTCAAAAATTAATATGAACGCGAAGGTACCGCGTCAATACCCAGGACACACGTATTATCATAAAATAATATTTCGATTTACGAAAAAAATGCGTTATATTTTCAATTTATTTTTTTATAAAAATAAATTATTAGTTATTAGAATTTTTAACCGGTGGGCGGACCACTGGCTGCAGTCACAACGTACACGGCATTATTTCTTTGAACTTCGTGCTGTAAAAAATGCATGTAACCTGTAGGGAGAGTTGTATTATACGTGAATTTATCGAGCTGATTGTATAAGGTACAGCCCTGCGTGTATAAAAAAAAAAATATCGATCGGAATATTTATATAATTACGTAATAATTTTGTGATCGACTTCAAGGGTGGTCAAATGGAGGAAAATGGATGAGAGGATATATCCCCTATGACCTTTCCCTCTAAAAATAATATAAATAATGATAATTGTTAAGAAATGTTCAATTAGCCTCATATTTTCCTTATGGCAAAATCATTTGACTGATTTCCCTCCTATAATTTTGCGTATCGAAAGCAAAGTTCTTAAATTTCAGTAACTGCAGAATAAATGTACATTTACTAGACCTTTTTTCAATTCCTATAAGTTAGGTCAATAATTACCTACTTACATGAGTATACTCATTTGCGTGACCTTTGTAAATATATAAATTCTGCTCAGCTATTCGATCAAAAGACACATCCAAAAATGCGAACTAATATCTATGAAAACCCGCAACTTTGTGATCTAGTTTCTTTGCCGAGTGACATTTTCCATAACGTTAATTATATAGTGAACATTATACTCGTGAACATTTTCTATTGATCAATAACAGAATCAATATAGTAGATTTTGATCAATGACCAATCGAGAATGATCCCGTCTTGTGCTACGATAACGATGACCCGGTCTGGGAATTCAATTCCTCACAAAACCCCGAAAATAACTTAAAAATTCAAAATAATGTACCTTTAATATGATCTAAATAATCAAAAAATAAATTTAAAACGAAAAATTACAAAATAACATTTCCTATTCTCGTTCGAATGAAATATACATAGGTAACGCATTTGGAACAAAACGAGCATCACACAGCGAGCTTTTGAAAACAACGAAAAGCGCATTGAAACCCAGCTGCCTTAATGACGACAAAATAATAAATTTTCGAATTTATTGTGTTTTTAAATAATATTTTGTGCTTTTTGTTATAGCTGCCAAAAATATTCTAAAATCCGTGAGCGGACGTTTGAAATCCGGGGAACTGACCGCCATCATGGGACCATCGGGTGCCGGAAAATCCACTTTACTCAACATACTTACTGGATACAAGTAAAACGATTCGATAATTATAATAATTTAACATTTAATCTCGTATTATAAATTGACTCGTATAATTATCGAATGATTCTCCATTATAATTTTTTACATTCAGTCAATGTTTTGTTTAAAACGTACACTTTGTTATTCGTAGTGGATTGAAAACTTCAGATAATAGTTAATTATTATTTAATTTAAATATATATGTATAAAAAAAAAAAAACTAGATGACAAAGCTACACGTCTCATCATAATATTGTTATACATTTCGTTCTCCGCACAGTTTTCTATAGTTCAGTAATTTATTTAATATTATTCATTCGTTTATCACCTTTTTTGCGTGTGTTTAGATAATGTAGTTTACGTAACGCAACATATACACGTGCGACAATTTATACAATACAGCCTAGGCCGTTTTTGTTTTCTCCGTTATTGTATATCTAATTGCGCGTGTTTTGCAATTTTTTTTTTTCAGATGCTCCGGAGTCAAAGGTTCCATCACCATAAACGGTCACGAAAGAAATTTGAGTCAGTTCCGAAAACTATCGTGTTACATTATGCAAGACAATCAGCTCCACGCCAATTTGTCTGTAGAAGAAGCCATGCACGTGGCCACTTCCTTAAAATTAGGATCGGACATATCGAAAGACAGCAAATATCAAGTGGTTAGTCACACATCCCACTATATAGATGTTATATATCTTTGGCCTCGGGGCTTTAGTGAATTTTGGAATTTTTTTTTAGAATTGTGTTATGTAATTTTTTTTCCTCTATTTGTCGGTTTAAATCCTATAAATATTTTACGTATATTCTAACAAACATGTTATACTGAAAATTAACATATCTCGAGTCAATATAATGTACTTTTTGTGTAGAAAAAAAAAAAAACGTGACATATAATTAAAATATGACTTAGCCATTTAGCAATCATGGCATTATGTCATTTGATAATTTTAAAAATTTAATTCGCTTTGTGTACAAAATTGACTTAACCTTTTTTTTTCCTGGGATCAATAATATTCGTCTTGCACGCCATACATTGTTTCCCGCAATTGTCGTCGTCGGAAACAGATATTATAAAAACCTTCCTATAATATACCTAATAATTATGTGTCCCGTACGTGCATATGTTATTTAGGTAAAATTATTAACGTCGTTTTCTTTTTTAGATTCAAGAAATATTAGAAACATTAGGACTGCAAGAACACAGAAGGACGATGACGAGCAATTTGTCAGGTGGACAGAAAAAACGTTTGTCCATTGCCCTCGAACTCGTCAATAACCCTCCGATTATGTTTTTCGACGAGCCGACCAGGTAGGATTTAATTGACAAACGTTAAACGTTTTTTCATATATACTCACATATTATACATATTATGTGTCGCATAGATATATTTTTTTTAATTTTATTAAACGTCAGTGTTACAATTTTTTGTTTTCGTTTAGCGGCCTAGACAGTAGCTCGTGTTTCCAGTGCATTTCCCTCTTGAAATCGCTGAGTCGCGGAGGTCGTACGATCATCTGCACGATCCATCAACCCAGTGCTCGTCTGTTCGAGATGTTCGACCACCTGTACACGCTCGCCGAAGGACAGTGCGTCTACCAGGGTTCTACAAAACAACTCGTACCTTTCCTCGGTACCCTTGGACTGGAATGTCCCAGTTACCACAACCCGGCGTCCTACTGTAAGTGTATACCTGTGCCTACTTGAAATTACCGGAGTACTCGAGTAAATTTCGAACGACCTTTGCTAATGGAATTCCTCGTTTTTTTGTTTACCATATTACACAGTGATTGAAGTGTCTTGCGGTGAGTACGGAGATAATGTACGCAAATTGGTGACGGCCATACAAAACGGCAAACACGATATTCAAGTGGGCAAGCCGTTCCCAAATCTCGAGAATTTGAACAACGTAAACCAAAAAGACATTATAAAAAGTAAAATATTTTTAATATAAAAGTCGGCTAATCAACAATATCGTTAGAAAAATGTACACAATTTTCTATCGTGGTTTTTATTTTTCTATAGGTAGTAATTTGTCTACAAACTTAATTGAAATCGATAAATTATCGAAATCTGTGGAGTCTGACAGTTTATTGCAGTACGGGGGAAATCAATTTACTAAACCCGGTGAGTACATTTTTGAGTGCATATTTTTTAATACAAACATTAAATAATAATATTTATTTAGATTATATTCGCAATATTTACAGCCTACTAGGTCTATAGTATTAATTCAAATGATATTAGGATTATTATTAATTATAGCTGTTATTAATATTTCAGAAGATAATTCAATTAATAATTCGGAATTGAGATCGATTAAAACGGAAAAATATAATAACGGGGATGAAGCAAGTGACGCCTTATTAAAGAATGGTTTACCCAGTAGTCAACAGCGTTACGCTACTTCCGAGTTGGCCCAATTCTGGATAGTTTTCAAACGGACATTGTTGTTCAGCAGAAGAGATTGGGTATATTTTTGTTGCATTTAAATAATTTAGCACAAATATTATTGATTTATTAATTTCTTATTTCAGACTCTCATGTACTTGCGTTTGTTTGCTCACATTTTGGTCGGATTTTTAATCGGTTCATTGTACTATGATATTGGTAACGATGGCGCTAAAGTACTCAGTAATCTCGGGTTTTTGTTTTTCAACATGTTGTTCCTTATGTACACATCAATGACCATCACCATTTTATCATGTAAGTTTAATTGTAGTAAACACTGTTAATCACTGTTAATATTTAATTTATTAATAATGCATTTGTATAATAATAGTTCCTCTAGAGTTGCCAGTTTTGATCAAAGAAAATTTCAACAGATGGTATTCCCTTAGATCTTATTATTTAGCAATTACACTATCAGACATTCCATTTCAGGTAATTTGCATTATAACATACTATACTTATTATAACTTATTTTGTTTAATATATTTCCAAGTGAAAGAAGAAAAAATGTGTTGCCTAAAATAATTTGTTTTTTTTTTAGGCAATATTCTGTATCATGTATGTGGGCATTGTGTACTATATGACTTCTCAACCACCTGAAATGTTCAGATTCGGTATGTTCTTATCAGCTTGTCTTCTCATATCATTTGTCGCGCAAAGTGTTGGACTTGTAGTGGGTGCCGCAATGAACGTACAGGTATGTAAATTACTATCAAAACTGACTTGCGTTGTAATTAATTATTGTAATGTATTATTAATTTTTTTTTTTTAGAACGGAGTATTCTTAGCACCTGTTATGTCTGTACCATTTTTACTTTTCTCCGGTTTCTTTGTTAGCTTTGACGCTATACCCATCTACTTGCGGTGGATTACATATTTAAGTTATATTCGTTATGGTTTTGAAGGTACAGCATTGGCTACGTATGGATACGATCGAGCAATCCTCAAATGTCACCAGGTATATTATTATTTATATTAGATTATGATCAAAATGTCATAATATAACGTATCCATGGTTATAATTGTTTTAAATTTAAATTTATAGGTTTATTGTCATTTTAAGAAACCACTCACAACTTTAAGAGAATTAGACATGACAGACGCAAGCTTCCAGTTGGATATTGTCGCCTTGATTATAATTTTCTTTGTATTACGTATATCTGCATTTGTATTTTTGCGATGGAAGCTCAAGTCTTCACGTTAATTTTAATTGAACTGCCGAGACGCTCTCTTATATTATTATCAACTATGAATTAGTTAATACATCTGATTTATTTTTTAACTTATATGGTTATGATTATGTATAATATAATAAACATTATATTAAAATTGTCTTTTTATTATAATTTTTATATTATTATCCGGTTATGGTGTATAAAAAATATTTTATAATTCAATTTGTTAGGATTTTCTATTGTAGTTGTACAATTATATTGTAATTTTGTGATATTAACATTTTCAACAGAATAATGTATTTTAGTGAAAAATAAAAATAAAATAGAAAACTATTAGGTATAAAACAAATTTAATGAGTGGTTCTATGATGTTATTCTGTTTTAACTGCAGTGTGAGAATAAAATGATTATCAATATTTATTTTATTTCATTTTTTTTTTTTTTTTATTATGTATTTGTTCAATCTTTAGAACTATGACCACTTTTCATTGCGATATTTAAGAACTTATTATTATTTTTTGTAATTTTTTTTTTTATATATATATACATATATATATAATAAATATTGTTAAATCTATTGTATTGAAATATATTTTGATCTGATACATTATAATATTTTTTATGCCATCATATTTCAATAATATCATTTTGAATTTATAAAATATGTTTTTAAATATACAACAAAAGAAATAATAACTTGTTTCATACTCAAAATAGTATGTATATCATGTATATCATATTTTAACAATTTTATGATTCCAATGATCATAAGTGTATTTTTTTTATTAAACATTTTATAGTTTTCATACTTATATACTAAATCTTAATATATTGTACCTGAAGTTAAATATTTTTTTTTTTTTTATAGACTTATTATTATGTTTTTTTTAAACATTTATGAATATTTATCATTTAAATCAAAATATTAATAAATGCATACTTTATTTATACAGTTAGACATTTTGTAAATATTTTTAAATAACCACATACAAAATATTATAGAACATGAACCATAATATTATAATTAATCGGTATTCTACATTGATTTACAGTGTTCTTTCACATTTATAGGGAACCGTTTAAATAATTAATTCATGTTATACTGAATGTGAAATGTAAGAAAATTTGTTTTTATAAAATTATCCAGTAATACTGTTACTTATTTCTTTTTTCTCCTGATTCATCCAAAATGCCTGGTTAAATCATAATTATATTCAAGATCCGGATTACAAGTTGGATCCGTTGAAGCAGATCAAACGTCTTTTTAGCACTAGAATATAAATGCGTAAGTATTCGGACGAACCACGGGGGAAAAAAACGAATGACTAATATTCGGGAAACTTTGTTGTGACCGTGGAATGTATTAAACACAATATAGGTATACCTAGTAGGTATGTTTAAGCCGCAGCAACAAAAACTAGTCAGACGATTAGAACTCATTATTTATTATTCGCATTTTATTATGCACTCGTGACTAAACGGTTATAAACCTGACCAATTACAGCGTTATCGGAGTCGTGACTTTTAGTTGTACCTATAATAAGTATGTATACAATGTCACCGGACAGAAAGATTTTTGTCCGCGGTGACAACAATTCTCAATGGGCTGCTCGATGACACTGCGCCACGGCCCGTAAGGTCGCCGCATGTCGAACTACAGTCGAGTATCTACTAACCAATAACCTGATTTTAGTAGGAAATCAAATGCTTATCGTGTAGTCCGACAGAGATAATTATTTATTATATATTTTATTAGAATATTTGCATTTTTTATTAAATTATCTATAGACTAAACGTCATCCCTCGTTTCAGATAAGCTATCAACTGTATGTGTTAGTAACATTAAAGTATCAATAATATTTCGGTCTGACGATTTCAGTTTTTCTGTCAATATTTTAATTTTATACATGACATTTTTCATAAAAGATAAGTAAGGAAGTCAAAACTCGGTAATTTTTTAGGAAGACCTAAGGCAAGAGTACATGTTCTTTTAGCTATTGACTTTAAATCTGTCATATATTGTTGTCGTAGTGCACCATATACTGATTCATAAAATATACGGTGTATCTTAATTCGTGGTATCAATAGCATGCTATTATTCATGGGCGTATTGTTCCGCTCGTATCACAAATTAAAATTATTTTGATTAGTCGTTCGTTTACCTATTGGTTTTCAATTTGTTCTATTATGGAAACGTATGTTGACGTGAACCAACTGTCAGTGGGAGGGGGGGTATACAACTTTCCATACCCCCTTCCATAAATCCGGGTCTGTATAGCTAAGTATATCTAGTTAATATATCTATAGTTACAACCACTTGTACAACGGATAATTTATAATATTGGTTTTAACTCGCGTGTCAATCAGTTAATTCACGCAGTTTTTGTCCAATATTTTTAAATTCAAATGTCTATCGGAATACAAGAACTTGTGTTGATTTAATAAAGCAAGTGTTATTTCATTTATCATATATGTACCTATGTCAAGAAATACAATAAACATTTGCGTCCCCGGACCCGGATAATAATTCGATATTAAAAAAAAATAAACATATAGGTAACTCATGAAAATCAAAAATTGCAGTACGGATAGGTATCTATTTAAAAAACCATTAAAATAATTTCGAACACTAGTTTTAACGATCTGTATTACGTAATATTATCTGTACGTTATCTGGTTCGGCGGTTTTTGAACATACCTATCTATATGCATTATGCATAATATGCGTATACTCCAGTAGTTGGTCACACGCGGAATGTTAATAAGTAATATTATAAATTATTTACTCTATATACGGGTATATATTATTAGATTATCAGCTTTTTATGTTGTAAAAAGCTGAAGGTCGTATTTGGTATTTTAATGGTATAGATAGATAGGTACGCGGATATGTGTATGGATAATGACGTTATGCTGTATCGATTATTGAGTTATGTCAATAATATAATGTGTACTAGGTACATTATTACGAAGAAAAAAAAAATACATAAAACACACTCTGTCATGGATTATTATATTATAAAGAACTGAATAATAATTACCTATACGGGTATGACTAAGTAAAAAAGTAAAATATATGTTGTATATTGATAATGGTGCAGGTATATGCAACTTTGGAAAAAAAACCTACTTATTATTTTGTACCTATTGTGAATACCGATTACCGTTTTATTATAATTTTCACAAAACCGCAAATACTATTTCCACGGTAATAAAAGAAACAAAAAAAAAAAATACGAAAAAAGAAAGTACATGACTACCTAATATACATCATTAAGAACACGCAATACTGTATCCATATGGTATATGTGTCGTCGACGATATAAAAATTAGATACCTACCTAGACATAGTTACTATTACAGCGAACCGCTTGGAAAACGACGATGATGTGAAATTCGTACGCGGACATCGTTTCATAAGGACAAAGAACGTGTAAACAGTTATTATTATATGCGAGGTCTGTTCAAAAAGTTCCGAGAATATTTGGATTGTGCGCCAACGGAACAGTGTTACGCAAATATGACTAAACATGTACGTAGATAAAGATAATTAGATACAATTTATCTAGTCAGAGATAAAAGATAAAACACTATTTATCTAGATTGTTTTGATTTTATTAATTAATCTACAATTTTTTTGTCAATTTCTATTAGGTTCTACAATCTACAATTTCTATTAGAATTTAGAAACAACATAAATAGGTGACCCGGATAATATTATTATTTATTACTTTATGTTTTTAATTTTGTTCTTTATTTGGTTTACTAATAAGACATGGATTTATAACTTTTAAGTTCAATTTTTTAAATTTATCGGATAGGAGGAGGATTTTTCCTTTCATTTTTTTGACAGAATCGTATCTGGTAAAAAGGAATGCAACGTTTCACATAACTTTTGACAACAAATCGTAACTGAAAAACTGCAGGTATGCCGAGTGAAAATTTTTTTCGAGAATGTGTAGGAAGGTCCAAACTAAGGTTTATCAGGAATTTTTTAGTGCCTACGGTAAATAACAATAAGAACTTTTTGACAATTTATCAAAATAATATTCATTGTCTGTATCGATATATTATCATCAAAATGAAAGAAAAATAATTTTCTCCAAAGAACTCCCCCCTTGCCACAAAAAAGCTCTTCTTTTGAATTTAATACAAAATCGCCAAATGCGAAAAAAAAATGTAAGAAAACATCGGTTACATCAAAACAAAGAAAGTTACAGTGAATCTACAAACACAGATGTACTCATGAGGAGTCACAGAATCAAGTGATATTAATCCTACAGTTCTTGGACGCTCCGTTGGCCCACAATTGAAACCGTCCCGGAACTTTTATGAACAGACCTCATATATACTTATAAAGAATGGAAGAGAAGTCATGACTTCTATTTTTCGTCGAAAACTCCTGGACCGGGTCACGTATTTTGCATGTGTACGTGCATTCGTTCATTACTCTCTAATCAGGGGCAGATCCTGGACAATAAATGGGGGGGGAGCGGTTATAAAAATTCTTATAAAATGCACATATATAACGAGTTTAATCATGAATCAAGCAATGAGCTCTTACCGCCCCTTCCTCCGGATTTCCCACTAGCTCTAATTAACTATAAATCGATCAATTCCATCCCCTATAACTGTTCGTCCAATCCTGCATAATGTACTCTAAATAATTGAAGAATTTAAATAAAACATACTACCTAGTCAGTGTTTAGATAAAAAATACTGTAGTTTCGAGGAAGTTCTGCATCCACGTACTTCTAAGTATAAATTACGTTACCTGCTGCTTCGATGTACTTCCGCATATCGTCTGCACATCAGACCGAGACCATATAAATGTATAATATTTGTATGTGATATTTTTACTGACGTGTTATGCGAGCGTTCTTATACTGGTCATCATTAGAACTATTTCAGTATTTCACATCATTACATGACTTATTATTCATTGATGATGAACGTCTATTATATAATGTTCTGCTTACTAAACACCGGGATATGCGAAGTATTAAACAATTTTGTAAAAAACATTAACTTCAGTATATTATATTTATTATATAGATAAAGATTTAAAGGTACGGGAAACACAAAGAACCGCGTGTATATTAAAATACCTACATAATTATTATTATCCGCACCAACCGAAACACTATCTAATGGTGTATTGCTCAATATGTGTCCAATATAGGTATACACAATTTAAAATATGCTCAGAATATATATATGTGTGTAAAAAAAAAATAAAACCACTAATTACTTATTGTTTCAGTTGTACATAACGATATAATAAAATATGGTATTTTTTAAATTTGTATCTAGTTCTACAAATTGTTAATGTCATTATGAAGTTATTTGTTTTAAACTTACAGTAAAAATTATTTTGTACAGCGCTAAACAGTTATTAGGCCAACACTATCATGTTTTTTTTTTGTTTTTTTTGACTTCAAAAATGATGACTGAAAAATCACGTTATTATAAATATTCGAATTATTTTTAGAGCGGTTGAAACTTCGAAAGTGGCAATTGCCCTGTGTGGCAAAATTTACCAAAAACATTCCCAAATTAATATTTTAACTCTAGAATACATACACTTAGCCTAAACGGAGAAAAAAAAATGACAGCTCAAGAATTATAAATTGTTGTTTAAGATAATGATACTTGATTGGATTATATCCATATGTATATAATATAATATTGATTTCAGATTCTTTTAGGTATTTGATTTGGTAATTGTACTGCTGACATACAGATCTTTTTCTACCTTCAAAAGAATCAAAACTTATATTTGACTTCGATTGTTGTGGAACTATTTAATTTTTTGTTCTTCTTCTTCTGTCTGCTTTTACAGTCTTTGAAGTATCTTCATTGGCGCCGAAGAAGTTTTGAAATTTTCTGTTCATTATAGTCGTAACAGTAGTACAAGCCGTCTGTTTAGGTATAAGCAAGGCGACCTTAAAAGATACCAACTTATTTGTTATTGCGGCATTTAATTAAAATGATTATATATTTTAGCAGGCTGGTTCGAAAAGTGATAGGTT